AACTTTGGCAATGAAGGCTCTGACCTACGAACTGGGTCTTATCGATCCGCCCACCCCCTCTCGTTCGTATGATACTTTCTTTTGCACGTCGGTGCAACAAGTCTGATATTAAACGATTGTAGCAGGGCGGTGAATGTGCAGTGCAAAGTAGACAACACACGCTACTGATGTGAAACGTTTTAATCCGCCAATTGATGAACATTTAGGAAGGTGATAATCCGTAAACATATGAATAGGAATAATAAGTAAAATTTACAGTACACATAATCCAGTAATCAACATCACAGTAGTACAAACTGTTTTACATCACAAACAGATCTTACTCTCACATTAGTTGTTATCATGTACAGTAAGATGACCATTGATGTAAGCACCATGTTGGTCTGTTGGTTGGTTTGTTGTTTAAGGCTGCACTCAGCTATATTCCAGCTATATGACAGCGGTCTGTAAATAATCGAGTCGGGACCAGACAATCCAGTGATTGATATCATGAGCATCGATCCACGCAATTGGGATCGATGACATGCATTAACCAAGTCAGCGAGCCTGACCACCCGATCCCGTTAGTCGTCTCTTTCGACAAGCATAGTCGCCTTTTACAGCAAGCATGGGTTGCTGAAGACCTCTTCTACCCCTGATCTTCACGGGTCTGTAAGCTACGAGTAACCAAGTAGATAATTACCAATAATTATGTTATATTAAGTGTAAACAGATCATAAATCTCTTACAAAGAACATACATGTATATGGATATGATCAATAAAGGCACCAGGGTATTTGATACGTATATATGTATACTTATCTAATAACAGACTAATAATTATTATGGTGTGACACATTTAATATGTGACACACATATAAAACACGCTATATATGTAATAGTGTGCCTACCCTGTGGTGAGACTGGGGTGTCTTCCCGTATATATGTAATAGCGTGCCTACCCTGTGGTGAGACTGGGGTGTCTTCCCGTATATATGTAATAGTGTGCCTACCCTGTGGTGAGACTGGGGTGTCTTCCCGTATATATGTAATAGTGAGCCTACCCTGTGGTGAGACTGGGGTGTCTTCCCGTATATATGTAATAGTGTGCCTACCCTGTGGTGAGACTGGGGTGTCTTCCCGTATATATGTAATAGTGTGCCTACCCTGTGATGAGACTGGGGTGTCTTCCCGTATATATGTAATAGTGTGCCTACCCTGTGGTGAGACTGGGGTGTCTTCACGTATATATGTAATAGTGAGCCTACCATGTGGTGAGACTCGGGTGTCTTCACGTATATATGTAATAGCGTGCCTACCCTGTGATGAGACTGGGGTGTCTTCCCGTATATATGTAATAGTGTGCCTACCCTGTGGTGAGACTGGGTTGTCTTCCCGTATATATGTAATAGTGTGCCTACCCTGTGGTGAGACTGGGGTGTCTTCCCGTATATATGTAATAGTGTGCCTACCCTGTGGTGAGACTGGGATGTCTTCCCGTATATATGTAATAGTGAGCCTACCCTGTGGTGAGACTGGGGTGTCTTCCCGTATATATGTAATAGTGTGCCTACCCTGTGGTGAGACTGGGGTGTCTTCCCGTATATATGTAATAGTGTGCCTACCCTGTGGTGAGACTGGGGTGTCTTCCCGTATATATGTAATAGTGAGCCTACCCTGTGGTGAGACTGGGGTGTCTTCCCGTATATATGTAATAGTGTGCCTACCCTGTGGTGAGACTGGGGTGTCTTCCCGTATATATGTAATAGTGTGCCTACCCTGTGGTGAGACTGGGGTGTCTTCCCGTATATATGTAATAGTGTGCCTACCCTGTGGTGAGACTGGGGTGTCTTCCCGTATATATGTAATAGTGAGCCTACCCTGTGATGAGACTGGGGTGTCTTCCCGTATATATGTAATAGTGTGCCTACCCTGTGGTGAGACTGGGGTGTCTTCCCGTATATATGTAATAGTGTGCCTATCCTGTGGTGAGACTGGGGTGTCTTCCCGTATATATGTAATAGTGAGCCTACCCTGTGGTGAGACTGGGGTGTCTTCCCGTATATATGTAATAGTGTGCCTACCCTGTGGTGAGACTGGGGTGTCTTCCCGTATATATGTAATAGTGAGCCTACCCTGTGGTGAGACTGGGGTGTCTTCCCGTATATATGTAATAGTGTGCCTACCCTGTGGTGAGACTGGGGTGTCTTCACGTATATATGTAATAGTGAGCCTACCCTGTGGTGAGACTGGGGTGTCTTCCCGTATATATGTAATAGTGTGCCTACCCTGTGGTGAGACTGGGGTGTCTTCCCGTATATATGTAATAGTGAGCCTACCCTGTGGTGAGACTGGGGTGTCTTCCCGTATATATGTAATAGTGTGCCTACTCTGTGGTGAGACTGGGGCGTCTTCCCGTATATATGTAATAGTGTGCCTACCCTGTGGTGAGACTGGGTTGCCTTCCCGTATATATGTAATAGTGTGCCTACCCTGTGGTGAGACTGGGGTGCCTTCCCGTATATATGTAATAGTGTGCCTACCCTGTGGTGAGACTGGGGTGTCTTCCCGTATATATGTAATAGTGTGCCTACCCTGTGGTGAGACTGGGGTGTCTTCCCGTATATATGTAATAGTGTGCCTACCCTGTGGTGAGACTGGGGTGTCTTCCCGTATATATGTAATAGTGAGCCTACCCTGTGGTGAGACTGGGGTGTCTTCCCGTATATATGTAATAGTGTGCCTACCCTGTGGTGAGACTGGGGTGTCTTCCCGTATATATGTAATAGTGAGCCTACCCTGTGATGAGACTGGGGTGTCTTCCCGTATATATGTAATAGTGTGCCTACCCTGTGGTGAGACTGGGGTGTCTTCACGTATATATGTAATAGTGAGCCTACCCTGTGGTGAGACTGGGGTGTCTTCCCGTATATATGTAATAGTGTGCCTACCCTGTGGTGAGACTGGGGTGTCTTCCCGTATATATGTAATAGTGAGCCTACCCTGTGGTGAGACTGGGGCGTCTTCCCGTATATATGTAATAGTGTGCCTACCCTGTGGTGAGACTGGGTTGCCTTCCCGTATATATGTAATAGTGTGCCTACCCTGTGATGAGACTGGGGTGTCTTCCCGTATATATGTAATAGTGTGCCTACCCTGTGGTGAGACTGGGGTGTCTTCCCGTATATATGTAATAGTGTGCCTACCCTGTGGTGAGACTGGGGTGTCTTCCCGTTTATATGTAATAGTGTGCCTACCCTGTGGTGAGACTGGGGTGTCTTCCCGTATATATGTAATAGTGTGCCTACCCTGTGGTGAGACTGGGGTGTCTTCCCGTATATATGTAATAGTGTGCCTACCCTGTGGTGAGACTGGGGTGTCTTCCCGTATATATGTAATAGTGTGCCTACCCTGTGGTGAGACTGGGGTGTCTTCCCGACCACAGTGCCGCGTCTTATTATTCTGGATATCTAAATAAAACATTTACTTGTATAATAACGAGTAAAATAGTAATAACAGAACTATCATAAAACATGTAAAATAAGCCTAGTCCGCAAAATAACACTTATACTCTTTTCTCATTCATACGAGAATAAAGAGATAGAAAAGTTATATATTAGTAGTTACAAATGGTTTCAATTTATAGGCATTAGTTTTAGACAATTACTTAAATAGGTTACAGCTGAGCGTTAGATATTGTTAAACACTTTTAGTTTACTTTAATATTACAGGTTTGATATATTGCAACTTTTAAATGCAATACCATACAAAATATATACATAGTGAACTATCCTGATCTATATGGTTTGCTGACAACTTGTCAATGCTGTGAGCGCGTGCAGACTGAGCACATGCAGTGAGACAAGAGGGTCAGCTTGGCGAATCAGTTGAGCACACCATGGCTTGAGTTTGAGGCGGACAACATCAAGGACACACGAACCAGTCCCAATCACTAAACTATCCTAATCACTAGGTATACAAAACAAATAAACACAGATTAGTAAACACTAAATAGTAGACCCAGATTCGAACCCACGACCATAGATTTCAGGCGCGCCAAAGGGACGCAACTCTACACAGCTGCGACGCTTCAGCAGATTGGATCATATTTGTACCAATGCCAAATGAAACTACGCATGATCAATGACCTCAAACTGACCTGGTTGTGTAAACTGCGTTTGAAATGTCCGAGTGGTTCTATTAAAGAAAGCATCTAAATTCAGTTCAAGTTGTGTGATTATATTGTTTTCAATTTTATTTCAAGCGTCTTTTCAGGGGATTACCTCAAAATAACACAAACAGTTATAAAGAGATGTCAAAAACTGTACATTCAACAAAATTTAAATGCCAGGTGTGCTGAAATTAATATCAAAATACACAACAAAAAGCTGTGTATGGCACCCCAGAACATACACTTAATTACTGACTATGAGCCGTCATAATTATAGCTGGAATATTGCTGAGTGTGTCGTTAAACCATGGAACTTAAATAGAGAATTAAGTATCCATGGTTAAACAAAAACAATAACCAAATACTGAATAGAAACTACATAATGCCACATGCATAAATGACTTTCACTGTGCAAAACAATATATTCAATATGGCTGTTGTGACGGCCATGTTTATGTCCAAATGTTATGCAGGCATTTCCAGAGACAGCATTACAAGGGTCAAGGCCGCAAAATAAATTTATTTTATGGTCTGGGTGCCGTTGTACAAAGCGATCTTAACTTTAAGGTGATCGTAACTCCCATACCTTAACATAGACTTACGACAGTCGTAGCGCTAACGTTGTTTTGTACGACACCCTGAGCGTTACGATCGGATAACAGCAGGATGTCTACATATACGTGTCGTATACACTTACGGATAAACGTAATATAACCCATACTTTGTACCCGGGTGAAATCGGTTATATTACTATGGAAATGTAACTCGAAGCCCTCACTACCGATATCGAAGTTAAACCAACTACCGGTTAACCCAATCGAACACGCCTTTCGTAACTCGCTCTCTAGCCTGCGAAAATAAAGAAGGTATCTTTCAACAAAATGGCGGAAAACGTGGAGAAAATGCCCGTAGACGAAGACGGTGATGATGTTGATGGAACCGAGGAAGCCATGGACGCTGAGGGAAACTCAGACTCTGATAGCTCGGACAGTGGAGACGAAGATCAGCTTGAACAGAAAATATACGAGCTCCAGCAAAAGGTTTCACTTATAGATTTATTCTTACCCCTAGAGTCACGAGTATTTCTGATAAGAATCGCCAGTGTTGCTATTGAACAATTGATCACATTAAACATGTTGAACACACACAAGTGTGAAAATGCTTATGCTTACTTATTGTGTATGGATTTTGATTGTATGTCCACTGGTCATAACATAATATGTCAGGTTGATATTTCCTGACTGTCTTCTCGTGTGTAAACATCGAAACAACATTGTGAAATCTGGCATCTTAGATACAGTGTCAGTTTGACTCTGAGTACAATTGACTAAAGTTACTAAAGCTTCACAGTATGTGATGCTTTCAATATAGGTTTAGGTGCAGCTTCCAATCTGAGTCTGCAAGAAAATCAGAGTAGATGCTAATTTCTGATTTAAACATGTTTTAAAGGGGCACTGATCTAACGCAATTCCCCGTGACTGGTTGTTGCCTTTGTTATTGTTTTTTCCTAGTGAGTATCCGGCTGTATAGCAGAAATCTAGACTAGTTCGCCACTTCTGTTGCGCCAGTCGTAAGAGCATTAGTCACTTTTATGGGTACCGATAGTAATAAGGGCGTATGGTCACATTGATCAACAAAATGAAATACAGTTTTCGAGATAATGTCATAGCGACTGATTTACGACACCCATTGTCTGAAGAACATTTAATTGCAAAGGCTCATTACCCGGGAGCCATGACATCTTTATGCCTTGAAACACTTAATTGCTGTTATTTATAAGATGCTAATCCTATTTGTTAATCCCCATTTTTGTGTACATCGACCGTCTGCCATCCTGAACGAGATGTGCAAGTATGTCACTGATGATTTACTGTTTACATTTATAGTAATTACTTACTAAATGTCAGGTGACCTTGGCTATATAAGCCTTGGTCCAGAGAGGAGAGAAAGAAAGGTCTTACCCTTAGCCTAGCTAGGGTTAGGCTGGGTGCTCCGGGGCACCAAGACAACAACCACAACCACTATGTGCTGACCTGGCACAAAGTGTCTTTTGTATGTATATATCTACATGTATAAAGTAAAACTGTATATACCGCAAGCCATCGTCTCCAAGTTGTCACTTACTACTGAGAACCATACGTCGGCCTCTTGCATATACGAGTATGCAAATTGTTCATTAATCAACGTCAGACCGACACGCGTTGTAAATAATAAGGAAATGTAGGTATCTTTGTGGGTAGCATCGGTAATGGTGACGAAATTTTGATAAGTCACTTGCTTGGTAATTTTGCGATTTTCGTTTACACTATTTTGACTTGCAACACAAAGTAAATATTTCACCTGAGCATTGCTTTTTTTATAGTGTGTATATTTTTTTACTGTCAAAATGTGTAACATATTTATTAAACTTCTAAATATTCAGTTATTTTACAAAGTGACTGAAAAACATTTCCATCTGTATTATTATGATAACGAATTCCAAACATTTTGATGTTTAATGTCATCACCAAGAGACTGAAAATGTTACGTTGAAAAGTAAATTTCTATGTTGTTTGGCTTCTAATCCTACATAATAATCTGTTGTTATGTTTGTAGGCCCTTTTGATCGTCTTAATCAATCTGGACAGATTGTTTACTCAAAATGACTGAAATATTTACACATTTTATAAATTGCCTGAGAGAATCACATTTTACAAATTGACGGTAATATATACACGCTTACAAAGGAAAAGACCTGTGAAAACAACGTCTATCGTGCATTGAAGAATTTCCCAACCAAGATGTAGAGAAACAAGAACGAATCAGTTCAAATGAAGGAAAACAAAATGCAAATACCATAATTACAACCTACCAAATTTATGTGTATAAATTTTAGGCAGCTTCCTTATTCGAGGAATGTATCCGTGAATATCCACACAAAGGAACAATATCCCACTCGTCTGCAGCTGTACAAAGAAACTTATTCGATGTCACGTGTCTCTGTAACAATCAAATATTTTAAAAGATATATACCGTTACGGGATATTATAACCCGTGTTCGTTTCTCAACTGATCACTTGGATTGTTTCAGGTGTTTCACATAGGTGTCAAGTCTCAAGGGTCGGCTGAGAAAGCCCACGTGACAACTATTTTCATAACGTCCACGGTTCCTAAAAAATCCATTGAGTGATAGATAACAATGATCAATCAATCAACGTATTATCAGTTAACCCTTTGAACAAAGTATGTTGTTTTTACATCAGCACTTCACGCCATGATATGAGTGTATTCCCTTTGTTTTAGTAAACCTAGACATGTAAACACTCACTTTTGACATATCCATTGTGCAAGATAACAGTGATTAATCAATCAGCGTATTTTCTGTTAATCCTTTGATAACTAGGAACGATCCGTTGATTTACAAAAAAAAGTAAATCAACTGATCATTCATCTCTTGCTGGGCCGCCACGTGCATATTACATAACACACATTTCACCTCACTTCAAACCTGGATTTAGATTGAATAATTACCCCAGACACAATAAATGCCAAATGGGAATCTTTGTCAGGTAATCTAAGTGGTGCTACCACTAATTGTACCTGTAATAAATTCATTAACTGAGCATCAAGTGAATGACGACAAATACACAAGTGTAGGGTTATACGAGAAAACGTGGATGACAACAAGGGAATAGTAATCGTATTATCGACGCAATCCGAAATCCGAAAATGCTTTCACTGCATGGATACTTTTTTTAGTATTAAACTATAACCATCTGGGGTATGTCCAAATGACGACATCCGATGAGCTCCACCGTTCTTTTTGTCTGTTTGTTTAGGCTGAAGAAATTAATTAACATGCGCCCTTTGTCGAAATCTTTATAGATCACAGTTAACCAATCAGTGTTTATGCAAAAATGCGTAAAACAAATATTGCCTCCAGCCTCCAAGTTTATTTAGCTGTCCTTGCAGACGGTAGCCAAGTCTCTGGTCACGCTCAGTTGCGTTGCGTATCATCCGGGTACTCACGGGGAAAAAACAATAACAAAGGCAACAACCAGTCCGGGGAATTGCGTTAGATCAGTGCCCCTTTAAGGCGATTAACATTTCACAATTGTATGTGTTTGAAAGTGGACCTATGAGTTTTAATTCTAATTATTGCTTGTCTTTAAGAACCAAAATAAAAAGAAATAAGTTGCCTTCTGCGCCTCACAATAGTCACAGTTTTCACTGTGGACCAGGTGCAGTTTCTCCAATCTGTTGCATTTTACCCGTTGCCATTTTTCTTGAGGTGACGTTTTAGCTCTGGAAGATGGGAACAAGTTTCCACCCCCAAGGTGCTGGGCCTGTATTCTTGCATTGCCTGTATTCTTGCATTGCCTGTATTCTTGCATTATTTGTGTTCTTGTTCAGTAGGTGTCCAGGTGATAATGTTTACATTAGATGGTTCCTACCTACACATACACACACAATGTTTACATTAGATGGTTCATACCTACACATACATACACAATGTTTACATTAGATGGTTCCTACCTACACATACACACACAATGTTTACATTAGATGGTTCATACCTACACATACACACACAATGTTTACATTAGATGGTTCCTACCTACACATACACACACAATGTTTACATTAGATGGTTCATACCTACACATACACACACAATGTTTACATTAGATGGTTCATACCTACACATATATACACACACAATGTTTATATGAGATGGTTCATACCTACACATACACACACAATGTTTACATGAGATGGTTCATACCTACACATATATACACACACAATGTTTATATGAGATGGTTCCTACCTACACATACACACACAATGTTTACATTAGATGGTTCATACCTACACATACACACACAATGTTTACATTAGATGGTTCATACCTACACATACACACACAATGTTTACATCAGATGGTTCATACCTACACATACACACACAATGTTTACATTAGATGGTTCCTACCTACACATACACACACAATGTTTACATGAGATGGTTCATACCTACACATACACACAATGTTTACATTAGATGGTTCATACCTACACATACACACACAATGTTTACATGAGATGGTTCATACCTACACATACACACAATGTTTACATTAGATGGTTCATACCTACACATACACACACAATGTTTACATTAGATGGTTCATACCTACACATACACACACAATGTTTACATGAGATGGTTCCTACCTACACATACACACACAATGTTTACATTAGATGGTTCATACCTACACATACACACACAATGTTTACATTAGATGGTTCATACCTACACATACACACACAATGTTTACATCAGATGGTTCATACCTACACATACACACACAATGTTTACATTAGATGGTTCCTACCTACACATACACACACAATGTTTACATGAGATGGTTCATACCTACACATACACACAATGTTTACATTAGATGGTTCATACCTACACATACACACACAATGTTTACATGAGATGGTTCATACCTACACATACACACAATGTTTACATTAGATGGTTCATACCTACACATACACACACAATGTTTACATTAGATGGTTCATACCTACACATACACACACAATGTTTACATGAGATGGTTCATACCTACACATACACACACAATGTTTACATTAGATGGTTCATACCTACACATACACACACAATGTTTACATTAGATGGTTCATACCTACACATACACACACAATGTTTACATGAGATGGTTCATACCTACACATACACACACAATGTTTACATGAGATGGTTCATACCTACACATACACACAATGTTTACATTAGATGGTTCATACCTACACATACACACAATGTTTACATTAGATGGTTCCTACCTACACATACACACACAATGTTTACATTAGATGGTTCATACCTACACATATATACACACACAATGTTTACATGAGATGGTTCATACCTACACATACACACAATGTTTACATTAGATGGTTCATACCTACACATACACACACAATGTTTACATTAGATGGTTCATACCTACACATACACACACAATGTTTACATGAGATGGTTCATACCTACACATACACACACAATGTTTACATGAGATGGTTCATACCTACACATACACACAATGTTTACATTAGATGGTTCATACCTACACATACACACAATGTTTACATTAGATGGTTCCTACCTACACATACACACACAATGTTTACATTAGATGGTTCATACCCTCACATATATACACACACAATGTTTATATTAGATGGTTCATACCTACACATACACACACAATGTTTACATTAGATGGTTCATACCTACACACACAATGTTTACATTAGATGGTTCATACCTACACATATATACACACACAATGTTTATATTAGATGGTTCATACCTACACATACACACACAATGTTTACATTAGATGGTTAATACCTACACACACAATGTTTACATTAGATGGTTCATACCTACACATACACACACAATGTTTACATTAGATGGTTCATACCTACACATACACACACAATGTTTACATTAGATGGTTCATACCTACACATACACACAATGTTTACATTAGATGGTTCATACCTACACATACACACACAATGTTTACATTAGATGGTTCATACCTACACATACACACACAATGTTTACATTAGATGGTTCATACCTACACATACACACAATGTTTACATGAGATGGTTCATACCTACACATATATACACACACAATGTTTACATTAGATGGTTCATACCTACACATACACACACAATGTTTACATTAGATGGTTCATACCTACACATACACACACAATGTTTACATTAGATGGTTCATACCTACACATACACACAATGTTTACATGAGATGGTTCATACCTACACATATATACACACACAATGTTTACATTAGATGGTTCATACCTACACATACACACACAATGTTTACATGAGATGGTTCATACCTACACATATATACACAATGTTTACATGAGATGGTTCATACCTACACATACACACACAATGTTTACATGAGATGGTTCATACCTACACATACACACACAATGTTTACATTAGATGGTTCATACCTACACATACACACACAATGTTTACATTAGATGGTTCATACCTACACATACACACACAATGTTTACATTAGATGGTTCATACCTACACATACACACACAATGTTTACATTAGATGGTTCCTACCTACACATACACACACAATGTTTACATTAGATGGTTCATACCTACACATACACACACAATGTTTACATGAGATGGTTCATACCTACACATATATACACACACAATGTTTACATTAGATGGTTCATACCTACACATACACACACAATGTTTACATGAGATGGTTCATACCTACACATACACACACAATGTTTATATGAGATGGTTCATACCTACACATACACACACAATGTTTACATGAGATGGTTCATACCTACACATACACACACAATGTTTACATTAGATGGTTCATACCTACACATACACACACAATGTTTACATTAGATGGTTCCTACCTACACATACACACACAATGTTTACATTAGATGGTTCATACCTACACATACACACACAATGTTTACATGAGATGGTTCATACCTACACATATATACACACACAATGTTTACATTAGATGGTTCATACCTACACATACACACACAATGTTTACATTAGATGGTTCATACCTACACATACACACACAATGTTTATATGAGATGGTTCATACCTACACATACACACACAATGTTTACATGAGATGGTTCATACCTACACATACACACACAATGTTTACATTAGATGGTTCATACCTACACATATATACACACACAATGTTTACATTAGATGGTTCATACCTACACATACACACACAATGTTTACATTAGATGGTTCATACCTACACATACACACACAATGTTTACATTAGATGGTTCCTACCTACACATACACACACAATGTTTACATTAGATGGTTCATACCTACACATACACACACAATGTTTACATGAGATGGTTCATACCTACACATATATACACACACAATGTTTACATTAGATGGTTCATACCTACACATACACACACAATGTTTACATGAGATGGTTCATACCTACACATATATACACACACAATGTTTACATTAGATGGTTCATACCTACACATACACACACAATGTTTACATGAGATGGTTCATACCTACACATATATACACACACAATGTTTACATGAGATGGTTCATACCTACACATATATACACACACAATGTTTACATTAGATGGTTCATACCTACACATACACACACAATGTTTACATTAGATGGTTCATACCTACACATACACACAATGTTTACATTAGATGGTTCATACCTACACATACACACACAACATACATCACAAGCTACAACCTCTTGATAGTCACTCACTTCTTTGGAATACCCCGGACAGATATGTTCATAGGTTTTATCAAAATGAAAAGATAATCTCTGAATGTAATCTTAATGTTTTACAGCGACTGATATTCAGTAGGATTTTAGGCTTTTAATTACAGAGTAACATGTACACTACAGTAACTGCTAATTTGAAAGTATGCTGTGTTATGTTTTCACAGTACAGTTAGTAATGGTTTTGGGTATGAATGTACTCACTCCCTATACACTGCTATAGATACTGTCAGTTTGTAAAAGTCTGCTCGTGCAAATCCTGTGTTTACTATTCTGAATCTACATGCTGATAGGCACTCAATTCTTAAATCAAGATTAATCACTGACATTTGTTCTCATTGTGTTGCGAGTAACTCATCTTAATTGTGAATATAGTTTTTGAATATGTTTCTTGCTGTGTTCAACATTGGATGTTGTATTTCTTGTGGATTTTATTCATGTTACGAAACTCAAGTCAGGTGATTATAATTAAATTTTCATTGTGTTCATTGAAATTCCTGCATTCTGATTAGCTGAATTGGTCACGTGTTATTGCATTCATTCCACAATGAATGTAAAAAATTAAGCCACGCCCACCGAGACGCACTACTTTTATTACTGCGGAATGTCGAGGAATCTCAATATTACAGTCGAGGGAAACTCTCCATACTCTGTGTTTCAGGTGACTGAGAATCCCTACATCTATGATCTTCACACGCAGCTGATCACGACGCTCCGCCAGGCAGGGGAACTAGAACAGTTGCGGCAAGCCAGGGAGAAGATGAGTGAAATATTCCCCCTCAGTGAAGGTAAAAATGTGGCAGTTTTGAAGGGGATTGACCTTATTGTCAATATGCGTGATATGTGTGTTTCTCTCCCCCCTGCAACCTAACCCACCCAACCCACCCAACCCCACCCCCTTGGTGCCCCTTGCCACTGCTATTGTGTAACCATGGTAACTCAGTTTGTCCTCTCTACTAGAACAGTGGTTGGCGTGGCTGAGAGACGAGGTGCCCCTTGCCACTGCTATTGTGTAACCATGGTAACTTAGTTTGTCCTCTCTTCTAGAACTGTGGTTGGTGTGGCTGAGAGATGAGATGCCCCTTGCCACTGCTATTGTGTAACCATGGTAACTCAGTTTGTCCTCTCTTCTAGAACAGTGGTTGGTGTGGCTGAGAGACGAGGTGCCCCTTGCCACTGCTATTGTGTAACCATGGTAACTTAGTTTGTCCTTTCTTCTAGAACTGTGGTTGGTGTGGCTGAGAGATGAGGTGCCCCTTGCCACTGCTTTTGTGTAACCATGGTAACTCAGTTTGTCCTCTCTTCTAGAACTGTGGTTGGCGTGGCTGAGAGACTAGGTGCCCCTTGCCACTGCTATTGTGTAACCATGGTAACTCAGTTTGTCCTCTCTTCTAGAACTATGGTTGGCGTGGCTGAGAGATGAGATGCCCCTTGCCACTGCTATTGTGTAACCATGGTAACTCAGTTTGTCCTCTCTTCTAGAACAGTGGTTGGTGTGGCTGAGAGACGAGGTGCCCCTTGCCACTGCTATTGTGTAACCATGGTAACACAGTTTGTCCTCTCTTCTAGAACTATGGTTGGCGTGGCTGAGAGACGAGGTGCCCCTTGCCACTGCTGAGGGAGATCGATCCAAGATGGAGAAGCTGTTCAAGCAAGCCACAGAAGACTACTTGTGTGAGTAATGAGTGTTTCCCAATATAGAATGGTTTGGGATTTCTGTTGTCATACAATGATGTGTTTAAATTCCAGTTGTGCTATCATTGTGCTTGAGTTCAGCAAACAGATCCAATGCTGTGGGACGTTGAACTGTGGCACTATGTGTTGCTTCAATATCACAATAGACGCGACGTTAAACCCCAGTAAACCCCATTAAACCTCACCTTCAATATCCCATGATTACAGAGCCGGGGTGTGTGACTTTGGACTGTGGCTCGTCATACTGCTGAAGTATCACAATGATTATAGTGACTTTCTTTTATCATCCAAAACTGGTTCCCACTGGAGATATCCTTGGGTGAGATCAAGCTACATTGTAGATATCGCTGCAATGTAATTGCATCACAATGCTTTGCAGACCATTGTGACGTCATTGGTTACCATGACGTCGCAATCAAATGACATCACTAATGGCTCTGCTACTGAAGCTGTTAGCAGCACTTTTTACACTTAAGACACTGCTTATTACTATTTACAAACTGAAAAAGTTGGAAGAATGATGTTGGATGATAAAGAAGATCACACCCTCGTGTCTTTTGACATCAAGCCTCAGAGTTTTTCCACTTTTATCAACTTGTGTTGATATATTTTATATCAAAAGACTCTAGGGTTAGATTCTCTATCTATCAAATTCCTTTTTATATATCAGCTATCTCAGTTTGGTTGGAGTACGTGCAGTATGCGATCGGCGGGATGGGGGCAGAGGATGGCATGCAGAATGTCCGGGCTGTGTTTGAGAAGTCCATCACAGCGGCAGGTCTCCACACCAGTCAGGGAGCCAACATCTGGGAGGCCTACAGAGAGTTTGAGAATGCTGTACTGGCCGGCCTCATGGTGAGTTGTTATCAGCTGTTTGTTTATAGATGTGGTTAGCATGGTTACAGCCTCCGCCATGGACAGCTCGGATTACTGTATTTAATGAGTATAATAAAAGATGTAGTTACCATGGTTACAGCCTCCGCCCTGGACAGCTCGGATGACTGTATTTAATGAGTATAATAAAAGATGTAGTTACCATGGTTACAGCCTCCGCCCTGGACAGCTCCAACTACTGTATTTAATGAGTATGCTAAAAGATGTAGTTACCAAAGTTACAGCCTCTGCCCTGGACAGCTCGGATTACTGTATTTAATGAGTATAATAAAAGATGTAGTTACCATGGTTACAGCCTCCGCCCTGGACAGCTCCAACTACTGTATTTAATGAGTATGCTAAAAGATGTAGTTACCAAAGTTACAGCCTCTGCCCTGGACAGCTCGGATTACTGTATTCAATGAGTATAATAAAAGATGTAGTTACCATGGTTACTGCCTCCGCCCTGGACAGCTCCAACTACTGTATTTAATGAGTATGCTAAAAGATGTGGTTACCATGGTTACAACCTCTGCCCGGGACAACTCCGGCTACTGTATTTAATGAGTATGCTAAAAGATGTGGTTACCATGGTAACAGCCTCTGCCCTGGACAGCTCCGACTACTGTATTTTATGAGTATGCTAAAAGATGTAGTTACCATGGTTACAGCCTCAGCCCTGGACAGCTCCGACTACTGTATTTAATGAGTATGCTAAAAGATGTAGTTACCATGGTTACAGCCTCAGCCCGGGACAGTGCCGACTCCGGAGCAAGAGGAAGCCTTCGCTGCCCAGAACAAGCGGGTCCAGAATCTGTTCAGGAGGCAGTTGGCTGTACCCCTGTTAGGTAAGTAACCATGGTGATTGTACTCAACCGTTTAATGCCTGTGTTTTGCCCGTGTAATGCCTGTGGTATGGCTGTGTTGCAGACATGGAGGAGACACTGCAAGAGTTCGAGGAGTGGAGTGGGGGCCAGGCTGAGAGTGGGGTGAGGCAGGCCTACGTGAAGGCTGTTGAACTGCTGGACAGACTCCGGCCACTGGAGGCAGCACTTGTAAGTACACGACATAAACTCCCTTGCTTCACAGTGCAGAGTACAAGGCCCTGATGGGGCATGTCTACTGATCTGTATGATGACATTGGACAGAAGGATTCTAACCACGCCAAAACATTGAAAACATTCACGGGAACGCTCCACTTGTTTAGGTGCGGTGGCGTTTTGGACATGGACAGGTGGCGCACGGGGCCGATGAACTCTGACCCTGGGCTTGTCACTTTATAGTCATGCCTTCATACAGAGCAGCCATGTTGTTGGCAGCCTCTAACAGTGTCAAATCAGGGCACAGTTGCATAAAATTAGTCGAAAATTTAATAAAGCCAAATGAATCATAGTCAAATAAATGTTATGTTGAAGGTAGATCGGTATAGAGATAGATCTGTATGAAAACACTTGACACTTATGCTGCAGCTGTCTGCAGAGCCCCCAAGGTACAAGGAGTACCAGGCCCTGATTGAGCATGAGCTGGCCCACGATGACCCTGCCAGGATCCAGTGTGTGTTCGAGCGAGCACTACAGGAGAACTGCCTCCACCCCGACCTGTGGCTGCAGTATACAAACTACTTGGTGAGTCACGGACCTGACATCCCCTGGAAACACTGTAGACCAAAATTGTAGGCCCAAACTGTAGGCCCAAAATTGTATCTGAAGCAGGAAGACATACTCTGGCAATATAAGTTACCAAACCCAACCAGTCAACCAGAAGTTTTTGCTGCTATCCCACTGAGTTCCCAGAGACTCTGGGGTGATAGATGAAGCCTACATTTATCAAGGAAATTGTAGAACAACTTTGCTACCACATGTCATACACCATTTGAAAAGTCTAATCCTACTGTTAAGGAATAATGAAAGTTATGATTAGAATAATCACATTAGAATAATATATTTATAAATGATAATAACTTAATTAAGTTTGTTTTAAAATAAAAATTAAAATAAACTAACACATTCATAATGTCCAGAGTAAACACAGAGAAAGCAAAAAAGATGGCAATTTACAGCAAGTTTACAATTTCATAATAGAGCTTTCCACTGACATATTTTACTTTCATTGTTAAAGTAATCGGAAGATGATGATAAAAAGAATTTGAAGTCTATCTATCATCACATATTTCCCGATAATAGCGGCTTTCTGCTCTGTGACATTGGAAGCTTTGTATAAATAACAGAATATATCTGGTATCTCTGAACATCAATAATATAACAGTAACCAAGCCAGGAGTATTCTTTTAGTTGTAACATGCGATTTTTTGGATAGAAATTGGTTTATAATAACACTTTGCCGTAATCTAATATAGGGATCGTGGTGGGTCAAAATCAAGCACATGACCTAAGGCAGTCAACCAATTTACAGCAATGGATACTGTCCAACGTGTTTGATGTATTTCAGATTTAGACAAAGCCTTTGGTTACATGGTGTTATTTTGAATGTTTTAAGCAGGAGATGGGGACCTATTAAAATATGGATCTTCGTTGACATATTGTGCTGGGCTATGACCTGTGACACAGATTTCTCATGCATATAGATTGGCATTAAACATCGTGTCCAAGCCTAAAACTCCAGGCAACAAATGCTGAGATGTCATTTGACTTAGATTACCTGATCGTACGAAAAGATGGAAATAATAAGTTAGATGTAAGTTTGACAATTTTTAGAAATATGTTTGTTGGTTTGATTAATTACTTTATTTAATTTATTTGCTCTTTCACATGTTTCACAGGGACCTGTTGTCAAAGCATGTGTCCAAGTTTCACATTTTTTCAATAACTTGGCAAAAATGGTTCATAACTTTAGATCTACTGGCAAAATATGATAAATTGAAATGAAATTGATATTTTCTGACTTAGTGATAGATTTAATAAATGAATGATATGACAGGTAGGGTCATGAAACCATGTATTATTTGGATGTGGCTTCGGTGTGACGGGTAAGTGGAGTACTTTGAAGCTGGATCCTGTTTCACCAAGCACTCTCAGTGTTAGGATTCATGTATGTAAGGGCCAGCAGAAACCTAAAACTAGCAGTCTGTGACAAAATCTGATGGTCTCGTGCCTTCGGGCCGACATCTATTTCAAACACTGTAACCAGGTGACTAGGTTAACAAGCTAAGTGCAGTCTTCACATGACATCTGTTGACTAGGTTAACAAGCTACATGCAGTCTTCACATGACATCTGTTGACTAGGTTAACAAGCTACGTGCAGTCTTCACATGACATCTGTTGACTAGGTTAACAAGCTAAGTGCAGTCTTCACATGACATCTGTTGACTAGGTTAACAAGCTACATGCAGTCTTCACATGACCTCTGTTGACTAGGTTAACAAGCTACGTGCAGTCTTCACTTGACATCTGTTGACTAGGTTAACAAGCTACGTGCAGTCTTCACATGACATCTGTTGACTAGGTTAACAAGCTAAGTGCAGTCTTCACATGACATCTGTTGACTAGGTTAACAAGCTACGTGCAGTCTTCACTTGACATCTGTTGACTAGGTTAACAAGCTACGTGCAGTCTTCACATGACATCTGTTGACGAGGTTAACAAGCTAAGTGCAGTCTTCACATGACCTCTGTTGACTAGGTTAACAAGCTACATGCAGTCTTCACATGACCTCTGTTGACTAGGTTAACAAGCTACATGCAGTCTTCACATGACCTCTGTTGACTAGGTTAACAAGCTACGTGCAGTTTTCACATGACCTCTGTTGACTAGGTTAACAAGCTACGTGCAGTCTTCACATGACCTCTGTTGACTAGGTTAACAAGCTACGTGCAGTCTTCACTTGACCTCTGTTGACTAGGTTAACAAGCTACATGCAGTCTTCACATGACCTCTGTTGACTAGGTTAACAAGCTACGTGCAGTCTTCACTTGACCTCTGTTGACTAGGTTAACAAGCTACATGCAGTCTTCACATGACCTCTGTTGACTAGGTTAACAAGCTACGTGCAGTCTTCACATGACCTCTGTTGACTAGGTTAACAAGCTACGTGCAGTCTTCACTTGACCTCTGTTGACTAGGTTAACAAGCTACGTGCAGTCTTCACTTGACCTCTGTTGACTAGGTTAACAAGCTACATGCAGTCTTCACATGACCTCTGTTGACTAGGTTAACAAGCTACGTGCAGTCTTCACATGACATCTGTTGACTAGGTTAACAAGCTACGTGCAGTCTTCACTTGACCTCTGTTGACTAGGTTAACAAGCTACATGCAGTCTTTACATGACATCTGTTGACGAGGTTAACAAGCTAAGTGCAGTCTTCACATGACCTCTGTTGACTAGGTTAACAAGCTACGTGCAGTCTTTACATGACATCTGTTGACGAGGTTAACAAGCTAAGTGCAGTCTTCACATGACCTCTGTTGACTAGGTTAACAAGCTACGTGCAGTCTTCACTTGACCTCTGTTGACTAGGTTAACAAGCTACGTGCAGTCTTCACTTGACCTCTGTTGACTAGGTTAACAAGCTACGTGCAGTCTTCACTTGACATCTGTTGACTAGGTTAACAAGCTACGTGCAGTCTTCACATGACATCTGTTGACTAGGTTAACAAGCTACATGCAGTCTTCACTTGACCTCTGTTGACTAGGTTAACAAGCTACGTGCAGTCTTCACTTGACATCTGTTGACTAGGTTAACAAGCTACGTGCAGTCTTCACATGACATCTGTTGACTAGGTTAACAAGCTACGTGCAGTCTTTACATGACATCTGTTGACAAGGTTAACAAGCTACGTGCAGTCTTCACATGACATCTGTTGACTAGGTTAACAAGCTACATGCAGTCTTCACATGACATCTGTTGACTAGGTTAACAAGCTACGTGCAGTCTTCACATGACATCTGTTGACTAGGTTAACAAGCTACGTGCAGTCTTCACATGACATCTGTTGACTAGGTTAACAAGCTACATGCAGTCTTCACATGACCTCTGTTGACTAGGTTAACAAGCTACGTGCAGTCTTCACATGACATCTGTTGACGAGGTTAACAAGCTACGTGGAGTCTTCACTTGACATCTGTTGACTAGGTTAACAAGCTACGTGCAGTCTTCACATGACATCTGTTGACGAGGTTAACAAGCTACGTGGAGTCTTCACTTGACATCTGTTGACTAGGTTAACAAGCTACGTGCAGTCTTCACATGACATCTGTTGACGAGGTTAACAAGCTACATGCAGTCTTCACATGACCTCTGTTGACTAGGTAAACAAGCTAAGTGCAGTCTTCACATGACCTCTGTTGACTAGGTTAACAAGCTACGTGCAGTCTTCACTTGACATCTGTTGACTAGGTTAACAAGCTACGTGCATTCTTCACATGACATCTGTTGACTAGGTTAACAAGCTACGTGCAGTCTTCACATGACATCTGTTGACTAGGTTAACAAGCTACATGCAGTCTTCACATGACATCTGTTGACTAGGTTAACAAGCTACGTGCAGTCTTCACATGACATCTGTTGACTAGGTTAACAAGCTACATGCAGTCTTCACATGACATCTGTTGACTAGGTTAACAAGCTACGTGCAGTCTTCACATGACATCTGTTGACTAGGTTAACAAGCTACATGCAGTCTTCACATGACCTCTGTTGACTAGGTTAACAAGCTACGTGCAGTCTTCACATGACATCTGTTGACGAGGTTAACAAGCTACGTGGAGTCTTCACTTGACATCTGTTGACTAGGTTAACAAGCTACGTGCAGTCTTCACATGACATCTGTTGACTAGGTTAACAAGCTACGTGGAGTCCTCACTTGACATCTGTTGACTAGGTTAACAAGCTACGTGCAGTCTTCACATGACATCTGTTGACGAGGTTAACAAGCTACATGCAGTCTTCACATGACCTCTGTTGACTAGGTAAACAAGCTAAGTGCAGTCTTCACATGACCTCTGTTGACTAGGTTAACAAGCTACGTGCAGTCTTCACTTGACATCTGTTGACGAGGTTAACAAGCTACGTGCAGTCTTCACATGACATCTGTTGACTAGGTTAACAAGCTACGTGCAGTCTTCACATGACATCTGTTGACTAGGTTAACAAGCTACATGCAGTCTTCACATGACCTCTGTTGACGAGGTTAACAAGCTACATGCAGTCTTTACATGACCTCTGTTGACTAGGTTAACTAGCTACAAGCAGTCTTCACATGACCTCTGTTGACTAGGTTAACAAGCTACATGCAGTCTTCACATGACCTCTGTTGACATAGTTAACAAGCTACATGCAGTCTTCACATGACCTCTGTTGACTAGGTTAACTAGCTACATGCAGTCTTCACATGACCTCTGTTGACTTAGTTAACAAGCTACATGCAGTCTTCACATGACCTCTGTTGACTAGGTTAACTAGCTACATTCAGTCTTCACATGACCTCTGTTGACTAGGTTAACAAGATACGTGGAGTCTTCACATGACCTCTGTTGACTAGGTAAACAAGCAAACTGCAGTCTTCACATGACATCTGTTGACTAGGTTAACTAGCTACATGCAGTCTTTACATGACCTCTGTTGACTAGGTTAACAAGCTAAGGATCCCCTCCCTTGTGTTGCCTGTGTTCGAGAGAGCTGTGCGCAACTGTCCGTGGTCGTCACAGGTCTGGCAGGGCTACCTGCTGGCTCAAGAAAGACGTGGCGAGACGTTCGACACTGTGAAAGGTAAAGTGATGCTTTAAACATATCACAGATACTGACCGTTGTTTTGGCAAAACTTGTTTTTTGTGTAATAACCTCTAAGAGGTTTTACTTTCTCCTAGTAAGACCTGATGAGTTGAGCAACAGATGAATTTTAAATTTTGATGTTTCAAACATCCAAAGTTCTCAAATTGAAGAAAACAATTGAAATTTGTTCATTATGGATGTCGGGAGTCGAACCCACTACCTCCTGATTAGTGGTCAGTTTTTATTACTGGATGGATGGACATTTGAAAACCCTAAAAGTCTTATACAAAATCCTCCAATCACAGCTGCCAGATGATTCAAGCTGTACTGAAGCTCTTTTTGAACGTCTGATTGGATGTAGTAGAACCTCCAGTGTTGTACCTTGCCACCTAGGTCCATTGTACAGGGATTACCTCCCCTTGTCATTGTGTTCCAGGGTTGTACCTAGGTCCATTGTACAGGGATTACCTCCCCTTGTCATTGTGTTCCAGGGTTGTACCTAGGTTCATTGTACGGGGATTACCTCCCCTTGTCATTGTGTTCCAGGGTTGTACCTTGCCACCTAGGTCCATTGTACAGGGATTACCTCCCCTTGTCATTGTGTTCCAGGGTTGTACCTAGGTCCATTGTACAGGGATTACCTCCCCTTGTCATTGTGTTCCAGGGTTGTACCTAGGTCCATTGTACAGGGATTACCTCCCCTTGTCATTGTGTTCCAGGGTTGTACCTAGGTCCATTGTACAGGGATTACCTCCCCTTGTCATTGTGTTCCAGGGTTGTACCTAGGTCCATTGTACAGGGATTACCTCCCCTTGTCATTGTGTTCCAGGGTTGTACCTAGGTCCATTGTACAGGGATTACCTCCCCTTGTCATTGTGTTCCAGGGTTGTACCTAGGTCCATTGTACGGGGATTACCTCCCCTTGTCATTGTGTTCCAGGGTTGTACCTAGGTCCATTGTACGGGGATTACCTCCCCTTGTCATTGTGTTCCAGGGTTGTACCTAGGTCCATTGTACGGGGATTACCTCCCCTTGTCATTGTGTTCCAGGGTTGTACCTAGGTTCACTGTACAGGGATTACCTCCCCTTGTCATTGTGTTCCAGGGTTGTACCTAGGTCCATTGTACGGGGATTACCTCCCCTTGTCATTGGGTTCCAGGATTGTACCTAGGTTCACTGTACAGGGATTACCTCCCCTTGTCATTGGGTTCCAGGGTTGTACCTAGGTTCACTGTACAGGGATTACCTCCCCTTGTCATTGGGTTCCAGGGTTGTACCTAGGTTCACTGTACAGGGATTACCTCCCCTTGTCATTGGGTTCCAGGGTTGTACCTAGGTTCACTGTACAGGGATTACCTCCCCTTGTCATTGGGTTCCAGGGTTGTACCTAGGTTCACTGTACAGGGATTACCTCCCCTTGTCATTGGGTTCCAGGGTTGTACCTAGGTTCACTGTACAGGGATTACCTCCCCTTGTCATTGTGTTCCAGGGTTGTACCTAGGTCCATTGTACGGGGATTACCTCCCCTTGTCATTGTGTTCCAGGGTTGTACTCGGGTCCATTGTACGGGGATTACCTCCCCTTGTCATTGTGTTCCAGGGTTGTACCTAGGTTCACTGTACAGGGATTACCTCCCCTTGTCATTGGGTTCCAGGATTGTACCTGGGTTCACTGTACAGGATTACCTCCCCTTGTCATTGGGTTCCAGGGTTGTACCGAGCCTCTTACATCTGCTGTACAGGGATTACCTCCCCTTGTCAATGTGTTCCAGGGTTGTACTGAACCTCCTGCGTCCGCTTTACAGGGATTACCTCCCCTTGTCAATGTATTCCAGGGTTGTACCAAGCCACCTGGGTCGCTGTACAGGATTACCTCCCCTTGTCAATGTATTCCAGGGTTGTACCAAGCCACCTGGGTCGCTGTACAGGATTACCTCCCCTTGTCAATGTGTTCCAGGGTTGTACCAAGCCACCTGGGTTCACTGTACAAGGATTACCTCCCCTTGTCAATGTGTTCCAGGGTTGTACCAAGCCACCTGGGTCGCTGTACAGGATTACCTCCCCTTGTCAATGTATTCCAGGGTTGTACCAAGCCACCTGGGTCGCTGTACAGGATTACCTCCCCTTGTCAATGTGTTCCAGGGTTGTACCAAGCCACCTGGGTCGCTGTACAGGATTACCTCCCCTTGTCAATGTGTTCCAGGGTTGTACCAAGCCACCTGGGTCGCTGTACAGGATTACCTCCCCTTGTCAATGTGTTCCAGGGTTGTACCAAGCCACCTGGGTTCACTGTACAAGGATTACCTCCCCTTGTCAATGTATTCCAGGGTTGTACCAAGCCACCTGGGTCGCTGTACAGGATTACCTCCCCTTGTCATTGTGTTCCAAGGTTGTTCCTAGGCACCTAGGTTCACTGAACAAGGATTACCTCCCCTTGTCTTTGTGTTTCGACAGGCACCTTTGAACGGGCACTCACGTGTGGAATGGCCACTGGGTCGGACTACCTGCTGCTGTGGACAGGATACTGTGACTACCTGCGGAGGAGAGTGGACTGGCAGTCAGGTGGGTGGGCTGTTCAAGACAGGGTTGAGTCAAGTGGGTGTTGTGGCAGACAGGTGGGTGTGGTGGCAGACAGGTGGGTGTGGTGGCAGGCAGGTGGGTGTGGTGGCAGGCAGGTGGGTGTGGTGGCAGGCAGGTGGTTGGGCTGTTCAAGGCAGGGTTGAATCTCTCAGGTGGGTGTGGTGGCAGGCAGGTGGGTGTGGTGGCAGGCAGGTGGGTGTGGTGGCAGACAGGTGGGTGTGGTGGCAGTCAGGCGGGTGTGGTGGCAGTCAGGTGGGTGTGGTGGCAGTCAGGTGGGTGTGGTGGCAGACAGGTGGGTGTGGTGGCAGACAGGTGGGTGTGGTGGCAGACAGGTGGGTGTGGTGGCAGTCAGGTGGGTGTGATGGCAGTCAAGTGTGTATGGTGGCAGTCAAGTGGGTGTGGTGGCAGACAGGTGGGTGTGGTGGCAGACAGGTGGGTGTGGTGGCAGACAGGTGGGTGTGGTGGCAGTCAGGTGGTTGGGCTGTTCAAGGCAGGGTTGAATCTCTCAGGTGGGTGTGGTGGCAGTCAGGTGGGTGTGGTGGCAGGCAGGTGGGTGTGATGGCAGACAGGTGGTTGGGCTGTTCAAGGCAGGGTTGAATCTCTCAGGTGGGTGTGGTGGCAGTCAGGTGGGTGTGGTGGCAGGCAGGTGGGTGTGATGGCAGACAGGTGGTTGGGCTGTTCAAGGCAGGGTTGAATCTCTCAGGTGGGTGTGGTGGCAGTCAGGTGGGTGTGGTGGCAGGCGGGTGGGTGTGGTGGCAGTCAGGTGGGTGTGATGGCAGACAGGTGGTTGGGCTGTTCAAGGCAGGGTTGAATCTCTCAGGTGGGTGTGGTGGCAGTCAGGTGGGTGTGGTGGCAGGCAGGTGGGTGTGGTGGCAGGAAGGTGGTTGGGCTGTTCAAGGCAGGGTTGAATCTCTCAGGTGGGTGTGGTGGCAGTCAGGTGGGTGTGGTGGCAGGCGGGTGGGTGTGGTGGCAGTCAGGTGGGTGTGATGGCAGACAGGTGGTTGGGCTGTTCAAGGCAGGGTTGAATCTCTCAGGTGGGTGTGGTGGCAGTCAGGTGGGTGTGGTGGCAGGCAGGTGGGTGGAGTGGCAGTCAGGTGGGTGTGATGGCAGACAGGTGGTTGGGCTGTTCAAGGCAGGGTTGAATCTCTCAGGTGGGTGTGGTGGCAGTCAGGTGGGTGTGGTGGCAGTCAGGTGGGTGTGGTGGCAGTCAGGTGGGTGTGATGGCACTCAAGTGGGTGTGGTGGCAGTCAAGTGGGTGTGGTGGCAGTCAGGTGGGTGTGGTGGCAGGCAGGTGGGTGTGGTGGCAGTCAAGTGGGTGTGGTGGCAGACAGGTTGGTGTGGTGGCAGGCAGGTGGGTGTGATGGCAGTCAGGTCGGTGTGGTGGCAGTCAGGTGGGTGTTGTGGCAGTCAAGTGGGTGTGGTGGCAGACAGGTTGGTGTGGTGGCAGACAGGTGGGTGTGGTGGCAGTCAGGTGGGTGTGATGGCAGACAGGTGGGTTTGGTGGCAGGGAGTTGGGTGTGGTGGCAGTCAGGTGGGTGTGGTGGCAGTCAAGTGGGTGTGGTGGCAGACAGGTTGGTGTGGTGGCAGACAGGTGGGTGTGGTGGCAGTCAGGTGGGTGTGATGGCAGACAGGTGGGTTTGGTGGCAGGGAGTTGGGTGTGATGGCAGACAGGTGGGTGTGGTGGCAGTCAGGTGGGTGTGGTGGCAGACAGGTTGGTGAGGTGGCAGGCAGGTGGGTGTGGTGGCAGTCAAGTGGGTGTGGTGGCAGTCAGGTGGGTGTGGTGGCAGTCAAGTGGGTGTGGTGACAGTCAGGTGGGTGTGGTGGCAGTCAAGTGGGTGTGGTGGCAGTCAGGTGGGTGTGATGGCAGACAGGTGGGTTTGGTGGCAGGGAGTTGGGTGTGATGGCAGACAGGTGGGTGTGGTGGCAGTCAGGTGGGTGTGGTGGCAGTCAGGTGGGTGTGGTTGCAGGCAGGTGGGTGTGGTGGCAGACAGGTGGTTTGGCTGTTCAAGGCAGGGTTGAATCTCTCAGGTGGGTGTGGCGGCAGTCAGGGTGTGGTGGCAGTCAGGGTGTGGTGGCATTTAGGTGGGTATGGCGGCAATCAAGTTGGTGTGGTGGCAGTAGGTTGGATGGGCTGTTCAAGGAAGGATTGAATCTCTCAGGTGGGTGTGGTGGCAGTCAAGTGGGTGTGGTGGCAGTCAAGTGGGTGTGGTGGCAGTCAAGGGGGTGTGGTGGCAGGCAGGTGGGTGTGGTGGCAGTCAAGCGGGTGTGGTGGCAGTCAAGTGGGTGTGGTGGCAGTCAAGGGGGTGTGGTGGCAGGCAGGTGGGTGTGGTGGCAGTCAAGCGGGTGTGGTGGCAGTCAAGTGGGTGTGGTGGCAGTCAAGCGGGTGTGGTGGCAGGCAGGTGGGTGTGGTGGCAGGCAGGTGGGTGTGGTGGCAGACAGGTGGGTGTGGTGGCAGTAGGTTGGATGGGCTGTTACACCCAAACCGCAAAGTTTAACACGGAATATTCCAAATGACAGTTTCAGGCTGTATAACTGATTCAGTCAAGATCATTGACCATCTCTCGCTTCAATGGGATATACATTTTGAAACTCATGTCATGTAGCTTGAGAAATCTGCTTTCTGATTGGCAAATCTCTTCCAATCATTTAATCATTTCATTGGTTGGTCAAAGTTTGCAAAGGTTCTGGCTTGACTTGTTATAGGATCAGAGCTACAGATAATCTGATAATCCAAAATATTCAAAACTCAATTACTTTCAATTAACTTCCATACAGAAACGCATGCATTAAATGAAAATCTCAAATGTATAAAAACAGCTCGCGTGAAAACCCAATGAAGCTTTTTCAGCATGTGTACCAAGGAGCTGATTTCAAAAACACAATTACGAGCTAATTTACTTTCTGAATCAAGGTTATATATATAGAACAGTTATTTGCATCTAGAACATTATTTCATTTTTTTTAGATCTTAAAATGTTCACAAATTTGGGGAAAAACCCAATATTCATACATCTAAAACATTTTTATTTGTTTTAAATCTTAAAATGTTCACTAATATGGGGAAAAACCCCAATAGAGTGCTGAATAGATGAGTGAAAACATTGGTTACCCAATGAAAAATATAATAACCCAATTAAGATAGAAACCCTAGAGTAAAAACTCAATTGCTCGAAAAGTTATCTGGAGCTCTGAGGATGTCCTCAGATATATGGCGGAACCAAGAACATTGATCTGATTTGAATGAGATTGGTTGAATTTAGGGTTTAGATCACTCACTGATCCAGTGAAATGGATACAGTTGCAGGCTAGCAGCTCTCCGTCCTAGATAATTCATCAGTGGGAACAACAGATGCAGTTTGCATTTATATATTTACTGATGGAAATGTTTACTCTCAGATCACACAGAGCAGCTGAAGACACTGCGAACAACGCTGCAGAGGGCCGTGGACCACCTGATGGAGCGTAAGTGTGTCACCAGTAACCATTTCTATACTTATCATACATTGCTACATCTAAGTACTATATACTAGTCCACAAGTCGTTATAATGACAACATATAGCAAAACCCTTAAAAATGGGAATTTTCTACTAGTCCTTATGATACCTTAACTATATCCCGCTGTGTAGTGTGTCCCCAGCAACCAGACACAGTTTGTTTGTTGTTAAATGCCGCACAAAATGACACTGGTCTGTAAATAATCGAGTCTGGACCAGACAATCCAGTGATTGATATCATGAGCAGCCATCCGCACATTTGGGATACAATCACATGCATCAGCCATGTCAGCGAGCCTGACCATCCAATTCCACTCGATTGAGGCGCCACTGTAGTTGCAATTTGGTCAGTTGAGGCAGTATGCTCTTGTTTCCTTGGTGCAGTGTTTCAAGGTGTTCTAGTGACAGAAGAAAGTATGTCATCAAACACTCCCATGAAAAGATGTTGTCGAGGTTGTGATGTTGTGAAGATTGTGATGTTGTGAAGGTTGTGATGTGTGTTGTCAAGGTTGTGATGTCAGGGTTGTGATGTTGTGTGTTGTCAAGGTTGTAATGTGTTGTCAAGGTTGTGATGTTGTCTGTTGTCAAGGTTGTGATGCTGTGTGTTGTCAAGGTTGTGATGCTGTGTGTTGTCAAGGTTGTAATGTTGTCTGTTGTCAAGGTTGTTATGTTGTGTGTTGTCAAGGTTGTAATGTTGTGTTGTCAAGGTTGTGATGCTGTGTTGTCAAGGTTGTGATGCTGTGTGTTGTCAAGGTTGTGATGTTGTGTGTTGTCAAGGTTGTAATGTTGTGTTGTCAAGGTTGTAATGTTGTGTATTGTCAAAGTTGTAATGTTGTGTGTTGTCAAGGTTGTAATGTAGTGTTGTCAAGGTTGTAATGTTGTGTGTTGTCAAGGTTGTAATGTTGTGTTGTCAAGGTTGTAATGTTGTGTGTTGTAATGTTGTGTTGTCAAGGTTGTGATGGCGTGTGTTGTCAAGGTTGTAATGTTGTGTTGTCAAGGTTGTAATGTTGTGTGTTGTCAAGGTTGTAATGTTGTGTTGTCAAGGTTGTAATGTTGTGTGTTGTCAAGGTTGTAATGTTGTGTTGTCAGGGTTGTGATGCTGTGTGTTGTCAAGGTTGTAATGTTGTGTGTTGTCAAGGTTGTACTGTTGTGTGTTGTCAAGGTTGTAATGTTGTGTTGTCAAGGTTGTAATGTGTTGTCAAGGTTGTGATGCTGTGTGTTGCTGTGTGTTGTCAAGGTTGTAATGTGTTGTCAAGGTTGTAATGTTGTGTTGTCAAGGTTGTAATGTGTTGTCAAGGTTGGGAAGTTGTGTGTAGTCAAGGTTGTAATGTGTTGTCAAGGTTGTAATGTTGTGTATTGTCAAGGTTGTAATGTGTTGTCAAGGTTGTGATGCTGTGTGTTGTCAAGGTTGTAATGTGTTGTCAAGGTTGTAATGTTGTGTTGTCAAGGTTGTAATGTGTTGTCAAGGTTGGGAAGTTGTGTGTTGTCAAGGTTGTAATGTTGTGTTGTCAAGGTTGTAATGTTGTCTGTTGTCAAGGTTGCAATGTTGTCTTGTCAAGGTTGTAATGTTGTGTGTTGTAATGTTGTGTTGTCAAGGTTGTGATGTTGTGTGTTGTCAAGGTTGTAATGTTGTTTGTTTGTAAAGGTTGTAATGTTGTGTAGTCAAGGTTGTAATGTTGTGTTGTCAAGGTTGTAATGTTGTGTGTTGTCAAGGTTGTAATGTGTTGTCAAGGTTGTGATGCTGTGTGTTGTCAAGGTTGTAATGTGTTGTCAAGGTTGTAATGTTGTGTTGTCAAGGTTGTAATGTGTTGTCAAGGTTGGGAAGTTGTGTGTTGTCAAGGTTGTAATGTTGTGTTGTCAAGGTTGTAATGTTGTCTGTTGTCAAGGTTGCAATGTTGTCTTGTCAAGGTTGTAATGTTGTGTGTTGTAATGTTGTGTTGTCAAGGTTGTGATGTTGTGTGTTGTCAAGGTTGTAATGTGTTGTCAAGGTTGTAATGTTGTGTGATGTAATGTTGTGTTGTCAAGGTTGTGATGGCGTGTGTTGTCAAGGTTGTAATGTTGTGTGTTTTCAAGGTTGTAATGTTGTGTGTTGTCAAGGTTGTAATGTGTTGTCAAGGTTGTGATGTTTGTTGTCAAGGTTGTGATGCTGTGTGTTGTCAAGGCTGTGATGTTGTGTGTTGTCAAGGTTGTGATGCTGTGTGTTGTCAAGGTTGTGATGCTGTGTGTTGTCAAGGTTGTGATGCTGTGTGTTGTCAAGGTTGTGATGCTGTGTGTTGTCAAGGCTGTGATGTTGTCAAGGTTGTGATGCTGTGTGTTGTCAAGGTTGTGATGCTGTGTGTTGTCAAGGTTGTGATGCTGTGTGTTGTCAAGGCTGTGATGTTGTCAAGGTTGTGATGCTGTGTGTTGTCAAGGTTGTGATGCTGTGATGTTTTCAAGGTTGTGATGTTGTCAAGGTTGTGATATTGGGTTCCAGATTTTGGGACTGAGGGTGACCCGACTGGCAGTCTGAGACAGTTCTGGGCCACGATGGAGGTGAGCCACATGGATGTAGTTCCCTTGGACACAGTTCTCACACTGACAGTAACGGCAACTAGACAGGACTGTAGTTCCCTTGGACACAGTTCCCACACTGACAGTAACAGCAACTATACAGGACTGTAGTTCCCTTGGACACAGTTCTCACACTGACAGTAACAGCAACTAGACATGGATGTAGTTCCCTTGGACACAGTTCTCACACTGACAGTAACAGCAACTAGACATGGATGTAGTTCCCTTGGACACAGTTCTCACACTGACAGTAACAGCAACTAGACATGGATGTAGTTCCCTTGGACACAGTTCTCACACTGACAGTAACAGCAACTAGACAGGACTGTAGTTCCCTTGGACAAAGTTCTCACACTGACAGTAACAGCAAGTAGACAGGACTGTAGTTCCCTTGGACACAGTTCTCACACTGACAGTAACAGCAACTAGACAGGACTGTAGTTCCCTTGGACACAGTTCTCACACTGACAGTAACAGCAACTATACAGGACTGTAGTTCCCTTGGACACAGTTCTCACACTGACAGTAACAGCAAGTAGACAGGACTGTAGTTCCCTTGGACAAAGTTCTCACACTGACAGTAACAGCAACTAGACAGGACTGTAGTTCCCTTGGACACAGTTCTCACACTGACAGTAACAGTAACTAGACAGGACTGTAGTTCCCTTGGACAAAGTTCTCACACTGACAGTAACAGCAACTAGACAGGACTGTAGTTCCCTTGGACACAGTTCTCACACTGACAGTAACAGCAACTAGACATGGATGTAGTTCCCTTGGACACAGTTCTCACACTGACAGTAACAGCAACTAGACAGGACTGTAGTTCCCTTGGACACAGTTCTCACACTGACAGTAACAGCAACTAGACAGGACTGTAGTTCCCTTGGACACAGTTCTCACACTGACAGTAACAGCAACTAGACATGGATGTAGTTCCCTTGGACACAGTTCTCACACTGACAGTAACAGCAACTAGACAGGACTGTAGTTCCCTTGGACACAGTTCTCACACTGACAGTAACAGCAACTAGACATGGATGTAGTTCCCTTGGACACAGTTCTCACACTGACAGTAACAGCAACTAGACAGGACTGTAGTTCCCTTGGACACAGTTCTCACACTGACAGTAACAGCAACTAGACAGGACTGTAGTTCCCTTGGACACAGTTCTCACACTGACAGTAACGGCAACTAGACATGGATGTAGTTCCCTTGGACACAGTTCTCACACTGACAGTAACAGCAACTAGACATGGATGTAGTTCCCTTGGACACAGTTCTCACACTGACAGTAACAGCAACTAGACATGGATGTAGTTCCCTTGGACACAGTTCTCACACTGACAGTAACAGCAACTAGACATGGATGTAGTTCCCTTGGACACAGTTCTCACACTGACAGTAACAGCAACTAGACATGGATGTAGTTCCCTTGGACACAGTTCTCACACTGACAGTAACAGCAACTAGACAGGACTGTAGTTCCCTTGGACACAGTTCTCACACTGACAGTAACGGCAACTAGACATGGACTGTAGTTCCCTTGGACACAGTTCTCACACTGACAGTAACAGCAACTAGACATGGATGTAGTTCCCTTGGACACAGTTCTCACACTGACAGTAACAGCAACTAGACAGGACTGTAGTTCCCTTGGACACAGTTCTCACACTGACAGTAACAGCAACTAGACAGGACTGTAGTTCCCTTGGACACAGTTCTCACACTGACAGTAACAGCAACTAGACAGGACTGTAGTTCCCTTGGACACAGTTCTCACACTGACAGTAACGGCAACTAGACATGGATGTAGTTCCCTCGGACACAGTTCTCACACTGACAGTAACAGCAACTAGACATGGATGTAGTTCCCTTGGACACAGTTCTCACACTGACAGTAACGGCAACTAGACATGGATGTAGTTCCCTTGGACACAGTTCTCACACTGACAGTAACAGCAACTAGACATGGATGTAGTTCCCTTGGACACAGTTCTCACACTGACAGTAACAGCAACTAGACATGGATGTAGTTCCCTTGGACACAGTTCTCACACTGACAGTAACAGCAACTAGACAGGACTGTAGTTCCCTTGGACACAGTTCTCACACTGACAGTAACGGCAACTAGACATGGACTGTAGTTCCCTTGGACACAGTTCTCACACTGACAGTAACAGCAACTAGACAGGACTGTAGTTCCCTTGGACACAGTTCTCACACTGACAGTAACAGCAACTAGACATGGATGTAGTTCCCTTGGACACAGTTCTCACACTGACAGTAACAGCAACTAGACAGGACTGTAGTTCCCTTGGACACAGTTCTCACACTGACAGTAACAGCAACTAGACAGGACTGTAGTTCCCTTGGACACAGTTCTCACACTGACAGTAACGGCAACTAGACATGGATGTAGTTCCCTTGGACACAGTTCTCACACTGACAGTAACAGCAACTAGACATGGATGTAGTTCCCTTGGACACAGTTCTCACACTGACAGTAACAGCAACTAGACATGGATGTAGTTCCCTTGGACACAGTTCTCACACTGACAGTAACAGCAACTAGACATGGATGTAGTTCCCTTGGACACAGTTCTCACACTGACAGTAACAGCAACTAGACATGGATGTAGTTCCCTTGGACACAGTTCTCACACTGACAGTAACAGCAACTAGACAGGACTGTAGTTCCCTTGGACACAGTTCTCACACTGACAGTAACGGCAACTAGACATGGACTGTAGTTCCCTTGGACACAGTTCTCACACTGACAGTAACAGCAACTAGACATGGATGTAGTTCCCTTGGACACAGTTCTCACACTGACAGTAACAGCAACTAGACAGGACTGTAGTTCCCTTGGACACAGTTCTCACACTGACAGTAACAGCAACTAGACAGGACTGTAGTTCCCTTGGACACAGTTCTCACACTGACAGTAACAGCAACTAGACAGGACTGTAGTTCCCTTGGACACAGTTCTCACACTGACAGTAACGGCAACTAGACATGGATGTAGTTCCCTCGGACACAGTTCTCACACTGACAGTAACAGCAACTAGACATGGATGTAGTTCCCTTGGACACAGTTCTCACACTGACAGTAACGGCAACTAGACATGGATGTAGTTCCCTTGGACACAGTTCTCACACTGACAGTAACAGCAACTAGACATGGATGTAGTTCCCTTGGACACAGTTCTCACACTGACAGTAACAGCAACTAGACATGGATGTAGTTCCCTTGGACACAGTTCTCACACTGACAGTAACAGCAACTAGACAGGACTGTAGTTCCCTTGGACACAGTTCTCACACTGACAGTAACGGCAACTAGACATGGACTGTAGTTCCCTTGGACACAGTTCTCACACTGACAGTAACAGCAACTAGACATGGATGTAGTTCCCTTGGACACAGTTCTCACACTGACAGTAACAGCAACTAGACAGGACTGTAGTTCCCTTGGACACAGTTCTCACACTGACAGTAACAGCAACTAGACAGGACTGTAGTTCCCTTGGACACAGTTCTCACACTGACAGTAACAGCAACTAGACAGGACTGTAGTTCCCTTGGACACAGTTCTCACACTGACAGTAACGGCAACTAGACATGGATGTAGTTCCCTCGGACACAGTTCTCACACTGACAGTAACAGCAACTAGACATGGATGTAGTTCCCTTGGACACAGTTCTCACACTGACAGTAACGGCAACTAGACATGGATGTAGTTCCCTTGGACACAGTTCTCACACTGACAGTAACGGCAACTAGACATGGATGTAGTTCCCTTGGACACAGTTCTCACACTGACAGTAACAGCAACTAGACATGGATGTAGTTCCCTTGGACACAGTTCTCACACTGACAGTAACAGCAACTAGACAGGACTGTAGTTCCCTCGGACACAGTTCTCACACTGACAGTAACAGTAACTAGACAGGACTGTAGTTCCCTGGGACACAGACATGACTGAAGGATGACACTGTTACTGCATTCATGTGGTAGCAGATGACCCTGTAATTGCATTCACGTGGTAGCAGATGACCCCGTTACTGCATTCACGTGGTAGCAGACAGGACTATGGGTGAAACTGTAATTGCATTCACGTGGTAGCAGACAGGACTAAGGGTGACAACTGAGTTTTCTCTTTTATGAATTCAGGGTAAATTTTGTAAAAACATGGAGAAGGCTCGAGAGCTGTGGAACAGCATCATGACCGAGGGCCACGGCAGCACGGCGAGAATGTGGCTGGAGTACTACAGACTGGAGAGGTAGGAGATAGAGAACTACAGACTGGAGAGGTAGGAGGAGATAGTGTACTACAGACTGGAGAGGTATGAGGAGATAGTGTACTACAGCATGGAGAGGTAGGAGATAGTGTACTACAGACTGGAGAGGTAGGAGGAGATAGTGTACTACAGCGTGGAGAGGTAGGAGATAGAGAACTACAGACTGGAGAGGTAGGAGGAGATAGTGTACTACAGACTGGAGAGGTAGGAGGAGATTGTGTACTACAGACTGGAGAGGTAGGAGGAGATTGTGTACTACAGCATGGAGAGGTAGGAGGAGATAGTGTACTACAGACTAGAGAGGTAGGAGGAGATTGTGTACTACAGCATGGAGAGGTAGGAGATAGTGTACTACAGACTGGAGAGGTAGGAGGAGATAGTGTACTACAGCATGGAGAGGTAGGAGGAGATAGTGTACTACAGACTGGAGAGGTAGGAGATAGTGTACTACAGCATGGAGAGATAGGAGATAGTGTACTACAGACTGGAGAGGTAGGAGATAGTGTACTACAGACTGGAGAGGTAGGAGATAGTTTACTACAGACTGGAGAGGTAGGAGATAGTGTACTACAGACTGGAGAGGTAGGAGATAGTGTACTACAGACTGGAGAGGTAGGAGGAGATTGTGTACTACAGCATGGAGAGGTAGGAGGAGATAGTGTACTACAGACTAGAGAGGTAGGAGGAGATTGTGTACTACAGCATGGAGAGGTAGGAGATAGTGTACTACAGACTGGAGAGGTAGGAGGAGATAGTGTACTACAGCATGGAGAGGTAGGAGGAGATAGTGTACTACAGACTGGAGAGGTAGGAGATAGTGTACTACAGACTGGAGAGATAGGAGACAGTGTACTACAGCGTAGAGAGGTAGGAGATAGTGTACTACAGACTGGAGAGGTAGGAGGAGATAGTGTACTACAGACTGGAGAGGTAGGAGATAGTGTACTACCGCGTGGAGAGGTAGGAGATAGTGTACTACAGCGTGGAGAGGTAGGAGATAGTGTACTACAGCATGGAGAGGTAGGAGGAGATAGTGTACTACCGCGTGGAGAGGTAGGAGATAGTGTACTACAGCATGGAGAGGTAGGAGATAGTGTACTACAGCATGGAGAGGTAGGAGGAGATAGTGTACTACAGACTGGAGAGGTAGGAGATAGTAGGCTGGAGAGGAGATTTGTTTACAGGGATAAATTTAGAAAGTGGTGGTCAATTTAACCAGATATGATACATCTATGATAGTCCATCATTAAAGATAGAAGCTGAACCACTTTTGTTCTTTCTACAGTCTTTGTGAAGTGTTGATGTGAAGCGCCATCGTGAGATTGCAGGATTGTTTCAGGATGTGTGGAGATAACAAGCACTGCCGGAGGCTGCTTCAGAAAGCCCTCAACTCTGTCACGGACTGGCCTGAATCCATCACAGAGGCCTACATCAACTTTGAGAGGGAGGAGGGTAAGTGCAAGGGACTCTGAGGTTTTGACTGGATGCTAGGGGGATGCTGGACTAGTCCTGCTGTGTACTGTAGGGATGTAGGCAGGCTGTTGTAGGAGAGTCTGGCTTGAGGATCACCTTGTTCTTTTCGTTACAGGAAGTCTGGAGTTGTATGACCTGGCAGTGGTCAAGTGTGAAGCTCAGCTGAAGAGGATCAACGAGAGAAGAGAAAAGGTGAGCATTGCTGTATCTTGTATGTCCATGTATATCCCTTCCACCTCTGTGGTCTCGTGGTTGAGCGTGCACCCAGAGAGGGGAAGGTCCGGGGTTCGATACCCAGCAACATCAAACCAAGATGGTATGTTACTTGTTGTTACCCTACCTAGTGCTCCGGCATAAAGGGGCTAAAACAAGGACTGGTCGACTCGGAGTCAGTAGACTGTGTCTGAGTGAGGTGTCCATGTGTAACTGTGGCATGGTATCTCAGTGGGCTCTCTGTAGAACCTTGGATGCGATGTGAAACCCCATTTCACACACACACCATGTATGTTTCTGGATGTCTTTGTATGCCCCCGTATCTTTCTGTACCCCTCTCTCTGGATGTCCCTGTATCTTTCTGTACCCCTCTCTCTGGATGTCCCTGTATCTTTCTGTACCCCTCTCTCTGGATGCCCCTGTATCTTTCTGTACCCCTCTCTCTGGATGTCCCTGTATCTTTCTGTACCCCTCTCTCTGGATGCCCCTGTATCTTTCTGTACCCCTCTCTCTGGATGTCCCTGGGGCGGCTGGGTAGCCTTGTGGCTAAAGCGTTTGCTCGTCACCCCGAAGACCCGAGTTCAATTTCCGACATGGGTACAATGTGTGCAGCCCATTTCTGGTGTCCCCCGTCGTGATATTGCTGTAATATTGCTAAAAGCAGCGTAAAACCATACTCACTCACTCACTCACTGTATGTCCCTGTTACCAATTGCTTGTAGACTTCCACATGCCAACTCACTCACTCACTCACTCACTCACTCACTCACTCACCTACCCACCCACACACCCACCCACACACACACACACACACCCACTCACTCACCCATCCAACCAACCCCACTCACTCACTCACTCACTCACTCACTCACTCACCCACCCACCCATCCACCCACTCACTCACTCACTCACTCACTCACCCACTCACTCACTCACTAACTCACTCACTCACTCACTCACTCACTCATCCACCCGCCCGCCCGCCCACTCACTCACTCACTCACTCACTCATCCAACCAAACCCACTCACTCACTCACTCACTCACCCACCCACCCACCCACCCACCCACCCACCCACTCACTCACTCACTCACCCACCCAGCCACCCACTCACTCACTCAATCACTCACCCACCCACCCACCCACTCACTCACCCACTCACTCACTCACTCACTCACTCACTCACTCACTCACTCACCTACCCACCCACACACCTACCCACCCACACACCCACCCACACACACACCCACCCACCCACTCACTCACTCACTCACTCACTCACTCACTCACTCACTCACTCACTCACCCACCCACCCACCCACTCACTCACTCACTCACTCACTCACTCACCCATCCAACCAACCCCACTCACTCACTCACTCACCCACCCATCCACCCACTCACTCACTCACTCACTCACTCACTCACTCACTCACTCACCCACCCACCCGCCCGCCCACTCACTCACTCACTCACTCACTCACCCATCAAACCAACCCCACTCACTCACTCACTCACCCACCCACCCACTCACCCACCCACTCACTCACTCACTCACCCACCCACCCACCCACCCATCCACCCACTCACTCACCCACTCACTCACTCACTCACCCACCCACCCACCCACCCACTCACCCACCCACTCACTCACTCACTCACTCACTCACCCACCCATCCACCCACTCACTCACCCACTCACCCACTCACCCACTCACTCACTCACTCACTCACTCACTCACTCACTCACTCACCCACCCACCCACCCACCCATCCACCCACTCACTCACCCACTCACTCACTCACTCACTCACTCACCCACTCACTCACTCACTCACTCACTCACTCGGTGTTTCAGGCAGCTCAGAAGGAAGCCATGCAGGAGGAGCAGCAGAAGAATCAGAAATCTGTAAAGAAAATACTGAAGAAATCAGAGAAACAACAGCACAATCAACAACAACAACAACACAAACAACAACAGCACAAGTCGGGGATCAAGTCTGAGGTAGAGATGCAGGCGGGACAGAAGAGAAAGGTCAGTAGACACCTTGGGTTTGTATCCCTGTATGTCCCTGAACTCTGTATGTGGGTCCTGGTTATCTAAAGCATTGCAGTTTGGAGATGAGCTACGCTCACCAGTAACCATGGTTACCTATGATCAAGGGTTCGAATTCCCCGAATTTGTTTCTTGGTTTGGCATCACAGTCATTGTAATCCTGTCAGACTCGTGACACTTGGGGCTTCTCTCCCACATCAAGCTGACAGACTGACGGGTACACGACACATCCTGCCTGGGTACGCCAGCTGTCATCTTCTGAATACCATCTTGTTTTAGTTCAAGGAGGAGTTCAAGACTCCCCCACCCCCAGGGTTCAAAGGGGAACCACCCCCGGGCTACAAGGGCGAACCCCCCACCAAGAAGGCAAAAGGTAAGGACTTCACTTGTCGATTACATGTGGAATTTGTATTACAAGGTTGCTTCTGTTTTTATTTTCTGTCTCTGTGATTTTCCTGTGGTAATTAATTGATAACAACTTGGGTTTATGGTGATATAGCTACCAAGCCCGAGGGACCACTCCCCCATGTTACATTCATTCCCAGCATGCGGGGCGGCCGTGTTGCGTACTCTGCCGGCTTCAAGTACACGGTCAACAGCACTCGGGCCACGACCACGTACTGGAAGTGTCGAGAATACAAGTGCTCGGGGACCTTGGTCACACGTAACGATGTTGCTGCAAGAGCATGCCCCAGGAAACATAATCACCCACCATCGCCATTTTTATACGGGCAAGACTTCTTCAAGTACCAACTGATGGAGCGTGCCCGAAGAGAGGCTGTGCCTGTGCCAAGAATCTACAAGGAAGAACTTGCCCGGTTGACACAAGTCTCAAGTTTGTTGCCGGCCAAGATGCTTCATGTGATACCTTGTTTTGAATCCGTCAAGACGTCCATGTACCGAGAACGCCACAAGGCACAGGTGGAAGGAAAACGGTGTGACCTCCGACCCCTGGCTGGTCACCAGGGTGAAAGTGAGGCTGGTGGTCATGACCTTGGGGAGGTGCAGTTGAACAGTAAACATTGTGCTCAAGATTGGAATTCAAATGTGGAATCTCTTGCCAACACATACATTGACAACACACACATTGACAACACACTTATTGACAACAAGAACATTGACAATAAAAACATTGACAACAAACACATTTATCAAAATGATTATGAAATTTGTGATATTAAACAGTCTGCTGATGATCCTACCATTGGTGCTGAGACTACCCAATACGCTCATGGTGTCAGCCACTGTGAGAGTTTATATCACGTTGATACGGGAAGCAGGTGTGACACTGGTAGCCATGGTGATGTCATGCAGAAAGAGGAGAATCCTGCAGCTACATCGTGTCTACATAGTTCAGGTTCTTGCCATCCTTTCTGTGAAAATATCAAGTCTGAACATTTGTCTGAGACGTCAGAACAACACAATTGTGAAGTTGATGACTTTGTTGAGAGGGATGTTCTCGGAACACCCCCCTTGACTGGAGGTGAAGGTCGTCACGCATGTCATCTCACGGCTGTGTGTGATGACCGTGATGTGAAGCCAGTGATTAAAGGTGACGCCAGGCACATACAGCAGGATATTGGGACACACCCTTTCTCATGCGGGACACCATCTGGGACTACATATGCCTGTGATATCCAGTCTGCCTGTAGGACACCATTTGCCTGTGGGACTACATCTGCCTGTGAAACACCATCTGCCTGTGGGACACCATCTGCCTGTGAGACACCATCTGCCTGTAGGACTACATCTGCCTGTGAGACACCATCTGCCTGTAGGACTACATCTGCCTGTGCGACTACATCTGCCTGTGATATCCAGTCTGCCTGTGGGACTACATCTGCCTGTGAAACACCATCTGCCTGTGGGACTACATCTGCCTGTGATATCCAGTCTGCTTGTGGTATGTTTAGTCTTTGAGGCAAGGTTATACAGAGAAATTTCTCTAAACTGGACAGGTGCAGACCAATGCCACTTCAAAGACAAAGTAGCCATGTTGTTGAAAGTAGCCATGGTGTTTGGCCTGTTGATAGTTTATTTCTGAGAAGGTGTTTGAGAAGAATTAGTTTATTTCTGAGAAGGTGTTTGAGAAGAATTAATGTGAACTTTGCAAATTGAAGGACAATAAAATTTAATAATATAAATATTTTTGTTTTTCTCATTTGAATGTTACATATATTTGATGATGGCAGTCCAAGTGATGAATACCTCAGGAAGATAGAAGTAGCATACTGAATGAGGAACCTGCAAGACATTGGTATTGACAAAGGATGGTTTAGAGAAGTTTTGCTGTAGGCCAAGCGTGCTATGTAATAACAGTTTCAATAACACAGTTGTATCCAATATGACACAATGTAATCTAACCCTGGTGATGGCTCCACTATCTGGGCTACACAATGTAACCCTGGTGATGGCTACACTGACTGGGCTACACAATGTAACCCCGTTGATGGCTCTACTGACTGGACTACACAATGTAACCCCGGTGATGGCTACACTGACTGGACTACACAATGTAACCCCAGTGATGGCTCTACTGACTTGGCTACACAATGTTACCCCGGTGATGGCTCCACTGACTAGGCTACACAATGTAACCCCGTTGATGGCTACACTGACTGGACTACACAATGTAACCCTGGTGATGGCTCCACTATCTGGGCTACACAATGTAACCCCGGTGATAGCTCCACTGATTGGACTACACAATGTAACCCCGGTGATGGCTCCACTATCTGGGCTACACAATGTAACCCCGGTGATGGCTGCACTATCTGGGCTACACAATGTAACCCTGGTGATGGCTCCACTGACTGGGCTACACAATGTAACCCCGGTGATGGCTCCACTGACTGGACTACACAATGTAACCCCGGTGATGGCTACACTGACTGGACTACACAATGTAACCCTGGTGATGGCTCCACTGACTGGGCTACACATTGTAACCCCGGTGATGGCTCCACTGACTGGACTACACAATGTAACCCTGGTGATAGCTCCACTGACTGGGCTACACAATGTAACCCTGGTGATGGCTCCACTATCTGGGCTACACAATGTAACCCTGGTGATGGCTACACTGACTGAACTACACAATGTAACCCTGGTGATGGCTCCACTGACTGGGTTACACAATGTAACCCCGGTGATAGCTCTACTGACTAGGCGACACAATGTTACCCCGGTGATGGCTCCACTGACTGGGCTACACAATGTAACCCTGGTGATGGCTACACTGACTGGGTTACACAATGTAACCCCGGTGATGGCGACACTGACTGGGCTACACAATGTAACCCTGGTGATGGCTCTACTGACTGGACTACACAATGTAACCCCGGTGATAGCTCCACTGACTGGACTACACAATGTAACCCCGGTGATGGCTCCACTGACTGGACTACACAATGTAACCCTGGTGATGGCTCCACTGACTGGGCTACACAATGTAACCCCGGTGATGGCTACACTGACTGGACTACACAATGTAACCCCGGTGATGGCTCCACTATCTGGGCTACACAATGTAACCCCGGTGATGGCTCCACTATCTGGGCTACACAATGTAACCCTGGTGATGGCTCCACTGGCTGGACTACACAATGTAACCCCGGTGATGGCTCTACTGACTGGACTACACAATGTAACCCTGGCGATGGCTCCACGGACTGGGTTACACAATGTAACCCTGGTGATGGCTCCACTGGCTGGACTACACAATGTAACCCTGGTGATGGCTCTACTGACTGGACTACACAATGTAACCCTGGTGATGGCTCCACTGACTGGGTTACACAATGTAACCCTGGTGATGGCTCCACTGGCTGGACTACACAATGTAACCCCGGTGATGGCTCCACTGACTGGACTACACGATGTAACCCCGGTGATGGCTCCACTGACTAGGCTACACAATGTAACCCCGGTGATGGCTCCACTGACTGGACTACACGATGTAACCCCGGTGATGGCTCCACTGACTAGGCTACACAATGTAACCCCGGTGATGGCTCTACTGACTGGGCTACACAATGTAACCCCGGTGATGGCTCCACTATCTGGGCTACACAATGTAACCCCGGTGATGGCTCCACTATCTGGGCTACACAATGTAACCCTTGTGATGGCTCCACTGACTGGACTACACAATGTAACCCCGGTGATGGCTCTACTGACTGGACTACACAATGTAACCCTGGTGATGGCTCCACTGACTGGGTTACACAATGTAACCCTGGTGATGGCTCCACTGGCTGGACTACACAATGTAACCCCGGTGATGGCTCTACTGACTGGACTACACAATGTAACCCTGGTGATGGCTCCACTGACTGGGTTACACAATGTAACCCTGGTGATGGCTCCACTGACTGGGTTACACAATGTATTCAGTTTATGAAATATATTAAATGCTTCTTTAGTCTCTTATGGTTTTTCAGAGTCAGAATAAGTCCCCAATACCCCAAGTTTATCTCCCTGTGGGGTTTCTGTGTTAGAATAAGTCCCCAATACCCCAAGTTTATCTCCCTGTGGGGATTCTGTGTTAGAATAAGCCCCCAATACCCCAAGTTTATCTCCCTGTGGGGTTTCTGTGTTAGAATAAATCCCCAATACCCCAAGTTTATTTCCCTGTGGGGTTTCTGTGTTAGAATAAGTCCCCAATACCACAAGTCTATCTCCCTGTGGGGTTTCTGTGTTAGAATAAGTCCCCAATACCACAAGTCTATCTTCCTTTTGGGATACTATGTTAGAATAAGTCCCCAGTACCCCAAGTTTATCTGCCTGTTGGGTTTCAGAATCAGATGGGGGACGGTCGGGTAGCCTAGTGGTTAAAGCGTTCGCTCGTCACGTCGAAGACCCGGGTTCGATTCCCGACATGGGTACAATGTTTGAAGCCCATTTCTGGTGTCCCGCGCCGTGATATTGCTGGAATATTGCTAAAAGCGGCGTAAAACCATACTCACTCACTCACTCAGAATCAGATGGGGTCCTCCAGTACCACATGCTTGTCTCTCTGTGAGGTCTCTGTGTCAGATGGGGTCCTCCAGTACCACATGCTTGTCTCTCTGTGAGGTCTCTGTGTCAGACGGGGTCCCCCAGTACCACATGCTTTTTTCTCTGTGAGGTCTCTGTGTCAGACGGGGTCCTCCAGTACCACATGCTTGTCTCTCTGTGAGGTCTCTGTGTCAGACGGGGTCCCCCAGTACCACATGCTTGTCTCTCTGTGAGGTCTCTGTGTCAGACGGGGTCCCCCAGTACCACATGCTTGTCTCTCTGTGAGGTCTCTGTGTCAGACGGGGTCCCCCTAGGACCACATGCTTGTCTCTCTGTGAGGTCTCTGTGTCAGACGGGGTCCCCCAGTACCACATGCTTTTCTCTCTGTGAGGTCTCTGTGTCAGACGGGGTCCTCCAGTACCACATGCTTGTCTCTCTGTGAGGTCTCTCTGTCAGACGGGGTCCCCCAGTACCACATGCTTTTCTCTCTGTGAGGTCTCTGTGTCAGACGGGGTCCTCCTGTACCACATGCTTGTCTCTCTGTGAGGTCTCTGTGTCAGACGGGGTCCCCCAGTACCACATGCTTGTCTCTCTGTGAGGTCTCTGTGTCAGACGGGGTCCCCCAGTACCACATGCTTGTCTCACTGTGAGGTCTCTGTGTCAGACGGGGTCCCCCTAGGACCACATGCTTGTCTCTCTGTGAGGTCTCTGTGTCAGACAGGGTCCTCCTCTACCACATGCTTGTCTCTCTGTGAGGTCTCTGTGTCAGACGGGGTCCCCCAGTACCACATGCTTTTCTCTCTGTGAGGTCTCTGTGTCAGACGGGGTCCTCCAGTACCACATGCTTGTCTCTCTGTGAGGTCTGTGTGTCAGATGGGGTCCTCCAGTACCACATGCTTGTCTCTCTGTGAGGTCTCTGTGTCAGACGGGGTCCCCCAGTACCACATGCTTTTCTCTCTGTGAGGTCTCTGTGTCAGATGGGGTCCTCCAGTACCACATGCTTGTCTCTCTGTGAGGTCTCTGTGTCAGACGGGGTCCCCCTAGGACCACATGCTTGTCTCTCTGTGAGGTCTCTGTGTCAGACAGGGTCCTCCTCTACCACATGCTTTTCTCTCTGTGAGGTCTCTGTGTCAGACGGGGTCCCCCAGTACCACATGCTTGTCTCTCTGTGAGGTCTCTGTGTCAGACGGGGTCCTCCAGTACCACATGCTTGTCTCTCTGTGAGGTCTCTGTGTCAGACGGGGTCCTCCTGTAGCACATGCTTGTCTCTCTGTGAGGTCTCTGTGTCAGACGGGGTCCTCCTGTACCACATGCTTGTCTCTCTGTGAGGTCTCTGTGTCAGACGGGGTCCTCCAGTACCACATGCTTGTCTCTCTGTGAGGTCTCTGTGTCAGACGGGGTCCTCCTCTACCACATGCTTGTCTCTCTGTGAGGTCTCTGTGTCAGATGGGGTCCTCCTGTACCACATGCTTGTCTCTCTGTGAGGTCTCTGTGTCAGACGGGGTCCTCCTGTACCACATGCTTGTCTCTCTGTGAGGTCTCTGTGTTAGACGGGGTCCTCCAGTACCACATGCTTGTCTCTCTGTGAGGTCTCTGTGTCAGACGGGGTCCTCCATACCACATGCTTGTCTCTCTGTGAGGTCTCTGTGTCAGACGGGGTCCTCCTGTAGCACATGCTTGTCTCTCTGTGAGGTCTCTGTGTCAGACGGGGTCCCCCAGTACCACATGCTTGTCTCTCTGTGAGGTCTCTGTGTCAGACAAGGTCCCCAGTACCCAGCCTTGAATCAATTCAATTCAATGGTTTATTGTATGAAAGGCCATTGGCCCATATACAAGTGAGTTACATAGACACACAGTTATACGAACAAATATTGCAGTATAGGGAGTATCAAGACAACAACAACTGAATCAGGGCTAGCTGGTCACAGTGCCTTGAATTATTGAGTTTGGCAAATCGTCTGATGTGGGCTGATATGTAGAACACTGTCTTATATGGGCCGATGTGTAGAACACTGTCTGATGGTATAATATATAGCCTACTGTCTGATGCACGGGAAATATGTAGACCATTGTCAGATGTAGGCTGATATATAGACTACTGTCTGCTGGTATGATATATAGACTACTATCTGCTGGTATGATATATAGATTACTGTCTGCTAGTATGATATATAGACTTCTGTCTGCCAGTGTGATATTTAGACTACTCTCTGCTGGTATGTTATATAGATTACTGTCTGCTGGTATGATATATAGACTGCTGTCTGCTGGTATGATAAACAGACTTCTGTCTGCTGGTATGATTTAGAGACTACTGTCTGCTGGTATGAGATATAGACTACTGTCTGCTGGTATGATATATAGATTACTGTCTGCTGGTATGATATATAGACTACTGTCTGCCGGTATGATATTTAGACTACTCTCTGCTGGTATGTTATATAGATTACTGTCTGCTGGTATGATATATAGACTGCTGTCTGCTGGTATGATATACAGACTTCTGTCTGCTGGTATGATTTAGAGACTACTGTCTGCTGGTATGAGATATAGACTACTGTCTGCTGGTATGATATATAGATTACTGTCTGCTGGTATGATATATAGACTTCTGTCTGCCGGTATGATATTTAGACTACTCTCTGCTGGTATGTTATATAGATTACTGTCTGCTGGTATGATATATAGACTGATGTCTGCTGGTATGATATACAGACTTCTGTCTGCTGGTATGATATATAGACTACTGTCTGCTGGTATGAGATATAGACTACTCTCTGCTGGTATGATATATAGATTACTGTCTGCTGGTATCATATATAGACTACTGTCTGCCGGTATGATATTTAGACTACTCTCTGCTGGTATGTTATATTGATTACTGTCTGCTGGTATATAGACTACTGTCTGCTGGTATGATATATAGCCTACTGTCTGATGCACGGGAAATATGTAGACCATTGTCTGATGTAGGCTGATATATAGACTACTGTCTGCTGGTATGATATATAGCCTACTGTCTGCTGGTATGATATATAGCCTACTGTCTGCTGGTATGATATATAGACTTCTGTCTGCCAGTATGATATTTAGACTACTGTCTGCTGGTATGATATATAGACTACTGTCTGCTGGTATGATATATAGACTACTGTCTGCTGGTATGATATATAGCCTACTGTCTGCTGGTATGATATATAGACTACTGTTTGCCGGTATGATATATAGCCTACTGTCTGCTGGTATGATATATAGCCTACTGTCTGCTGGTATGATATATAGACTACTGTCTGATGCACGGGAAATATGTAAACCATTGTCTGATGTAGGCTGATATATAGACTACTGTCTGCTGGTATGATATATAGCCTACTGTCTGCTGGTATGATATATAGACTACTGTCTGTTACAGAAGAGGACCATGGTATTTTGGTTCAGCATGATTCTTCCAAGGACAGCCGAACCGCTTTTGTCAGCAATCTGTCTTATAGTTTGGAAGAAGATCCCATCAAAGAGATGTTCATCAAGGTTTGTTTGTACATGTGACAAGCCTCTTTCATCATCAAAAGACATCTTGAGAACCATCAAAACCCAAGTCGTTGTAATTATCAAAACTGTAGGCCATTCACTTTGTTATGAATAACAGTAAATTTCACATTGTTTGTCCCTGGGATTTTTTCTGAAGCTGTATGTGTAAAAACTTCATCTCCTCCTTATTGACTATCATTACTTCATACAGAAATGTGGAGTGAAAATCGTTTTTGATCAACAAAAGCTAAAATATGTTTTCAATTTTGTTCATGTTGCGACTGCACTAAATGAGGTTTCATTTGTTGTTACTGCATATCGGCTCATCTTGCCCCCAATTGCACTTCCCGAGGTTTTATTCACGACGCATCCTAAAAGACTTGTGTCAATGGACACAAGTGTAATTATGTCAAACATTAATGGGTGATGTTAGCTCATTCAAAATGGTCACAGATTGCTTGAAATATGAGTCTTTAACCTGTTTCAACAGTGTGGAGAAGTCACGGAGGTGCGCTTGGTCCGAAACTACAAGGGCAAATCAAAGGGCTATGCCTACGTCGAGTTTAAGGATGAGGTGAGGCTTAATTGAAATATGTGATGTAGGTCTGTGTGATGTAGATCTGTGTGATGTAGATCTGTGTGATGTAGGTCTGTGTGATGTAGGTCTGTGTGATGTAGATCTCTATAATGTAGATCTGTGTGATGTAGGTCTGTGTGATGTAGGTCTACGTGATGTAGGTCTGTGTGATGTAGATCTCTATAATGTAGATCTGTGTGATGTAGATCTGTGTGATGTAGGTCTGTGTGATGTAGATCTCTATAATGTAGATCTGTGTGATGTAGATCTGTGTGATGTAGGTCTATGTGATGTAGGTCTGTTTGATGTAGGTCTTTGTGATGTAGATCTCTGTGATGTAAGTCTGTGTGATGTAGATATGTTGGATGTAGGTCTATTTGATGTAGGTCTCTTCAATGTAGATCTCTGTGATGTAGGTCTGTGTGATGTAGATCTGTGTGATGTAGGTCTGTGTGATGTAAGTCTCTGTTATGTAGGACTGTGTGACGTAGGTGTGTGGGATGTAGGTCTGTGTGATGTAGTTCTCTGTGATGTAGGTGTGTGTGATGTAGGTCTGTGTGATGTAGTTCTCTGTGATGTAGGTCTGTGTGATGTTAGTGTGTGTGATGTAGGTCTGTGGGATGTAGTTCTGTGGGATGTAGGTCTGTGGGATGTAGGTCTGTGTGATGTAGGTCTGTGTGATGTAGATCTGTGTGATGTAGGTCTGTGTGATGTAGGTCTCTTCAATGTAGATCTCTGTGATGTAGGTCTGTGTGATGTAGATCTCTCAGATGTAGAACTGTGTGATGTAGATCTGTGTGATGTAGGTCTGTGTGATGTAGGTCTCTTCAATGTAGATCTCTGTGATGTAGGTCTGTGTGATGTAGATCTCTCAGATGTAGAACTGTGTGATGTAGATCTGTGTGATGTAGGTCTCTGTGATGTAGGTCTCTTCAATGTAGATCTCTGTGATGTAGGTCTGTGTGATGTAGGTCTCTTCAATGTAGATCTCTGTGATGTAGGTCTGTGTGATGTAGGTCTGTGTGATGTAGGTCTGTGTGATGTAGGTCTGTGTGATGGAGATCTGTGTGATGTAAGTCTCTGTTATGTAGGTCTGTGTGATGTAGGTCTGTGTGATGTAGTTCTCTGTGATGTAGGTCTGTGTGATGTAGGTCTGTGTGATGTAGATCTGTGTGATGTAGGTCTGTGTGATGTAGGTCTGTGTGATGTAGATCTCTGTGTTGTAGGTCTGTGTGATGTAGATCTCTGTGATGTAGGTCTGTGTGATGTAAGTCTCTGTTATGTAGGACTGTGTGACGTAGGTGTGTGGGATGTAGGTCTGTGTCATGTAGTTCTCTGTGATGTAGGTCTGTGTGATGTAGGTCTGTGTGATGTAGTTCTCTGTGATGTAGGTCTGTGTGATGTTAATGTGTGTGATGTAGGTCTGTGGGATGTAGTTCTGTGGGATGTAGGTCTGTGTCATGTAGGTCTGTGTGATGTAGATCTGTGTGATGTAGGTCTGTGTGATGTAGGTCTGTGTGATGTAGTTCTCTGTGATGTAGGTCTGTGTGATGTAGATCTGTGTGATGTAGGTCTGTGTGATGTAGGTCTGTGTGATGTAGATCTCTGTGATGTAGGTCTGTGTGATGTAGATCTGTGTGATGTAGGTCTGTGTGATGTAAGTCTCTGTTATGTAGGACTGTGTGACGTAGGTGTGTGGGATGTAGGTCTGTGTGATGTAGTTCTCTGTGATGTAGGTGTGTGTGATGTAGGTCTGTGTGATGTAGTTCTCTGTGATGTAGGTCTGTGTGATGTTAGTGTGTGTGATGTAGGTCTGTGGGATGTAGTTCTGTGGGATGTAGGTGTGTGTCATGTAGGTCTGTGTCATGTAGGTCTGTGTGATGTAGATTTGTGTGATGTAGGTCTGTGTGATGTAGGTCTCTTCAATGTAGATCTCTGTGATGTAGGTCTGTGTGATGTAGATCTCTCAGATGTAGAACTGTGTGATGTAGATCTGTGTGATGTAGGTCTGTGTGATGTAGGTCTCTTCAATGTAGATCTCTGTGATGTAGGTCGGTGTGATGTAGATCTCTCAGATGTAGAACTGTGTGATGTAGGTCTGTGTGATGTAGGTCTCTGTGATGTAGGTCTCTTCAATGTAGATCTCTGTGATGTAGGTCTGTGTGATGTAGATCTGTGTGATGTAGGTCTGTGTGATGTAGGTCTGTGTGATGTAGGTGTGTGTGATGTAGGTCTCTTCAATGTAGATCTGTGTGATGTAGGTCTGTGTGATGTAGGTCTCTTCAATGTAGATCTCTGTGATGTAGGTCTCTGTGATGTAGATCTGTGTGATGTAGATCTGTGTGATGTAGGTCTGTGTGATGTAGGTCTCTCAGATGTAGATCTCTGTGATGTAGGTCTGTGTGATGTAGGTCTGTGTGATGTAGATCTGTGTGATGTAGGTCTGTGTGATGTAGGTCTGTGTGATGTAGTTCTCTGTGATGTAGGTCTGTGTGATGTAGGTCTCTTCAATGTAGATCTCTGTGATGTAGGTCTGTGTGATGTAGATCTGTGTGATGTAGGTCTGTGTGATGTAGGTCTTTGTGATGGAGATCTGTGTGATGTAAGTCTCTGTTATGTAGGTCTGTGTGATGTAGGTCTGTGTGATGTAGTTCTCTGTGATGTAGGTCTGTGTGATGTAGGTCTGTGTGATGTAGATCTGTGTGATGTAGGTCTGTGTGATGTAGTTCTGTGTGATGTAGGTCTCTGTGTTGTAGGTCTGTTTGATGTAAGTCTCTGTTGTGTAGGTCTGTGTGACGTAGGTGTGTGGGATGTAGGTCTGTGTGATGTAGTTCTCTGTGATGTAGGTCTGTGTGATGTAGGTCTCTTCAATGTAGATCTCTGTGATGTAAGTCTGTGTGATGTAGATCTGTGGGATGTAGGTCTGTGGGATGTAGGTCTGTGGGATGTAGGTCTCTTCAATGTAGATCTCTGTGATGTAGGTCTGTGTGATGTAGATCTGTGTGACGTAGGTGTGTGGGATGTAGGTCTGTGTGATGTAGTTCTCTGTAATGTAGGTCTGTTTGATGTAGGTCTGTGTGATGTAGGTCTGTGTGATTTAGGTCTGTGTGATGTAGATCTGTGTGATGTAAGTCTCTGTTATGTAGGTCTGGGATGTAGGTCTGTGTGATGTAGGTCTGTGTGATGTAGGTCTGTGTGAAGTAGTTCTCTTTGATGTAGGTCTGTGTGATGTAGGTCTGTGTGATGTAGATCTGTGTGATGTAGGTCTGTGTGATGTAGGTCTGTGTGATGTAGGTCTCTGTGTTGTAGGTCTGTGTGATGTAAGTCTCTGTGATGTAAGTCTCTCTTATGTAGGTCTGTGTGACGTAGGTGTGTGGGATGTAGGTCTGTGTGATGTAGTTCTCTGTGATGTAGGTCTGTGTGACATAGGTCTCTTCAATGTAGATCTCTGTGATGTTATTCTGTGTGATGTAGATATGTGGGATGTGATCTCTGAGATGTACGTCTGTGTGATGTGGGTCTGTGTGATGTAGGTCTGTGTGATGTAGATATGTGTGATGTAGGTCTGTGTGATGTAGGTCTCTTCAATGTAGATCTCTGAGATGTAGGTCTGTGTGGTGTAGGTCTGTGTGATATGGGTCTGTGTGATGTAGGTCTGTGTGATGTAGATTTTGAGATGTAGGTCTGTGTGTTGTAGGTCTGTGTGGTGTAGGTCTGTGTGATGTAGATCTCTGAGATGTAGGTCTGTGTGATGTAGGTCTGTGTGATGTAGATCTGTGTGTTGTAGGTCTGTGTGATGTAGGTCTCTGTGATGTAGATCTCTGAGATGTAGGTCTGTGTGCTGTGTGATGTAGGTCTGTGTGATGTGGGTCTGTGTGATGTAGGTCTGTGTGATGTAGGTTTATGTTATGTAGATCTGTGAGATGTAGGTCTGTGTGATGTAGATCTGTGTGATGTAGGTCTGTGTGATGTAGATCTCTGAGATGTAGGTCGGTGTGCTGTGTGATGTAGGTCTGTGTGATGTAGGTCTGTGTGATGTAGATCTGTATGATGTAGATCTTTGTGATGTAGGTCTGTGTGATGTAGGTCTGTGTGATGTAGATCTCTGTGGATACGATGACATGCATCAACGAAGTCGCCAAGCCTCACCACCTGATCCCTTTGTTCACCTCTTATGAAGGCTTGGATCTCTATGATGTAGATCTGTGCGGGGGAGACGTCAGTGATGTTGATCTGTGCGGGGGAGACGTCAGTGATGTAGATCTGTGCGGGGGAGACGTCAGTGATGTAGATCTGTGCGGGGGAGACGTCAGTGATGTAGATCTGTGCGGGGGAGACGTCAGTGATGTAGATCTGTGCGGGGGAGACGTCAGTGATGTAGATCTGTGCGGGGGAGACGTCAGTGATGTAGATCTGTGCGGGGGAGACGTCAGTGATGTAGATCTGTGCGGGGGAGACGTCAGTGATGTAGATCTGTGCGGGGGAGACGTCAGTGATGTAGATCTGTGCGGGGGAGACGTCAGTGATGTAGATCTGTGTGGGGGAGACGTCAGTGATGTAGATCTATGATGTAGATCTGTGTGGGGGAGACGTCAGTGATGTAGATCTGTGCGGGGGAGATGTCAGTGATGTAGATCTGTGCGGGGGAGACGTCAGTGATGTAGATCTGTGCGGGGGAGACGTCAGTGATGTAGATCTGTGTGGGGGAGACGTCAGTGATGTAGATCTGTGTGGGGGAGACGTCAGTGATGTAGATCTGTGTGGGGGAGACGTCAGTGATGTAGATCTATGATGTAGATCTGTGTGGGGGAGACGTCAGTGATGTAGATCTATATGGGGGAGACGTCAGTGATTTAGATCTATGTTGGGGAGACGTCAGTGATGTAGATCTGTGCGGGGGAGACGTCAGTGATGTAGATCTGTGTGGGGGAGACGTCAGTGACGTAGATCTATGCGGGGGAGATGTCAGTGACGTAGATCTGTGCGGGGGAGACGTCAGTGATGTAGATCTGTGCGGAGGAGAAGTCAGTGATGTAGATCTATGCGGGGGAGACGTCAGTGATGTAGATCTATGCGGGGGAGACGTCAGTGACGTAGATCTGTGTGGGGGAGACGTCAGTGATGTAGATCTGTGTGGGGGAGACGTCAGTGATGTAGATCTGTGTGGGGGAGACGTCAGTGATGTAGATCTATGATGTAGATCTGTGTGGGGGAGACGTCAGTGATGTAGATCTGTGCGGGGGAGACGTCAGTGATGTAGATCTGTGTGGGGGAGACGTCAGTGATGTAGATCTGTGTGGGGGAGACGTCAGTGATGTAGATCTGTGTGGGGGAGACGTCAGTGATGTAGATCTGTGCGGGGGAGACGTCAGTGATGTAGATCTATGTGGGGGAGACGTCAGTGATTTAGATCTATGTTGGGGAGACGTCAGTGATGTAGATCTATGTGGGGGAGACGTCAGTGATTTAGATCTATGTGGGGGAGACGTCAGTGATGTAGATCTATGTTGGGGAGACGTCAGTGATTTAGATCTATGTCTGGGAGACGTCAGTGATTTAGATCTATGTGGGGGAGACGTAAGTGATGTAGATCTGTGTGGGGGAGACGTCAGTGACGTAGATCTATGTGGGGGAGACGTCAGTGACGTAGATCTATGCGGGGGAGATGTCAGTGACGTAGATCTGTGAGGGGGAGACGTCAGTGATGTAGATCTGTGCGGGGGAGACGTCAGTAATGTAGATCTATGCGGGGGAGACGTCAGTGATGTAGATCTATGTGGGGGAGACGTCAGTGATGTAGATCTGTGCGGGGGAGACGTCAGTGATGTAGATCTGTGCGGGGGAGACGTCAGTGATGTAGATCTGTGTGGGGGAGACGTCAGTGATGTAGATCTGTGCGGGGGAGACGTCAGTGATGTAGATCTGTGCGGGGGAGACGTCAGTGATGTAGATCTGTGCGGGGGAGACGTCAGTGATGTAGATCTGTGCGGGGGAGACGTCAGTGATGTAGATCTGTGCGGGGGAGACGTCAGTGATGTAGATCTGTGTGGGGGAGACGTCAGTGATGTAGATCTGTGTGGGGGAGACGTCAGTGATGTTGATCTGTGCGGGGGAGACGTCAGTGATGTAGATCTGTGCGGGGGAGACGTCAGTGATGTAGATCTATGATGCTCTTCTTTGAGGAATGTGTCGGTGTCTACTCACTGATACATTCTCAAGAGAAAGTCCTTGTTGTTTTCTGTTTTACAGTTTTGTGTACTTGAAGCCCTGAAATTGGACCGAGAGTTGATAGAAGGCCGGCCGATGTATGTCTCCAAGTGTGAAGACAGATCAGCGGCCAGATCCAAGCCACAGTTTAAGGTGATTCATAGTTTCATAGTGTCTGTGAAACAATCTGTTGTGATTAAATTCTGTCGTTAGCGATTTCCTATTTCCATATAGCTTTTTTCTGACATTACATTTAGGCTAGTGTTTGAAGTCTGGCCTTGAGAAGTTCTGGTATTTGTCTCACTATGTCCATGGTGTCTGTGTTTCAGTTTGCAATGGAGATCGAAAAGAACAAGCTGTTTGTGAAAGGTCTCCCCTTCACTTGCAACAAGGAGGCTGTGACCAACATCTTCAGCCAGGTGAGTCCCGCGACAACACTCACTCACTCACTCAATCACACAGCGGGTTCTGAGTGAGTGAGTGAGTGAGTAACATATCTGATGAAGACTTTGAGTAATGGGGGACAGGGATGGACAAAATGTCTGTGCCTCCAAAGTGTGATGAGCAGAGTTATGTCCCCTAGACATGGCTGGATCCTATGATCATTGTTTCGAATCCCAGACTTGCCCTTGTTTTATAAGCACCATTCATGGGCTTCACCAAAAAGTGGTGGACATTTATGACCTGCATCAGTGAAGGTTATTCTGGGGGGCACGGGGGGGCACGGGTGGCTCAGTTGTCTAAGGCACCGCGATTCGCTGTGCAGAGTTGCGTCCCTTGAGCACGCCAGAAATCCCGGTTCAGCCCGATTATGTTTCTAGGTTTGTCAGCACCATACCCGTGCTCGTGGGTTTCACCGAAAGTGGTAAACGTCTGAGACCTGCATCACTTCAGGCTTTTCCTCCCACATTAAGCTGACACGCCGTGATATAACTGGAATACTGTTAAAAGCGGCGTTAAACCCAACTCACTCACACTCACTCTAAATTATTCTGACACCCTGTGAAATAATAGAAATAACTCAAAATGGCACAAAATCCAACAGGTCCATTAACTGATTGTCATGTTTCCTCCTCAGCATGGCAAAGTGAAGGACGTTCGTCTTGTCACCTACAGGAGCGGTTCATCTAAAGGGATCGCGTACGTTGAATACGAAACAGAGGTAAGGGAAGGTAACCCATCTTTGAGAGGCACGTCTGAGGAGACTGTGTATGTAGGAGACATCTGCATCATTTCAATAATTATCACAGGTTATTCCTACTTCACATTGATCGAATGTTTGTCATCCTGTATCATTGCTTGTCAGGACGAGGCAACACAAGCCGTGATGAAGACGGACGGACTCCTGGTGGGGGAGCATACGCTATCGGTGGCCATCAGCAACCCCCCTCCCCGTAAACAGCCCGAGGCACGGAGGGGGGAGGAGTTCGAACGCACGCCGTCCCTGGGGAGTGGCAAGAAGGAAACTGACCAGTCAGTAAATTTTGTTCATTCATTTTAGTTCCTCGTGGAGATTCCGGGTTAAAATTGGTCCCTAGCAACCTATGCTGGTAGTAAGAGGCAACTGTTTGTTTGTATGTTTGTTGTTTAACGCCGCACTCAGCAATATTCCAGCTATATGATGGCGGTCTGTAAATAATCAAGTCTGGACCAGACAATCCAGTGATTGACATCATGAACATTGATCTACGCAATTGGGATACAATGACATGCATCAACCAAGTCAGCGAGCCTGACCACCCGATCCCGTTAGTCGCCTCTTACGACAAGCATAGTCTCCATGGGTTGCCGACGACCTATTCTTCCCCGGATCTTCACGGGTCCAATGGATTGGGCAGTCAGGTTGTGTGTCCTCACACCCAGACGTCATGGATCACTGGATTATCTCGTCTGGTCGGAGTTGATTATTTACAAGCAGGCATTACGTAGCTGAAATATTGCCGAGAGTGCCATTAAACAACAAACAGATCATCCAGCCGAGATATTGCTGCTGCTTCCCGCATCTGTATGTCACCGGGGTGACACGATAGTCAGGTCACGATATCGAATCTTTACGACAAACTGTGTGGAAAATTCTGGACCATAAATATTTCAGAGCAGGTTGAAAAGGAAAAGCTAGCTGTAGCCACATGTTTAGGGATGCTATTTTTAAGTTGTGAACTTTAATTACATTTTGTAATATTTGAGTGACAAAAATGCTGGGGGGGGGTCATCAAATGAGTAATGTATTGTAGCAAGTGTGTCATCTTGCATGGATACAAAAAAATGTTTTGTGTATATAAACTCACGATGCACCAATGTATCGTTTGACCCCAAGAATATACGATTGATTCATGTAAAAGCACCTTTCAATCAAGTTATGATAGGAGTTGAAATATCACCACCCTCCATTGCCAGTCATCCCATTAAACTCTGACACAACACATGGATGTTCCAGGCGAGGAAAGGTCAGGACTCAGGTGGCGCTCGTCCCGAGATCTGTGAAGCGAGGTCCATCATCGTCCACCATCAGTGCCGACTCCAACTCCACCAATGGCCAGCAGTCTGACAAGTCAACAGCCGGGATGAGCAACGCAGACTTCAGGAGCATGTTGCTACAGAAGTAGGAACACAACCGGATTACCTGAAGCACCACAGGCTGAACACCTTCATTTGTCTGTTTGTTCCATTCAAGACATTGCTTGGTTTTTATCCAGTAAGAATACTCTTGAATGTTACATATGTAGACCTGTGCAATCGGTCTGTTCAGTAGCATGGAGTGAAGAAGGAGCTGACACTCACAGGTCACAGGTTTGAAGGTGGTTTCTCATCTGTTTCCTTTTCTTTACGCCCCAGTATCGTGAGTGAACTGACGTGGATCAGCTGAGACCCGCCAGACTCGAATCACATGACGAGATGTCTCCACTCACCCAGTCTTCATCACAACTTGGATGAGATGTTTATAATGTAATCTCTGAAACTGACAGCGTGAACGTCATTTTCTGGGTCCCATTTTCTGTACATTTCTAATCAATGTATATTATGTGAATAAACATCTTTTCTTAACTGGTCTAAACTTTTATAAGTGGGTCCAGTTATGAAGTCATTGTGTCCTGCTGGGATCCAGCCGATATTCGATGGTTTGGACCTCTGATGTACCATGCATGTACCCCATGTTGGTCCTCTGCCTGATGGCCTGTATGTATGTACCATGGTGGACGTCTGATGGCCTGTATGTATGTACCGCGTTGGACGTCTGATGGCCCGTTTGTATGTACCGCGTTGGACGTCTGATGGCCAGTATGTACCGTGTTGGACGTCTGATGGCCAGTATGTACCGTGTTGGACGTCTGATGGCCCGTATGTATGTACCGTGTTGGACGTCTGATGGCCAGTATGTACCGTGTTGGACGTCTGATGGCCCGTATGTATGTACCGCGTTGGACGTCTGATGGCCGGTATGTATGTACCGTGTTTGACGTCTGATGGCCCGTACGTATGTACCGCGTTGGACGTCTGATGGCCGGTATGTATGTACCGTGTTGGACGTCTGATGGCCCCTATGTACCGTGTTGGACGTCTGATGGCCCGTATGTATGTACCGTGTTGGACGTCTGATGGCCTGTATGTATGTACCATGTTGGACGTCTGATGGCCCGTATGTATGTACCGCGTTGGACGTCTGATGGCCCGTATGTATGTACCGTGTTGGACGTCTGATGGCCCGTATGTGCTGTGTTTGACGTCTGATGGCCCGTATGTATGTACCATGGTGGATGTCTGATGGCCAGTATGTATGTACCGTGTTGGACGTCTGATGGCCCGTATGTATGTACCGTGTTGGACGTCTGATGGCCTGTATGTATGTACCGTGTTGGACGTCTGATGGCCCGTATGTATGTACCGTGTTGGACGTCTGATGGCCTGTATGTATGTACCGTGTTGGACGTCTGATGGCCCGTATGTATGTACCGTGTTGGACGTCTGATGGCCCGTATGTATGTACCGTGTTTGACGTCTGATGGCCTGTATGTATGTACCGTGTTGGACGTCTGATGGCCTGTATGTATGTACCATGGTGGATGTCTGAATTATCTATGTCAGACCTGTGCAGGTCAGAAGCTGTCAACAAAATCAATGTCAAATATATATTTATTTCCATATGTACAAAATCTGAAGTTGAGGAAGGGAGAGCACTTCCTCTGCAGGGCTCCATGGACGATGAACAGAGTTACTCTCAATGTTGAAGCTTGGTACAATGCTTTATGTAATTAGTACACATTCTGAGTGAGTGAGAGTTTGGTTTTACGCTGCTTTTAGCAATACTCCAGCAATATCACGGCGGGAACACCAAAAATGAGCTTCACACATTGTACCCATGCCAGGAATGGAACCCAGGTCTTCGACGTGACGGAGTAATCAGTGATAGCACATAGTTTGACTCTTGACCCTGGCAGTGACAATTCACAGGATATCCATATTTATCATATAATGGGTAGGTTTCTCGGCAGGATAAAGCCAACGGATAAAAACGATATCCGTTGGGGTCATATGCGGATAGAGATGCAAATATCAAAGGTCAAGTAGGGACTACTTTCACCGTTTATAAACAAACATGGCGTCGCCCTCGACATTCGGCGATCGAGTCAGAATTAACCAACTGGAATCTGGATAAACTACAGGGATAATTGCTATCATTATCAAAAGAACAGTCTTTTATACTGAAAATCAGTGTCTAACTGTTACGTAGCTAAGGCATTTTATAAGTTTTGGCAACTTTGGAGATATAAATTTCGAAACAATTTTGCGAGGGCACGAGGCCTAGCCAAGCGGGATCAGTAGCCATATCTGTGCTTGTAGACCTCTGCGGCTTGAAACCTTCTCCACAAATTAAAATAGTTGGATTTGGCCGAAATATGTTTGAATTGTTACCTTGTTTCGTTTTGTCGCTGTGTATACATCTGACTACACTTCTAAACATTATGACAGGACAGACCGACTGTCAACAACGTCTGACCGTGGCCGTGACGCCTCATAGACTAGGGTTAAAGTAGCTTCCCTTAGACAAAGGGCAGTAACTCTAGCGGACAGACCGATGGATTGCCGCAAAGGCAATTAAAAACAATTGTTGTTTTGCGTATATGTTGCTTCGCCACTGTATAAGAAACAGATTTCAGTTGGAACTATATTGGCTACTGTCACTGTCCGACCGACACATCACTTGCCCTGTGACGTAACAAATATTAATGCGCGCATTCCAGGAAAACTCGTAATGTTTGTGAGAGAGGGAAAGCGATTTTGAAGCACAGAATTAAAGAATGACATTATATGATAAAGAGGTTATCACGCTTTAGTGTTTGGGGATGGTAAATATCCTGTATTAGGAATAAAAACTATGTATTTAGCTCGCAAAGGCTCACTAAATACAATGTTTATTCCTAATGCAGGATATTTACCATCCCCAAACACACTCGCGTGATAACCTCTATGTAATTTCTAGTGTTTGAATGACCACTCGCATTTTTCACATTTCATTCATGCTCGCATTAATTTCAAGATTTACAGTATATCAACCCAGAACACAAACAAGACGGTGGTGAACCTGATTCACATCTTCATCCTTTCTGTAGTTCTGACAGCGACATGAGTGAGTGTAAACTGCTGGCTGGATGGTCAGACAATTGTTTCTCTATGGACATTAACTGTGGGAGCACCTGGTCTCAGCTTGCTGGTGTTACATAATCTGACTACATTGAATATGCAGGAACATCAATCCTACCCAGAGAATATTCCTAGGAGATAAATAGTATTTTGTATCTTACATGTTATGAATATTCTCTTCAATACAAAGTCATTGTTATCAATATCTGTTTTGATCTTTTCAACAAAAAGCACCATGTTTGAAACATCCATTGTAAATGCTGTGGCAGGTCCCAATGACCGCAGGTCCCAATGACCGCAGCTCCCGATCACAGTGGCACCACAGACCTGGGCCTCATCACTGCCTTCAAGAAGGCGTACAGCAAACACACACAGATGTTGATGAGGAGGAACTCCACAGGGCCAGCTCCCAGCCACAGTCGCAGGAAGATGTAGAGGATGCCCAGGTAGATGAGGGTCTGGTAACTTGCCAGGAACCGCAGACTGAGTCGCGGTTGGCGAAGAGCCTCGGCAGTTGTCTTCGAGGTCGGAGACTTGAGCATGTGATGAGGTCGGAGGGGTGGGGCGAGGTACACCTGGGCCATGCGTCCCACAAGATCCTGGCGGCAGTACAGACTGTTGATCTGCCCACAGAACTGAAGGGGAAATAAGTGCAGTTACATTTAATGGCAACACAATGAGCTTCAAACAAACAGGATGTGAATACACATTTAATACATCTGTGTTGTCACAGGACAACACAACTTTAGTTAAGTGAGTTAAGCCACCTATGTTGGTCAGTGAAAGGGTTCAACAGGTCCTGTGAGTATTCTGTGAGTATTCTGTGAGTATCCTGTGAGTATTCTGTGATCTATAAGAGTTATAAGTGTCTGTACCTGGCAGTTGATGAAGGAACAAAACTGGTGCAGGATGCGGACGAGGGTTGCATTCTCAAAGCTCCTGATTGGCTGCAGGTCGGGGTCTCCCTGGTAGGTGATGTCAAACTTCCGCAATCCATTCACAACCTGCCACAGACACACGCATGCAAGTCAGTGAGTTGTATAATGACACACAATCACAAATGTCATGTCTTTGAAAGGCATTGAGAAGTGACACACATAAGGAAGAGTATTTATGTATGTCAACTTCTTTATTATGAGAATATCATTTTTCTTAATAATATTTTTATCAGAATGTATACTCCTTCAGTTGAATATATGCTATGAGGCAGAGAGCATATATACCCATGGAAAATAGTTAAGCAACACCCGTATATTTTCAGACCAGGAAACTTTAATGAACTAGTGCATGAAATGTGTAAAGGATCTCCATACCAAATAAATTATATTGTGAAAAGAAAGGGTTAAGGAGGAACATAGCCAAGACTATCATGAAATAATGTGGGTTTTTTTTAAAATGTTACAGATTTGGAAAATGACTTAATTTCATCCCAAAAAAATCTTTTACATATTTCATGCACTAGTTCATTAAAGTTGCTCAGTCTGAGAATATACGGGTGCTGCTTAACTAATTTCCATGTGTATATATATGTACCTGTAAGAACAACAAAAGTAGTAAGATAACAAAGGTGGATTGTCCTGTCCATTCTATTACCTGTCAGTGCTATTTACCCCCAGCCTCCCGTTTGCCCATTACCAATCAGTCATACTTAAGTCCTGGCTTCCAGTTGTCCATCATAATCATCTGTCAGTGCTATTTACCCCCAGCCTCCCGTTTGCCCATTACCAATCAGTCATACTTAAGTCCTGGCTTCCAGTTGTCCATCATAATCATCTGTCAGTGCTATTTACCCCCAGCCTCCCGTTTGCCCATTACTAAACAGTGATACTTAAGTCCTGGCTTCCAGTTGTCCCCCCAGCCTCCCGTTTGCCTATTACCAATCAGTCATACTTAAGTCCTGGCTTCCAGTTGTCCATCATAATCATCTGTCAGTGCTATTTACCCCCAGCCTCCCGTTTGCCCATTACTAAACAGTGATACTTAAGTCCTGGCTTCCAGTTGTCCATCATAATTATCTGTCAGTGCTATTTACTGTTAAGTTCTACTTGTCTATTGCTAATCCACTAGCGCCAATTATCTGTTGTCTTCCCTTGTTAAGTTTCCACCTTTGTTATTTTATTACTTTTGTTGTTCTTACAGGTACATATTAGGGCTGGGACGGGTAACTCGGGTACCTGGGTCGGGTGGGTACCGAGTAGGGCCTGGGTACCCACAGGACTATCCGGAACCGTGGTTAGTCACATGATATATTGTTAAATGACAAAAATTATCTAGAACTCTATGGTTACACTACAAGTCACTAATGTTTGCATTTCTTTCTGACGATGCAACCATTCCTTTTGACTTTTCATATGGTTGAATAAAGATATAACTTGAGTCAACTTCAGTGTATGCATGACCAGATTGTTTAATACATGTATCTAAATACGTTTTGCCAGGGCTATGGTAAAAAATGCCCAATCGGACATTTTGTACGTATCTCTTGGGACCTACAGCAGGTACCCGGGTAGGGTCGGGTAATAGGGGGGTGGGTACCCGGATAGTAAATTCGGACTCGTCCAAGCCATAGTACATATATATATGCTCTCTGCTTCATAGCATTCATTCACCTGATGAAGGCGTAAGTATATACTCCCAAACGTTGTGTACCTCAAAATATAGAAGTTGACATCCATAAATACTCTTCTTTATGTGTGTCACTTCTAAACGGGTGGCTAAACAGAAATTCTAACCCAGATCTTCAATAACACTCTGACATGACTCAAAGAACCATGACAGGTCTGTGTAATAAACCAACAACATCATGACAGGTGGCATGCCGCCTTCATCGGCATTTCAACAGAGTGGGTGGTGACACCACAAACTTGGAGCCTGGAACTGAATCCAAGTCTGGTCTCGGGTCATGACAGTAAACACTTGAAGGACTCAGCCCTGACATGACGGTATGTGCCAGCGGCCAGCTGTCAGTGGATGATGGTGTGAATAACATACACACCTGATATTTGCCATGTTCTGTGAGAACGGGGCCGTGGTTGGTCTCGATACAGTCGGGCGTGGTGGGCTCCGTCAACAGACTATTCTGTAGGCTGACATCAGCGGGCAGCGTCATGTCCTGGAGGTCATCAGGCAGAGTGATCTGAAACATCACGTGGCAACTCTTGCACACAATCAGACAACGTGCACTGCTTGGCAGTTAAAAGAAGTTTATTGATCATACTTGAGTCATATCTATACAAGGGTGGGCATACTTGAGTCATATCTATACAAGGGTGGGCATACTTGAATCATATATCTATACAAGGGTGGGCATACTTGAATTATATATCTATACAAGGGTGGGCATACTTGAGTCATATCTATACAAGGGTGGGCATACTTGAGTCATATCTATACAAGGGTGGGCATACTTGAATTATATATCTATACAAGGGTGGGCATACTTGAATTATATATCTATACAAGGGTGGGCATACTTGAGTCATATATATACAAGGGTGGGCATACTTGAGTCATATCTATACAAGGGTGGGCATACTTGAATTATATATGTAAACAAGGGTGGGCATACTAGAATTATATATCTATACAAGGGTGGGCATACTTGAGTCATATCCATACAAGGGTGGGCATACTTGAATTATATATGTAAACAAGGGTGGGCATACTAGAATTATATATCTATACAAGGGTGGGCATACTTGAGTCATATCTATACAAGGGTGGGCATACTTGAGTCATATATCTATACAAGGGTGGGCATACTTGAATTATCTATACAAGGGTGGGCATACTTGAATTATATATCTATACAAGGGTGGGCATACTTGAGTCATATCTATACAAGGGTGGGCATACTTGAGTCATATCAATACAAGAGTGGGCATACTTGAGTCATATCTATACAAGAGTGGGCATACTTGAGTCATATCTATACAAGGGTGGGCATACTTGAGTCATATCTATACAAGAGTGGGCATACTTGAGTCATATCTATACAAGGGTGGGCATACTTGAGTTATATCAATACAAGGGTGGACACACTTGAATCATATCTATACAAGGGTGGGCATACTTGATTTTTTAGTCAGGTGTAATTGTGACACGCCAAGTAATAAAGGTATATATATCTGGGAACAGCAAAACTCAAATAAAATGTGGTACCCTGACATGACGACCTTCCCACCTAGAATATCTCAGACATGACGATCATCGTAATGCCTCTCACCTTGAATATCTCAGACATGACAATCATCGTAACGCCTCTCACCTTGAATATCTCGGACATGACGAGCATCGTAATGCCTCTCACCTTGAATATCTCGGACATGACAATCATCGTAACGCCTCTCACCTTGAATATCTCGGACATGACGAGCATCGTAATGCCTCTCACCTTGAATATCTCAGACATGACAATCATCGTAACGCCTCTCACCTTGAATATCTCTCACCTTGAATATCTCGGACATGACGATCATCGTAACGCCTCTCACCTTGAATATCTCGGACATGACGAGCATCGTAATGCCTCTCACCTTGAATATCTCGGACATGACGAGCATCAGAACGCCTCTCACCTTGAATATCTCTCGCCTTGAACATCTCGGACATGACGAGCATCGTAACGCCTCTCACCTTGAATATCTCTCACCTTGAATATCTCGGACATGACGAGCATCGTAACGCCTCTCACCTTGAATATCTCGGACATGACGATCATCGTAACGCCTCTCACCTTGAATATCTCTCACCTTGAATATCTCGGACATGACGAGCATCGTAACGCCTCTCACCTTGAATATCTCAGACATGACGAGCATCGTAACGCCTCTCACCTTGAATATCTCGGACATGACAGGCATCGTAACGCCTCTCACCTTGAATATCTCAGACATGACAATCATCGTAACGCCTCTCACCTTGAATATCTCTCACCTTGAATATCTCGGACATGACGAGCATCGTAACGCCTCTCACCTTGAAGATCTAAAACATTTTGACCATTGTTACACCTCGTTTGTGGTAGAAAATGTAAAACCTCTCACCTTGAATATCTCGGACAGGTTCTTCAGCGACTGGTTGAGATGCAGCAACAACTTCTTGGTGTCATTGATTTCACTGTAGCGGTTGGAATCAAAGAAGATTGAGGCAAGCCATGCTCCGAAGCCCCGCCTCCTTGGCTTGGGCGTGGCCTGCTGGGTGGCGGTGGCCTCTCGTGCCAGGATCAGCTGATGTATAAGTTCACCGATCTGAAATGGAAGGAGCACGTCACTGTCACACAATGAGGATGTGTATGTTGTCAACACTGCAACCGTAAATAATTGAGCTAGCTGTCGGTGTATGAAGACACCCAACCCTACCACAAACTGTAAGTCACTGTGCCAGACCAACTGATTCAGGAAGACGTATTCCAACTCTGGTGGTGGACTTAGATATGTCCTCTGTGACTGGCCATTGGATATTTCAGGGGAGCTGGGATTTTATTATAAAAAAAACCAGTTGTCCAAAGAAAATGCTTGAAATATATAATTATGTTTCAAACTGTTGGAGAAAATAGAAATTGCATACAACAATTTGTTTTTTTTACAATAAAATGATTATATAACCCTATCCTGACGAATTTGCTTACCTCTTCCCAAAACGTAGTGGAAACTCTTGCGCAGTGTTCTCAATGAACAGAAAACATCTCATTCAAACGCACCATCTCAAGTGCAAACACACCTTAACATGTGATCACTGGTTTAACTGACACATGAAGTGGTTTAACTGACACATGAAGTGGTTTAACTGACACATGAAGTGGTTTAACTGACACATGAAGTGTTGTTACTGACACATGAAGTGGTGTAACTGACACATGAAGTGGTTTAACTGACACATGAAGTGGTGCAACTGACACATGAAGTGGTGTAACTGACCCATGAAGTGTTGTAACTGACACATGAAGTGGTTTAACTGACACATGAAGTGTTGTAACTGACACATGAAGTGGTGTAACTGACACATAAAGTGTTGTAACTGACACATGAAGTGGTGTAACTGACACATGAAGTGTTGTAACTGACACATGAAGTGGTGTAACTGACACATGAAGTGGTGTAACTGACACATGAAGTGGTGTAACTGACACATGAAGTGTTGTAACTGACACATGAAGTGTTGTAACTGACACATGAAGTGTTGTAACTGACACATGAAGTGGTGTAACTGACACATGAAGTGTTGTAACTGACACATGAAGTGGTTTAACTGACACATGAAGTGGTGTAACTGACACATGAAGTGGTGTAACTGACACATGAAGTGTTGTAACTGACACATGAAGTGGTGTAACTGACACATGAAGTGTTGTAACTGACACATGAAGTGGTTTAACTGACACATGAAGTGGTGTAACTGACACATGAAGTGGTGTAACTGACACATGAAGTGTTGTAACTGACACATGAAGTGTTGTAACTGACACATGAAGTGTTGTAACTGACACATGAAGTGTTGTAACTGACACATGAAGTGGTTTAACTGACACATGAAGTGTTGTAACTGACACATGAAGTGTTGTAACTGACACATGAAGTGTTGTAACTGACACATGAAGTGTTGTAACTGACATATGAAGTGGTTTAACTGACACATGAAGTGGTGTAACTGACACATGAAGTGGTGTAACTGACACATGAAGTGGTTTAACTGACACATGAAGTGGTGTAACTGACACATGAAGTGTTGTAACTGACACATGAAGTGTTGTAACTGACACATGAAGTGTTGTAACTGACACAAGAAGTGGTGTAACGGACACATGAAGAGGCTGCAGTGGTTTCACTAACCTGGCTGTGCATCCTCTCCCCGAACAGAGGCACATATTGGAAGCCCGGCGCCTCGAGGTCGGCCAGGTGCGGGGGTAATGAGGGCAGCAGGTGTGGGGGCAGGTGATCGGAGGACAGGTAGCTGGCGCCCAGGTCTGACATCGGCATGCGGGTGGCGCGGTACGACCAACTCTCACCTGTAACAGAGCATTCAACATATGAAAGTTCCATCTTTTTTCGCTGCAAGCAACACTGAGATACTGTCTTTTGTCTGATAACTGAGTTTCTTTTTAGACATTGAAAAGCAAATATATTCTTGAAACCTTGTGTTTGATCATTTAAGCCAGATGTAGATAGCACAGACTCAAGTAAAGTGTTCTGGGTGAGATGTGTCACAATGTTACTGAAGAATAACAGCAGATCATGTGTGTCTCCTAGCCTACCTCTGAAGATCATCTCTGCAAGGTTTGGCAGACACAGCACCTGGAACACACAAAGCAGCAACATTAGGTGTGTGTGAGTGTGTGTTGTATATTGTTGTGTGTGTGTATATGTGTATGTATGTGTGTGGTGTTTACATTAATGAGTGTGTGTTTATGTGTGTGTGTCTGTCTGTTTAGTGCGTGTGTATGTATGTGTGTATGATCTGTCTGTGGTGTGGTGTATGCATGTGTTATGTGTGTGTGGTGTGTTTTGTACATTTATGAGTGTATATGTATGTGTGTGTGATGAGATACCATGCCGCAGTTTAACACGAGTACCCCACTGAGACACAGTAAATTGACTCCATGCCGACAGGTCCTTGTTTTAGACCCTAATGCTGAGCTCCAGGCAGGGTAACCCTATAGGCACACTGTGAAGTGTGTGTTACCTTGGTAACCCTGTAGAGCATGTAGGCACACTGTGAGGTATGTGTTACCTTGGAAACCCTGTAGAGCAAGTAGGCACACTGTGAGATGTGTGTTACCTTGGTAACCCTGTAGAGCATGTAGGCACACTGTGAGGTGTGAGTTACCTTGGTAACCCTGTAGAGCATGTAGGCACATTGTGAGGTGTGTGTTACCTTGGTAACCCTATAGAGCATGTAGGCAAACTGTGAGGTGTGTGTTACCTTGGTAACCCAAAAGAGCATGTATGCACAGTGTGAGGTATGTGTTACCTTGGTAACCCTATAGAGCATGTAGGCACACTGAGGGGAGGACAGGTCGAGGCGGAACACGCGTGGCAGGAAGTGCTTGAACATCACGGTGTAGAACAGCAGGTTGTCCTCAATAAACTGACACCTGAAATACAGCAGTAGAAATGTGGGTGGTACTTCCAGCATTGTGGCGGTTCAGGTCAGGTCATGGTGCTGGGTGCCGGGACAATTGGGGTCACAAAGATGGGATTCTGGGCAGTGGGTGTCAGGAGGATGGGATTCTAGGCAGTGGGTGTTGGGAGAAGTGGATTCTGGGCAGTGGGGGTTAGAAGAATGGGAGTCTGGGCAGTGGGTGTTGGGAGGATGGGATTCTTGGCAGTGGGTGTTGGGAGGATGGGATTCTGGGCAGTGGGTGTTGGGAGAAGTGGATTCTGGGCAGTGGGAGTAAGAAGAATGGGTGTCTGGGCAGTGGGTGTTGGGAGGATGGGATTCTTGGCAGTGGGTGTTGGGAGGATGGGATTCTGGGCAGTGGGTGTTGGGAGAAGTGGATTCTGGGCAGTGGGAGTAAGAAGAATGGGAGTCTGGGCAGTGGGTGTTGGGAGGATGGGAGTCTGGGCAGTGGGGGTTAGAAGAATTGGATTCTTGGCAGTGGGTGTTCGGAGGAGGGGATTCTGGGCAGTGGGTTTTTGGAGGATGGGAGTCTGGGCAGTGGGTTTTGGGAGGATGGGATTCTGGGCAGAGGGTGTTGGGAGGATAGGATTCTGGGCAGTGGGTGTTCGGAGGAGGGGATTCTGGGCAGTGGGTTTTGGGACGATGGGAGTCTGGGCAGTGGGTTTTGGGAGGATGGGAGTCTGGGCAGTGCGTTTTAGGAGGATGGGATTCTGGGCAGAGGGTGTTGGGAGGATGGGATTCTGGGCAGTGGGTGTTGGGAGGATGGGATTCTGGGCAGTGGGTGTTGGGAGGATGGGAGTCTGGGCAGTGAGTGTTGGGAGAATGGGAGTCTGGGCAGGGGGGGGGTAGAAGGATGGGTGTCTGGGCAGTGGGTGTTGGGAGGATGGGTGTCTGGGCAGTGTGTGTTGGGAGGATGGGAGTCTGGGCAGTGAGTGTTGGGAGGATGGGAGTCTGGGCAGTGGGTGTTGGGAGGATGGGAGTCTGGGCAGGGGGGGGGGGGGGGGGGGGTAGAAGGATGGGTGTCTGGGCAGTGGGTGTTGGGAGGATGGGTGTCTGGGCAGTGGGGGTTACAAGAATGGGTCTCTGGGTAGTGGGTGTTAGAAGGACGGGTTTCTGGGCAGTGGGTGTTAGAAGGAGGGGATTCTTGGCAGTGGGTGTTAGAAATGGGTTTCTGGGCAGTGGGTGTTGGGAGGATGGGTGTCTGGGCAGTGGGTGTTGGGAGGATGGGAGTCTGGGCAGTGGGGGTTAGAAGGATGGGATTCTGGGCAGTGGGTGTTCAGAGGATGGGATTCTGGGCAGTGGGTGTTCAGAGGATGGGTTTCTGGGCAGTGGGTGTTGGGAGGATGGGAGTCTGGGCAGTGGGTGTTCAGAAGATGGGATTCTGGGCAGTGGGTGTTCAGAGGATGGGATTCTGGGCAGTGGGTGTTCAGAGGATGGGATTCTGGGCAGTGGGTGTTGGGAGGATGGGAGTCTGGGCAGTGGGTGTTGGGAGGATAGGAGTCTGGGCAGTGGGTGTTCAGAGGATGGGATTCTGGGCAGTGGGTGTTCGGAGGATGGGATTCTGGGCAGTGGGTGTTGGGAGGATGGGAGTCTGGGCAGTGGGTGTTGGGAGGATGGGTGTCTGGGCAGTGGGTGTTAGAAGAATGGGATTCTGGGCAGTGGGGGTTAGAAGAATGGGATTCTGGGCAGTGGGTGTTGGGAGGATGGGATTCTGGGCAGTGGGGGTTAGAAGAATGGGATTCTGGGCAGTGGGTGTTGGGAGGATGGGAGTCCCGGCAGTGGGTGTTCAGAGGATGGGAGTCTGGGCAGTGGGTGTTGGGAGGATGGGATTCTGGGCAGTGGGTGTTCAGAGGATGGGAGTCTGGGCAGTGGGTGTTGGGAGGATGGGAGTCTGGGCAGTGGGGGTTAGAAGGATGGGATTCTGGGTAGTGGGTGTTTGGAGGTGGGGATTCTGGGCAGTGGGTTTTGGGAGGATGGGAGTCTGGGCAGTGGGTGTTGGGAGGATGGGAGTCTGGGCAGTGGGTGTTGGGAGGATGGGTGTCTGGGCAGAGGGTGTTGGGAGGATAGGATTCTCGGCAGTGGGTTTTGGGAGGATGGGATTCTGGGCAGAGGGTGTTGGGAGGATAGGATTCTCGGCAGTGGGTGTTGGGAGGATGGGATTCTGGGCAGTGGGTGTTGGGAGGATGGGAGTCTGGGCAGCAGGTGTTTGGAGGATGGGTGTCAGGGCAGTGGGTGTTGGGAGGATGGGTGTCTGGGCAGTGGGTGTTGGGAGGATGGGAGTCTGGGCAGTGGGGGTTAGAAGGATGGGATTCTGGGCAGTGGGTGTTCAGAGGATGGGATTCTGGGCAGTGGGTGTTCAGAGGATGGGTTTCTGGGCAGTGGGTGTTGGGAGGATGGGAGTCTGGGCAGTGGGTGTTCAGAAGATGGGATTCTGGGCAGTGGGTGTTCAGAGGATGGGATTCTGGGCAGTGGGTGTTCAGAGGATGGGATTCTGGGCAGTGGGTGTTGGGAGGATGGGAGTCTGGGCAGTGGGTGTTGGGAGGATAGGAGTCTGGGCAGTGGGTGTTCAGAGGATGGGATTCTGGGCAGTGGGTGTTCGGAGGATGGGATTCTGGGCAGTGGGTGTTGGGAGGATGGGAGTCTGGGCAGTGGGTGTTGGGAGGATGGGTGTCTGGGCAGTGGGTGTTAGAAGAATGGGATTCTGGGCAGTGGGGGTTAGAAGAATGGGATTCTGGGCAGTGGGTGTTGGGAGGATGGGATTCTGGGCAGTGGGGGTTAGAAGAATGGGATTCTGGGCAGTGGGTGTTGGGAGGATGGGAGTCCCGGCAGTGGGTGTTCAGAGGATGGGAGTCTGGGCAGTGGGTGTTCAGAGGATGGGAGTCTGGGCAGTGGGTGTTGGGAGGATGGGATTCTGGGCAGTGGGTGTTCAGAGGATGGGAGTCTGGGCAGTGGGTGTTGGGAGGATGGGAGTCTGGGCAGTGGGGGTTAGAAGGATGGGATTCTGGGTAGTGGGTGTTTGGAGGTGGGGATTCTGGGCAGTGGGTTTTGGGAGGATGGGAGTCTGGGCAGTGGGTGTTGGGAGGATGGGAGTCTGGGCAGTGGGTGTTGGGAGGATGGGTGTCTGGGCAGAGGGTGTTGGGAGGATAGGATTCTCGGCAGTGGGTTTTGGGAGGATGGGATTCTGGGCAGAGGGTGTTGGGAGGATAGGATTCTCGGCAGTGGGTGTTGGGAGGATGGGATTCTGGGCAGTGGGTGTTGGGAGGATGGGAGTCTGGGCAGCAGGTGTTTGGAGGATGGGTGTCAGGGCAGTGGGTGTTTGGAGTATGGGATTCTGGGCAGTGGGGGTTAGAAGGATGGGATTCTGGGAAGTTGGGGTTAGAAGGATGGGATTCTGAGCAGTGGGGTTAGAAGGATGGGATTCTTGGCAGTGGGGTTAGAAGGGTGGGATTCTGGGCAGTGGGTGTCAGAAAGATGTGTGTCTGGGCAGTGGGGGCTATGAGAATGGGATTCTTGGCAGTGGGTGTTGGGAGGATTGGTGTCTGGGCAATGGAGGTTAGAAGGATGGGTGTCTGAGAGATGGGTGTCTGGAAGATGGGTGTCTGGAGATGGGTGTCTGGAAGATGGGTGTCTGGAAGATGGGTGTCTGGAAAATGGGTGTCTGGAGATGGGTGTCTGGAAGAATGTAGGGTGAAGATGAGTGTCTGGAAGATGGGTGTCTGGAGATGGGTGTCTGGAGATTGATGTCTGGAAGATGGGTGTCTGGAGATGGGTGTCTGGAGATGGGTGTCTGGAGATGGGTGTCTGGAAATTGGGTGTCTGATAGATGGGTGTCTGGAAGATGGTAGGGTGAAGATGAGTGTCTGGAGATGGGTGTCTGGAGATGGGTATCTGGAGATGGGGGTCTGGGCACATGAGTACAGATAGATGACGATCATGCCAGTGGATGGCTTTACTCCTGGAATACTCACCATCTGTCATCCACTCTCTTGTCCCTCAAGTCTGTGGGGTCAGGACGGTGCGGGTCTTTACTCTGGTAGTACTGGTTTGGCTCGGTGTAGCGCCATGGCTGGATGTAGCTAAGCCACGTCTCTAGCACCTGCACCACACACAAGGCAATGAAAGTACTTCACTACACCACAGACAAGGCCATGAAAGTACTTCACTACATCACAGACAAGGCCATGAAAGTACTTCACTACATCACAGACAAGGCCATGAAAGTACTTCACTACATCACAGACAAGGCCATGAAAGTACTTCACTACATCACAGACAAGGCCATGAAAGTACTTCACTACATCACAGACAAGGCCATGAAAGTACTTCACTACATCACAGACAAGGCCATGAAAGTACTTCACTACATCACAGACAAGGCCATGAAAGTACTTCACTACATCACAGACAAGGCCGTGAAAGTTCTTCACTACATCACAGACAAGGCCATGAAAGTACTTCACTACATCACAGACAAGGCCGTGAAAGTACTTCACTACATCACAGACAAGGCCATGAAAGTACTTCACTACATCACAGACAAGGCCATGAAAGTACTTCACTAGATCACAGACAAGGCCATGAAAGTACTTCACTACATCACAGACAAGGCCATGAAAGTACTTCACTACATCACAGACAAGGCCGTGTACATACTGGGGCTCCTTTACTCAGGTAACGGCAAATTGAAAGTCAAACATGGCTTCATCATAGTAACTACATCACTGTGGACCCGTGAAGATCCGGTGTAAAATAGGTCTTCAGCAACCCCTGCTCGTCGTAAGAGTCGACTGGGATCGGCTGGTCATCTCGCTGACTTGGCTTATGCATGTCATCGTACCCCAATTTGCGTAGATCGATGCTCATGACGTCAGTCAATGGATTGTCTGGTCCAGACTCGATTATTTACAGACCGCCGTCATATAGATGGAATATTGCTGCATGCGGCGTTAAACAACAAACAAACAAACAAACAAACAAACAAACAAACATGACTGTGACATGGTGACAACAACTATCTCACCATCCGGAAAGATGAGTCCAGTGGCCATCTTTCAAAGGCGTGGCCCAGGAAGTTGTACATCTTCTTCTGTAGGATCTGAGGCACAGCAGTCCTAACATACAACACAACAGGTCAGTGCTGCACATTCATTCTCAGCTAAATGGTAAATTACACAATTGTGCTGTCCCCTGTGGAAAACCTGGTTAATATCTTAGCTGAAAATATATTTTCTGTTACAAATCATATAATGCAAGCTGAACGGCTAAATGAATACACATGTTGATGTACTTCGTTCAGTTTGTATGTTCACCAGTCTATAGTGTTGCTTATAAAGTCGTCCCCAGCCTTGTCCCCGTGCTCAGTGTGTGACTTTTCCACTGAATAATTAAATATTCTGCACATTTTTACTGCATTTTACTCTTTTTTTTCATGCGTAATGATCATGTATCATCATTACCAGCAGTTTTCAAGCAATGGTTCTGATAAAATATCTTTGGCTAGCAATATTCTACTGTCCCCGATTTTACCATCAGATACGTTGGTCACTTTTGTGTGAAGAAGTCACACACCAACTAAACAAACATTATAACACAATGTGTCAGATATGATTTGTTCAAGCATAGTCTTAACACTTTTTATCATCAATTTCTTAAAAAACTGAAAGAAAAATCATGAATCACAAAATCACAAAATTATACCAGCTGGGTACGATACTTTTCATCAGATACGTTAGCATGATTTATTGCCGCACACGCCTGATAAACTACAATATATGATGTTGTGTTTGTTACTTTCATAAAACAACGTGTCACCTATGAGAAATGTCCATCCCAAACCTTGACATGAGTATACTTTCGAAATTTCTGACCAATTCGCAAGGTTGTCATCAGATACAATTTTGTCAGATACGTTAGATAACACCAGCGACATCGGAAGATGGTCATCGAACTTCAGTAATCTCGATAAGTTGAATCTTATCAATGCACATGCGCGCCGTGCCACCTCTCTACTTCCGATTTTCAGCCAAGAACGTCCTCCAACCTGGTTTCGGTTCTCAACAATCCATCACAAATTGGTAAGTAATCTTTGCCATCTTAGTAAATGGGTCATCTGAATTGAAAGCCACCCCATAGGTGATAATTATTTGATAAAATAGATTCTGTTCATTAGGATGGAAAAAATGAATCCCTTACTGTATATTAGCAATTCCCAAAGAGCATGTTTTCCAACCTAACGTATCTGATGCCAACCTAACGTAGTTTACGAATGTAATTTAATGATTAGATATGTTTCTGAAGTGAAGACAACAACATTCTACTGATGTTTTCTGTCGGTATGCATTTCATTGATAGGAAAAGTACTATATTTTACTCAAGCTCCTGTCTAAACACCTAAATACCAACTAACGTATGTGATGATTTTTATAACGTATCTGATGAAATTAGCATATTTCACAAAGAATAAAGTATGAACATTTTTAAAGGGTGGCTATTTCATAGTGCAAACATCTCTTTCACTTCGACGACTGTTTCAGCATGTTTTTGTCTATGCTTGATTTTAGAAAATGGCGAAAACAGACGCAGAAAACCAAAAGGTGTATCGGGAAAGAAAGAAACGAAATGACAGTCAATATCTAGCCAAAGAACGTGCTCGAGTCAAAGGGTACAGAATACCAATTGATCAAATGCAAACAAAGAAAAAAAAGGCAGTTCGTGAAAGGAATAAACTCTATAGTAAAGCATACCGGGATCGAAAGAAAACACACAAACAAGCACAAGGTGCCAGCATAGTTGAGGTCACAGATGTGGTCGTTGATGCAGAAACTGACCAGGTCGACACAGTATCAAGCAGTACTGATGCATCTCGGCAGTCAAGGTCACGCCCAGGTCCTTTCTTGGTCAAAATGACTTTTCCAAATAAACAGAGAAAACCAAAACGCTCGTGTGCACTGAAAAGAGCAAATACAAAAGTAAAAGAGTTGACTGAACAACTCTCTAGCTACAAAAAGAAGCAACAGAAATGGAAGAAACGATATCAGAGGATGAAGGCGAAGTATGGGACATCCAAACAGACTAGCCGCAACAATACTGAAAATAGCTCGGATCAGACGACAGGCAGTCTTCAACAACAGTCTGAAGCAACACCTTCAACAAAAACCAGACATGATCTCCGGGAAAACGGTGTGAGTCCCAGTCACTTGCCAGCCACTGTTGTTAGACAATTAACAATGGCTAATGTACTTTTTGGAGAAATTAAAGAAAGTGTCGCAGCCAACAAAAAGCAAAGCAAAATGAATGTGATGACATCTCTTGTTGGAGGGAAAGTACTTAAGAAGTACAGATGTGTGTCGGGTTTGAACAAGGCTACAGGTTTGTCACGAAGAAGTTTATCTCGGACCACCTCTAAGGTAATAGAGATTCGAGGAAGAGCCCGTCTCACTCTCGTAAGAGAGCAGATTAAGAGACTAATTGTCTCATTCATGGAGAGAGATGATATCAGCGTATGTATGCCAGGCAAAGCAGATTCCAAGAGCCTAAATGGTGTCAAACATCAAACAAGAATAATGAATGATTATCTGTCTGAGGTGTATGCTAAGTTCAAGATTGAAAACCAGAATATGAAACTGTCTTTTGCATCATTCTGTAGGCTACGGCCCAGATACATCTTGCTCACATCACACATTTCAAGAAACACTTGCTTATGCAACAAACATCAGAATATGGCCATGAAACTCAAATGTCTGAGAAGTGTTGGATTACAAGTTCCAAAATCACCGGATATGGCGTATGACAGTGTATCCGTGGACGCAATGGATCAGATGCTGGAAACTATTCAGGATGACGTTGAATATGATGAGTGGGGGCGTGTGGATGTTGAGGGGAAAAAGAAAATGAAGGTGGTGAAGATAATAAAGAATGCCACTGACTTCAAGAATTATATGCTACTTGAATTTGCTGAGTTCCGTGACCACGTTGGAAGAGTAAAGTCGCAATATGCAGCTATCCATGAGTTGAAGGATACACTCCCAGATGGCCATATCATCATACAGATGGACTTTGCTGAGAACTTTACATGTTCCAGCATGGATGAAATCCAAAGTGCATACTGGAACCCAACAAATGTCACGCTTCACCCTGTAGTGGTATACTACAAGTTGGACAAACTGGTACACAAAAACTTTATCTATGTGTCTGACGTCAATCAGCACAACTCGACTGCGGTACTTACAATCCTAAAACGGATGTTACCTGAACTGAAAACCACTTTCCCTGATGCAACGCATGTTCACTATTGGACTGATAGCCCGTCATCACAGTACAGAAATCGGTACATGTTTGATGTCATTCTGAAGCATAAGGAGCTGTTTGGGCTTGAGGCACGTTGGAACTATTTTGAGTGTGGACACGGGAAAGGTCCATGTGATGGACTAGGAGGTGCATGTAAACGCCAGGCATCTGATGCAGTAAAACAAGGCAAAGCGACAATTCAAGATGCCCACGATTTTTATGAGTGGGCGAGACACAATCAAAAATCAATCCAATACAGATTCTACTCTACTGCTGAAGTAGAGAAGGCTGCACAGGACATAGCTACCTCTAACGCAAAGGTTGTACATGGCACAATGAAGTTGCACGCAGTCATGCAGCAGAATGGGGTTCTTTTTTCAAGAACTGTATCATGCTACTGTACAGGTTGTCTGAGCGGCAATGACTTATGTGTTGGTTGGCGCCGTCACCATGTTGACCAAACCATATCCCAGGAAACGCATGTACTGCAGCCCACACAGGCTTCTGTATCCCCTGTACCTGCTGCACCACACGTACCTGCTGCACCACATGTACCTGCTGTCCCAGTTGTTGGCAGATTTCTGGCTGCTATATATGATGGTAACTGGTTCATCGGGAAGGTTCTCGAAGTTGACATAGATGATGGCGATACCAAAATAACTTTCATGGAGAAAACACAAGACAAAGGCAAGACCTACAAGTGGCCATCTCGTCCTGATGAAATTTGGATAGAATTTGACGATGTGCTCTGCTTTATTGATGAACCGGTCGCTATTGGCAAAACAAGGCGCCAGTACAACGTAGCTGCACGTGACGTCGCCCGTATTGAGAAGGCATTCAAATGAACATTCACTTTGTATTTTTTACGATTGCCAAGATTTCAACCACAATGCCTCAAAAAGCATCAGATACGTTATGTTAGAGTTTGTGCTAAATGTCATATGGAGAAAATATAAACCTCATCTTTCATATAAATGTTTAAACTTCAGACGTTTTTAAGCCAAAGATCGGCCACTTGTGAACTTGTGTTGTTGATTCAGGTTGACATCAGATACGTCAGTTTTTGCAGTTGAAGATTATTGCTGTGTTCTCAGTAGACTAATTCTTGAAGGCCAGGGACTTGGCATGTAGTTTGTTCGATATTTGTACCAATGTTTGTTATCAAGTTATTTTTGCAAAATGAACAAACTTTCATAGCTAATACGTGTCTGTTATTATTTGCTAATATCTGTAGAAAATGTGTTTCTTGAACAGGTGTCCGCGACACTGTCCTATTTTGAGACAAATGATCCTTAGGCAATGACTTCGTTTGAAAATGATATAATATGTGGTCCTATGCAAATGACAATAGCACTTTTTGCAAGTTAATTAATGCTGTGCAATATATTTTGATTGCAATGATAACATGCAGTCTAACGTATCTGACTACAGGACATTTGACATATGTTATTTCCGTTATCATTAAAAACAACTCTGATGTAATTTGGGTCCCCCAATGATTAATTCTGAAAGCCTGAATACTGTTTTTACTGAAAATAAGTTAAGTTTTTCAATATCAAGAAATATATTTTTTAACATTTGATATGTGAAATAGACCATTTAGCTGAGAATCAGTGTGCAGTGGGCATACATCTCAGTGCTAAATAGGGCTGTTACCATTCACTCGTGTATTCGGTAGGGCTGTTACCATTCACTCGTGTATTCGGTAGGGCTGTGTATTGACCTGGATTTTGTAATGCAATATATTGCCATACTTTAACCTGTATTGTGATACGTATTGCAATATATTGCCATACTTTAACCTGTACTGCAATCTGTATTGCAATATATTGCCATACTTTAACCTGTATTGCGATACGTATTGCAATATATTGCCATACTTTAACCTGTATTGCGATACGTATTGCAATATATTGCCATACTTTAACCTGTACTGTGATACGTATAGCAATATATTGCCATACTTTAACCTGTACTGCGATACGTATTGCAATATATTGCCATACTTTAACCTGTATTGCGATACGTATTGCAAAATATTGCCATACTTTAACCTGTATTGCGATACGTATTGCAAAATATTGCCATACTTTAACCTGTATTGCGATACGTATTGCAATATATTGCCATACTTAAACCTGTATTGCGATACGTATTGCAAAATATTGCCATACTTTTACCTGTATTGCGATACGTATTGCAATATATTGCCATACTTTAACCTGTATTGCGATACGTATTGCAAAATATTGCCATACTTTAACCTGTATTGCGATACGTATTGAAATATATTGCCATACTTTAACCTGTATTGCGATACGTATTGCAATATATTGCCATACTTTAAACTGTACTGCGATACGTATTGCAATATATTGCCATACTTTAACCTGTACTGCGATACGTATTGCAATTTGTTGCAAACTTACAGTTTCATTTTCAGATACCATCAGTCCGCTATACTCTCGGTGTAGAGAGATCCGCGAACAGGCTTTCGCCTTGAGGAGCTTGATAGTCGCAATGTGTACACACTCATTGTTAAAAAGATTGTCAGAGGCAAATTGTATCAGAAAGATACTATTTTCCATCTCAATATTGATTAGGAACACATAAATATACTTATTTATAATTGCCCCAATATATTGCTACATTGACAAACGTATCACAATACGTATTGAAAATTTTCACCACAATATACGGTGTACTGGTAATACAACACACCCTTAGTATTCGATGAATCCAACCGCATCCTTTCATGAATTGAATTTGTTATTCGTGGACACAAGAATTGAATATCTAAGAAAACATTTTTTTTAACTAAAAACATCCAAAAGAACTAATCACATTCATGCATAGATTTGTTCAAAGATATTTATATTTTATTTGACAGTAATGTGGTCACTGGTCATTGTCGCATTTGAGCCGATACTAGTACCTGGATAAGTGCAGTATATAAATGTATTATATAATAATTATCAATAACACTGTCAACATGGTCAAACCATGTCAAAAACATTATCTTGTTATTGTTGCACTGAATATAATAAATAATACATCAACTGTTACTGTCTTCGTGAATAAATATTCACATCCGTGAGCCTATATTCGTGATACGTATCATATTCACCTCATAGTTTATTCGCTGCAGCCCTAGTGGTAAAGTAGACATACATTGGTTGTACAGAGCTATAGATAAACTTTTTTGTCATTTGGGTATTTTACCCAGGAGTTTGATTTTGATTGGGTATTCCACAATTGACTCCCATCCCTGTGTACTGATCGCCTACTTACCTCTTAAACTCCTCCATTGGGGGATGGATGGCTGTTTGGTAGGGGGAGGTAATCACATTGGGGGCGCTGTTTGTGAAGAAATGCAGGTACTTGATGAGGAGGCGAACCATCTTCACCTGGTTGAGACTGGGCATATAGCTGTCCTGGTTGGGAGAGAAAAATACACAAACTGACAGCAGATCCTGCTTGACTGTTGTCCCGTGGATCAACTGAAGCCAGACAAGGCCACAAACTGAGATGTCATCACTCATCCATCCAGCACATATACTGTTCCTTCCTCCCCCAAACCCAACACCTGCATCACAGAGACCTGGCAGTAATACTATAGATTAAATACTGCAATCAGAACTGTTGAATAATCTCATTAAACCCTGGCAGTAATACTATAGATTAAATACTGCAATCAGAACTGTTGAATAATCTCATTAAACCCTGGCAGTAATACTATAGATTAAATACTGCAATCAGAACTGTTGAATAATCTCATTACACCCTGGCAGTAATACTATAGATTAAATACTGCAATCAGAACTGTCGAATAATCTCATTAAACCCTGGCAACCCTGGCAGTAATACTATAGATTAAATACTGCAATCAGAACTGTTGAATAATCTCATTAAACCCTGGCAGTAATACCATATACTCGTGCTCACAACAAACAAAGAACAATCTTGCATCACAACATTCTAAAAAACAAAGTTATCATTGTGTGTAATTCTAAGAATACTAATCGATTACATCAAAACCATAATTCCTGCAATAATCCCCACAAATTCAACAGACAGCCACCCCACTGTCAGCAATCCCAAACAGTCGTTAAGTAAACCATAGCTTGTGCAAAAGCCTTTGCACATCTTCACATTTTGCCAATCGCTACATCCACTCCATGCAGATAGATTGAGGAGGTAGAAGGGACTACTTCCTGACGTGATAGAGGGCATGAAAGTCTGGGAGGAGGGTCCACACTTCTGCGGAGGGCAAGGATGGAGTATTGCCTTGGTGGCAGCCTTGTGTAGGAGTCTTGGAGAGGACCCTTGCACACAGACAGTGGTGTATCAGGTGGGAGCCTTGTGTAGGAGTCTTGGAGAGGACCCTTGCACACAGACAGTGGTGTATCAGGTGGCAGCCTTGTGCAGGAGTCTTGGAGAGGACCCTTGCACACAGACAGTGGTGTATCAGGTGGCAGCCTTGTGTAGGAGTCTTGGAGAGGACCCTTGCACACAGACAGTGGTGTATCAGGTGGCAGCCATGTGTAGGAGTCTTGGAGAGGACCCTTGCACAGAGACAGTGGTGTATCAGGTGGCAGCCTTGTGCAGGAGTCTTGGAGAGGACCCTTGCACACAGACAGTGGTGTATCAGGTGGGAGCCTTGTGCAGGAGTCTTGGAGAGGACCCTTGCACACAGACAGTGGTGTATCAGGTGGCAGCCTTGTGTAGGAGTCTTGGAGAGGACCCTTGCACACAGACAGTGGTGTATCAGGTGGGAGCCATGTGCAGGAGTCTTGGAGAGGACCCTTGCACATAGACGGTGGTGTATCAGGTGGCAGCCTTGTGTAGGAGTCTTGGAGAGGACCCTTGCACACAGACTGTGGTGTATCAGGTGGGAGCCTTGTGCAGGAGTCTTGGAGAGGACCCTTGCACACAGACAGTGGTCTATCAGATGGCAGCCTTGTGCAGGAGTCTTGGAGAGGACCCTTGCACACAGACAGTGGTGTATCAGGTGGGAGCCTTGTGTAGGACTCTTGGAGAGGACCCTTGCACACAGACAGTGGTGTATCAGGTGGCAGCCTTGTGTAGGAGTCTTGGAGAGGACCCTTGCACAGAGACGGTGATGTATCAGGTGGCAGCCTTGTGTAGGAGTCTTGGAGAGGACCCTTGCACACAGACAGTGGTGTATCAGGTGGCAGCCTTGTGTAGGACTCTTGGAGAGGACCCTTGCACACAGACAGTGGTGTATCAGGTGGCAGCCTTGTGCAGGAGTCTTGGAGAAGACCCTTGCACACAGATGGTGGTGCATCAGGTGGCAGCCTTGTGTAGGAGTCTTGGAGAGGACCCTTGCACACAGACAGTGGTGTATCAGGTGGGAGCCATGTGCAGGAGTCTTGGAGAAGACCCTTGCACAGAGACAGTGGTGTATCAGGTGGCAGCCTTGTGTAGGAGTCTTGGAGAGGACCCTTGCACACAGACGGTGATGTATCAGGTGGCAGCCTTGTGTAGGACTCTTGGAGAGGACCCTTGCACACAGAGAGTGGTGTATCAGGTGGCAGCCTTGTGTAGGAGTCTTGGAGAGGACCCTTGCACACAGACAGTGGTGTATCAGGTGGCAGCCTTGTGTAGGAGTCTTGGAGAGGACCCTTGCACACAGACGGTGATGTATCAGGTGGCAGCCTTGTGTAGGACTCTTGGAGAGGACCCTTGCACACAGAGAGTGGTGTATCAGGTGGCAGCCTTGTGTAGGAGTCTTGGAGAGGACCCTTGCACACAGACAGTGGTGTATCAGGTGGCAGCCTTGTGTAGGAGTCTTGGAGAGGACCCTTGCACACAGACAGTGGTGTATCAGGTGGGAGCCTTGTGCAGGAGTCTTGGAGAGGACCCTTGCACACAGACAGTGGTTTATCAGGTGGCAGCCTTGTGTAGGACTCTTTGAGAGGACCCTTGCACACAGACAGTGGTGTATCAGGTGGCAGCCTTGTGTAGGAGTCTTGGAGAGGACCCTTGCACAAAGACAGTGGTGTATCAGGTGGCAGCCTTGTGCAGGAGTCTTGGAGAGGACCCTTGCACAGAGACGGTGATGTATCAGGTGGCAGCCTTGTGTAGGAGTCTTGGAGAGGACCCTTGCACACAGACAGCGGTGCATCAGGTGGCAGCCTTGTGTAGGAGTCTTGGAGAGGACCCTTGCACACAGACAGTGGTGCATCAGGTGGCAGCCTTGTGTAGGAGTCTTGGAGAGGACCCTTGCACACAGACAGTGGTGAATCAGGTGGCAGCCTTGTGTAGGACTCTTGGAGAGGACCCTTGCACACAGACAGTGGTGTATCAGGTAGCAGCCTTGTGCAGGAGTCTTGGAGAGGACCCTTGCACAGAGACGGTGATGTATCAGGTGGCAGCCTTCTGTAGGAGTCTTGGAGAGGACCCTTGCACACAGACAGTGGTGTATCAGGTGGGAGCCATGTGCAGGAGTCTTGGAGAGGACCCTTGCACACAGACAGTGGTCTATCAGGTAGCAGCCTTGTGCAGGAGTCTTGGAGAGGACCCTTGCACACAGACAGTGGTGTATCAGGTGGCAGCCTTGTGTAGGAGTCTTGGAGAGGACCCTTGCACACAGACAGTGGTGTATCAGGTGGCAGCCTTGTGTAGGAGTCTTGGAGAGGACCCTTGCACATAGACGGTGGTGTATCAGGTGGGAGCCTTGTGTAGGAGTCTTGGAGAGGACCCTTGCACAGAGACGGTGATGTATCAGGTGGCAGCCTTGTGCAGGAGTCTTGGAGAGGACCCTTGCACACAGACAGTGGTGTATCAGGTGGCAGCCTTGTGTAGGAGTCTTGGAGAGGACCCTTGCACATAGACGGTGGTGTATCAGGTGGGAGCCTTGTGTAGGAGTCTTGGAGAGGACCCTTGCACAAAGACGGTGGTGTATCAGGTGGCAGCCTTGTGTAGGAGTCTTGGAGAGGACCCTTGCACAGAGACGGTGATGTATCAGGTGGCAGCCTTGTGTAGGAGTCTTGGAGAGGACCCTTGCACATAGACGGTGGTGTATCAGGTGGGAGCCTTGTGTAGGAGTCTTGGAGAGGACCCTTGCACAGAGACGGTGATGTATCAGGTGGCAGCCTTGTGCAGGAGTCTTGGAGAGGACCCTTGCACACAGACAGTGGTGTATCAGGTGGCAGCCTTGTGTAGGAGTCTTGGAGAGGACCCTTGCACATAGACGGTGGTGTATCAGGTGGGAGCCTTGTGTAGGAGTCTTGGAGAGGACCCTTGCACAAAGACGGTGGTGTATCAGGTGGCAGCCTTGTGTAGGAGTCTTGGAGAGGACCCTTGCACAGAGACGGTGATGTATCAGGTGGCAGCCTTGTGTAGGAGTCTTGGAGAGGACCCTTGCACAGAGACAGTGGTGTATCAGGTGGCAGCCTTGTGTAGGAGTCTTGGAGAGGACCCTTGCACAGAGACGGTGATGTATCAGGTGGCAGCCTTGTGTAGGAGTCTTGGAGAGGACCCTTGCACAGGAACAGTGATGTATCAGGTGGCAGCCTTGTGTAGGAGTCTTGGAGAGGACCCTTGCACACAGACGGTGATGTATCAGGTGGCAGCCTTGTGTAGGACTCTTGGAGAGGACCCTTGCACACAGAGAGTGGTGTATCAGGTGGCAGCCTTGTGTAGGAGTCTTGGAGAGGACCCTTGCACACAGACAGTGGTGTATCAGGTGGCAGCCTTGTGTAGGAGTCTTGGAGAGGACCCTTGCACACAGACAGTGGTGTATCAGGTGGGAGCCTTGTGCAGGAGTCTTGGAGAGGACCCTTGCACACAGACAGTGGTTTATCAGGTGGCAGCCTTGTGTAGGACTCTTTGAGAGGACCCTTGCACACAGACAGTGGTGTATCAGGTGGCAGCCTTGTGTAGGAGTCTTGGAGAGGACCCTTGCACAAAGACAGTGGTGTATCAGGTGGCAGCCTTGTGTAGGAGTCTTTGAGAGGACCCTTGCACACAGACAGTGGTGTATCAGGTGGCAGCCTTGTGTAGGAGTCTTGGAGAGGACCCTTGCACAAAGACAGTGGTGTATCAGGTGGCAGCCTTGTGCAGGAGTCTTGGAGAGGACCCTTGCACAGAGACGGTGATGTATCAGGTGGCAGCCTTGTGTAGGAGTCTTGGAGAGGACCCTTGCACACAGACAGCGGTGCATCAGGTGGCAGCCTTGTGTAGGAGTCTTGGAGAGGACCCTTGCACACAGACAGTGGTGCATCAGGTGGCAGCCTTGTGTAGGAGTCTTGGAGAGGACCCTTGCACACAGACAGTGGTGAATCAGGTGGCAGCCTTGTGTAGGACTCTTGGAGAGGACCCTTGCACACAGACAGTGGTGTATCAGGTAGCAGCCTTGTGCAGGAGTCTTGGAGAGGACCCTTGCACAGAGACGGTGATGTATCAGGTGGCAGCCTTCTGTAGGAGTCTTGGAGAGGACCCTTGCACACAGACAGTGGTGTATCAGGTGGGAGCCATGTGCAGGAGTCTTGGAGAGGACCCTTGCACACAGACAGTGGTGTATCAGGTAGCAGCCTTGTGCAGGAGTCTTGGAGAGGACCCTTGCACACAGACAGTGGTGTATCAGGTGGCAGCCTTGTGTAGGAGTCTTGGAGAGGACCCTTGCACACAGACAGTGGTGTATCAGGTGGCAGCCTTGTGTAGGAGTCTTGGAGAGGACCCTTGCACATAGACGGTGGTGTATCAGGTGGGAGCCTTGTGTAGGAGTCTTGGAGAGGACCCTTGCACAGAGACGGTGATGTATCAGGTGGCAGCCTTGTGCAGGAGTCTTGGAGAGGACCCTTGCACACAGACAGTGGTGTATCAGGTGGCAGCCTTGTGTAGGAGTCTTGGAGAGGACCCTTGCACATAGACGGTGGTGTATCAGGTGGGAGCCTTGTGTAGGAGTCTTGGAGAGGACCCTTGCACAAAGACGGTGGTGTATCAGGTGGCAGCCTTGTGTAGGAGTCTTGGAGAGGACCCTTGCACAGAGACGGTGATGTATCAGGTGGCAGCCTTGTGTAGGAGTCTTGGAGAGGACCCTTGCACATAGACGGTGGTGTATCAGGTGGGAGCCTTGTGTAGGAGTCTTGGAGAGGACCCTTGCACAGAGACGGTGATGTATCAGGTGGCAGCCTTGTGCAGGAGTCTTGGAGAGGACCCTTGCACACAGACAGTGGTGTATCAGGTGGCAGCCTTGTGTAGGAGTCTTGGAGAGGACCCTTGCACATAGACGGTGGTGTATCAGGTGGGAGCCTTGTGTAGGAGTCTTGGAGAGGACCCTTGCACAAAGACGGTGGTGTATCAGGTGGCAGCCTTGTGTAGGAGTCTTGGAGAGGACCCTTGCACAGAGACGGTGATGTATCAGGTGGCAGCCTTGTGTAGGAGTCTTGGAGAGGACCCTTGCACAAAGACGGTGGTGTATCAGGTGGCAGCCTTGTGTAGGAGTCTTGGAGAGGACCCTTGCACACAGACAGTGGTGTATCAGGTGGCAGCCTTGTGTAGGAGTCTTGGAGAGGACCCTTGTACAGAGACGGTGATGTATCAGGTGGCAGCCTTGTGTAGGAGTCTTGGAGAGGACCCTTGCACAGGAACAGTGATGTATCAGGTGGCAGCCTTGTGTAGGAGTCTTGGAGAGGACCCTTGCACAAAGACGGTGGTGTATCAGGTGGCAGCCTTGTGTAGGAGTCTTGGAGAGGACCCTTGCACACAGACAGTGGTGTATCAGGTGGCAGCCTTGTGCAGGAGTCTTGGAGAGGACCGTCGCACACAGGAAAGAAGTGAGGATTCCTAAAGGCTTTTGCACGAGGTATGGTTTACCTAACAACTGGTTGGGACGGTTGACAAGGAAGTAGATGTCTGTTGATAATCTAGTGATTTTTTTTGCACAGCGTGATGTTAGTAAAATGAGGACTTATGGCTTTGATGTAATAGATGTAGAGTATTCAAAGGATGTATCTCTCTTCAGCATAAATGAGGACTAAATAAAAGTGCATCTATGAGACAGCATGCTTCAGAGGATAAGGAATAAATACTTGAGAAGATAAACAGACAACACATATACATGTATTAAAACAACTGTTCACATTAACCACTGGTTCCAGGTCCATGTATCATGCTAATGTATATACATACTGAACAGAATGAAGCCTGGGTTCACTCACAAGTACCACTTACCACTTTCTACTACCATGTCAATAAATGTCAAATAAATTAGAAGTGCTCACAAACTCATCAACTGTAGCTGAATGACAACCATGATTAGACAAGTTAGAAGACTCACGGCAGGTTGAAGATACATACACATGGAAGTTGAACAGCAGCAGCAACAGCAGCAGTAGCATTTTGACTGTTTGAGAGAGAGTGTTTGTGTGCCTGTGTGTTTGCCTGTGTGTGTGCGTGTCTGTCTGTCGGTCTGTCTATGTCTATGTCTATGTGTCTGTCTGTGTCTATTTGTGTGTCCGTGTGTGTCTGTCTGTCTGTGTGTATTTCTGTGTGTCTGTATGTGACTGTGCATCAGTGCATCTGTGTCTGTCTGTCTGCATGTCTGCCTGTTTCTGACTGTATGTCTGTGCATCTGTGTCTGTGTGTGTCTGTCTGCGTATGTCTGTCTGTGTGTCTGTCTGCGTATGTCTGTCTGTGTGTCTGTCTGACTATGTCTGTGCATCTGTGTGTCTATCTGCATATGTCTGTCTGTGTGTCTGTGTGACTGTATGTCTGTGCATCTGTGTCTGCGTATGTCTGTCTGTCTGCGTTTGTCTGTCTGTCTGACTGTATGTCTGTGCATCTGTGTCTGTGCATCTGTGTCTGTGCATCTGTGTCTGCGTTTGTCTGTCTGCGTATGTCTGTCTGACTGTATGTCTGTGCATCTGTCTGCGTATGTCTGTCTGTCTGCGTATGTCTGTCTGTGTGTCTGTCTGACTGTATGTCTGTGCATCTGTGTCTGTGCATCTGTGTCTGTGTATATGTCTGTCTGACTGTATGTCTGTGCATCTGTGTCTGCGTATGTCTGTCTGTCTGCGTATGTCTGTCTGTGTGTCTGACTGACTATATCTGTGCATCTGTGTCTGTGCATCTGTGCATACGTATGTCTGTCTGCGTATGTCTGTCTGCGTATGTCTGTCTGACTGTATGTCTGTGCATCTGTGTCTGCGTATGTCTGTCTGCGTATGTCTGTCTGTGTGTCTGTCTGACTGTATGTCTGTGCATCTGTGTCTGCGTATGTCTGTGTGCGTATGTCTGTCTGCGTATGTCTGTCTGACTATGTCTGTGCATCTGTGTCTGTGCATCTGTGTCTGTGCATCTGTGTCTGTGCATCTGTGTCTGCGTATGTCTGTCTGACTGTATGTCTGTGCATCTGTGTCTGTGCATCTGTGTCTGCGTATGTCTGTCTGTGTGTCTGTCTGACTGTTTGTCTGTGCATCTGTGTCTGTGCATCTGTGTCTGCGTATGTCTGTCTGCGTATGTCTGTCTGCATATGTCTGTCTGACTGTATGTCTGTGCATCTGTGTCTGTGCATCTGTGTCTGCGTATGTCTGTCTGCGTATGTCTGTCTGACTGTATGTCTGTCTGACTGTATGTCTGTGCATCTGTGTCTGCATATGTCTGTCTGCGTATGTCTGTCTGCATATGTCTGTCTGACTGTATGTCTGTGCATCTGTGTCTGGTTGTACTTTCAGCTGTGTACATTATCCAACATGTCACATCTACAAAGCACATCCTGGCAGTGAGTTGCCACAAAGGAGCTTATTTCACAATAACCACAAATAATGAAATAAAAAAATACCATAATCTAAAAGGAGTGAAGACCTATAAATCAAGTTGCCATGGAAATCAGTCAAGTAGCAGGGTGTAGTAAAGCAGGGATGGAGACAAGCATATATATACAGCATACACAACCACTACCACTTAATTACACCCATCATTAGAAAAACACAATATTCAGATCCATCACCATGGAAACGTACACTAATGTATAGTCATTGCCATAGAAACATATATGCGAATCCACCGCTACGGTGACAAACAATAATGCGAGACTACTGTCATGAATATCCATTCCTATGGTAATATGCAATAATGTACATCCATCGCCATGGAAACATGCACAATACTCACAAACAAGTAGGCAAAAGGGTCTGGCTGATATGCTGGAGAGTGTCGGCAGTACCGCATGGGCTAAATCAGAGATGATCACATGGAGACACAACTGATGCTACGCAGACCTGTCAGCCCAACTGCATTGGATGAATTCTCCCTCATCCGAATGAGAGCAAATTTCTCCCACAAAACAGCATTATTCATTAACTTAAATATTCACCTCCATTGCCCCGTGAGAAAAAACAAAGAACAGGAAGTTTGCGATTACGGAGTTTTCCAATTTAATCAGTATGCATACATACATGTGCTACCTCCCAGTCTGCCCGGGACGCTGCCAGATAAGTGACCCTTCCTTTCCAGATAAGCGACCCTTGCTTGACCCCGATGGGCCTTCGACGAGTAGTTAACTGGTGACTAAATCCATATTGTGAATGATTTAACAATTTTAACTGTAAAGAAAACTTGGATAGTCCTTACAGTTGCCTGAAGGGTTGAACTTGAAATAAATAACCAACCGACTACTATTATTTCCTGAAATGAACTGTTCTCTTCATGTTCTAAGCATGATTACTCCTCCATAATTCAATAACAAAGATATATATATCCAGCCCAGTTATACACGCTTTATTGCTTATCAGATTTGTCAGAAACTTTGTTAAAATGTCAATATATCTCAAAGTTACGCCATTAAACTCTCGGAAATGAAAACAAATTATGACCAGCAAGCGCCGTCTCCAGAAACAACACTATGCGTGATTGGTTGATTCGGTAGTTGAAATAACAAGTTACACGATCAGGGTTAATAAAAGGGTTTCAAAGTCAAAGGTCGCTATATGGCTGGAATAATGCTGATGCGACGTTAAATTTTAACTCACTCACTCAAAGTCAAAGTTTAGGTTAAGCTCAAATTAATTTGCCTTTTGACGACATCGTGACTCGTGTGCACAGAAATATCAACATAGAACTGTATCAAATTTCGTGAGAATGTATCACGTGATTATTTTATACAAACTGGTTGGCTGATAGTTTGCTAGTGTCCCAGGTCGGCAATCTAATTTGCATACAAAAGTACGAGTCAGCCAATAAGATTGATACATGTCAAGGTCAGAAAGGTCAACAACGATAAGGCGCATTACATTCAGAAATTGTAGTGAAAGTAATAGTACTTCCAAATATGGCACACAAGGAATAGCTCAAACATTTCTGGGAAATTTATCAAGCAAAGTAGTTTGACTTTCAACAGTCTACCGCAGACAGAAAAAAAAACCAATATATTATAATGAAATAAGGGGTGACAATATTGATATTTTGGGGGGCATATTCTGTAACCAAAGTCTTGCTAAATACTGCATCATGAGGAACCCTGACAATTGGTCCGATTGCACAGCTTCAACTAGTCAAGCTTATCAATCGGTTTCAATGTCTGATATGGGACCCAGTAGATTGGGCTGGGTTCATTCTTGGAGGAGGTGAATGCAAAAGAAAATTCAGCTAGCTGTACGCATACAATAAATAATTATTTATTGTTTTAAAATATTTTGTTTTCTTAATAAAATTCATATAAAAGTAATAAATTATCTTCTTAGCTTCAATATTTAAAAAAAGTCTCCCCCTTGGGGAAGCAAATCTCCCCTGTGTCCTGATGAGGGGCTGACAGGTCTGTGGACTATGTAGTTATTATCCAAGTACAATAAATTTATCTATACAATAATACAGCACTTAAACACCCATGTAGACAAATCTGGATCCTGCAACATCTGAGTAGACAAATGTGTGTCCTGCAACATCTGAGTGGACAAATGTGTGTCCTGTAACATGAGTAGACAAATGTGTGTCCTGCAACATCTTAGAAGACAAATGTGTGTCCTGCAACATCTTAGAAGACAAATGTGTGTCCTGCAACATCTGACTAGACAAATGTGTGTCCTGCAACATCTGAGTGGACAAATGTGTGTCCTGCAACATGAGTGGACAAATGTGTGTCCTGCAACATGAGTTGACAAATGTGTGTCCTGCAACATCTGAGTGGACAAATGTGTGTCCTGTAACATGAGTAGACAAATGTGTGTCCTGCAACATCTTAGAAGACAAATGTGTGTCCTGCAACATCTGAGTAGACAAATGTGTGTCCTGCAACATGAGTAGACAAATGTGTGTCCTGCAACATCTGAGTGGACAAATGTGTGTCCTGCAACATGAGTAGACAAATGTGTGTCCTGCAACATCTAAGTGGACAAATGTGTGTCCTGCAACATGAGTGGACAAATGTGTGTCCTTCAACATGAGTAGACAAATGTGTGTCCTGCAATATCTGAGTAGACAAATGTGTGTCCTGCAACATCTGAGCGGACAAATGTGTGTCCTGCAACATCTGAGTGGACAAATGTGTGTCCTGCAACATCTTAGAAGACAAATGTGTGTCCTGCAACATCTTAGAAGACAAATGTGTGTCCTGCAACATCTGACTAGACAAATGTGTGTCCTGCAACATGAGTAGACAAATGTGTGGCCTGCAACATCTGAGTGGACAAATGTGTGTCCTGCAACATCTGAGTAGACAAATGTGTGTCCTGCAACATCTTAGAAGACAAATGTGTGTCCTGCAACATCTGAGTGGACAAATGTGTGTCCTGCAACATCTGAGTAGACAAATGTGTGTCCTGCAACATCTTAGAAGACAAATGTGTGTCCTACAACATCTGAGTAGACAAATGTGTGTCCTGCAACATCTGAGTGGACAAATGTGTGTCCTGCAACATCTGAGTAGACAAATGTGTGTCCTGCAACATCTTAGAAGACAAATGTGTGTCCTGCAACATCTGAGTGGACAAATGTGTGTCCTGCAACATCTGAGTAGACAAATGTGTGTCCTGCAACATCTTAGAAGACAAATGTGTGTCCTGCAACATCTTAGAAGACAAATGTGTGTCCTGCAACATCTTAGAATGTGTGTCCTGCAACAACTGGTTTGGTAAGTGTGACAGCAGCTTCACATATGCCCTCAACCTTCCCACATTTCTGACCTCTGACATCTTTTCATGGTTCTAATCCTATCATTATCAGTTCCAAGGCAAGGCATCAGTGGGAGACAGACATCACACACTGACAGAGCTCATTCCAGACAAGACATCAGTAGGTGGCAGACATCACGCACTGACAGAGCTCATTCCAGACAAGACATCAGTGGGTGACAGACATCACACACTGACGGAGCTCATTCCAGACAAGACATCAGTAGGTGGCAGACATCACACACTGACAGAGCTCATTCCAGACAAGACATCAGTAGGTGGCAGACATCACACACTGACAGAGCTCATTCCAGACAAGACATCAGTAGGTGGCAGACATCACACACTGACAGAGCTCATTCCAGACAAGACATCAGTGGGTGACAGACATCACACACTGACAGAGCTCATTCCAGACAAGACATCAGTGGGAGACAGACATCACACACTGACGGAGCTCATTCCAGACAAGACATCAGTAGGTGGCAGACATCACACACTGACAGAGCTCATTCCAGACAAGACATCAGTGGGTGACAGACATCACACACTGACGGAGCTCATTCCAGACAAGACATCAGTAGGTGGCAGACATCACACACTGACAGAGCTCATTCCAGACAAGACATCAGTGGGAGACAGACATCACACACTGACAGAGCTCATTCCAGACAAGACATCAGTAGGTGGCAGACATCACACACTGACAGAGCTCATTCCAGACAAGACATCAGTAGGTGACAGACATCACACACTGACGGAGCTCATTCCAGACAAGACATTAGTAGGTGGCAGACATCACACACTGACAGAGCACATTCCAGACAAGACATCAGTAGGTGGCAGACATCACACACTGACGGAGCTCATTCCAGACAAGACATCAGTGGGAGACAGACATCACACACTGACAGAGCTCATTCCAGACAAGACATCAGTGGGAGACAGACATCACACACTGACAGAGCTCATTCCAGACAAGACATCAGTAGGTGGCAGACATCACACACTGACGGAACTCATTCCAGACAAGACATCAGTGGGAGACAGACATCACACACTGACAGAGCTCATTCCAGACAAGACATCAGTAGGTGGCAGACATCACACACTGACAGAGCTCATTCCAGACAAGACATCAGTAGGTGGCAGACATCACACACTGACGGAGCTCATTCCAGACAAGACATCAGTAGGTGGCAGACATCACACACTGACAGAGCTCATTCCAGACAAGACATCAGTAGGTGGCAGACATCACACACTGACAGAGCTCATTCCAGACAAGACATCAGTAGGTGGCAGACATCACACACTGACGGAGCTCATTCCAGACAAGACATCAGTAGGTGGCAGACATCACACACTGACAGAGCACATTCCAGACAAGACATCAGTAGGTGGCAGACATCACACACTGACGGAGCTCATTCCAGACAAGACATCAGTAGGTGGCAGACATCACACACTGACAGAGCTCATTCCAGACAAGACATCAGTGGGTGACAGACATCACACACTGACAGAGCTCATTCCAGACAAGACATCAGTAGGTGGCAGACATCACACACTGACAGAGCTCATTCCAGACAAGACATCAGTAGGTGGCAGACATCACACTGACGGAACTCATTCCAGACAAGACATCAGTAGGTGGCAGACATCACACACTGACAGAGCTCATTCCAGACAAGACATCAGTAGGTGACAGACATCACACACTGACAGAGCTCATTCCAGACAAGACATCAGTAGGTGGCAGACATCACACACTGAGGGAGCTCATTCCAGACAAGACATCAGTAGGTGGCAGACATCACGCACTGACAGAGCTCATTCCAGACAAGACATCAGTAGGTGGCAGACATCACACACTGAGGGAGCTCATTCCAGACAAGACATCAGTAGGTGGCAGACATCACACACTGACAGAGCTCATTCCAGACAAGACATCAGTAGGTGGCAGACATCACACACTGACAGAGCTCATTCCAGACAAGACATCAGTTGGTCACAGACATCACACACTGACAGAGCTCATTCCAGACAAGACATCAGTTGGTCACAGACATCACACACTGACAGAGCTCATTCCAGACAAGACATCAGTAGGTGACAGACATCACACACTGACGGAACTCATTCCAGACAAGCCATCAGTGGGTGGCAGACATCACACACTGACGGAACTCATTCCAGACAAGCCATCAGTGGGTGGCAGACATCACACACTGACAGAGCTCATTCCAGACAAGACATCAGTTGGTGACAGACATCACACACTGACGGAGCTCATTCCAGACAAGACATCAGTGGGTGACAGACATCACACACTGACAGAGCTCATTCCAGACAAGACATTAGTTGGTGACAGACATCACACACTGACAGAGCTCATTCCAGACAAGACATCAGTAGGTGGCAGACATCACACACTGACAGAGCTCATTCCAGACAAGACATCAGTAGGTGGCAGACACCACACACTGACAGAGCTCATTCCAGACAAGACATCAGTAGGTGGCAGACATCACACACTGACAGAGCTCATTCCAGACAAGACATCAGTAGGTGACAGACATCACACACTGACAGAGCTCATTCCAGACAAGACATCAGTAGGTGGCAGACATCACACACTGAGGGAGCTCATTCCAGACAAGACATCAGTAGGTGGCAGACATCACACACTGACGGAGCTCATCCCAGACAAGACATCAGTAGGTGGCAGACATCACACACTGACAGAACTCATTCCAGACAAGACATCAGTAGGTGGCAGACATCACACACTGACGGAGCTCATTCCAGACAAGACATCAGTAGGTGGCAGACATCACACACTGACAGAACTCATTCCAGACAAGACATCAGTGGGTGACAGACATCACACACTGACGGAGCTCATTCCAGACAAGACATCAGTAGGTGGCAGACATCACACACTGACGGAGCTCATTCCAGACAAGACATCAGTAGGTGGCAGACATCACACACTGACGGAGCTCATTCCAGACAAGACATCAGTAGGTGGCAGACATCACACACTGACGGAGCTCATTCCAGACAAGACATTCAACTATGGCAACACTAACTTCTTAGTAGACCCACTCAACCATGGCAAACCTGACTTCTTAGAAGACCCACTCAACCATGGCAACACTAACTTCTTAGAAGACCCACTCAACCATGGCAACACTAACTTCTTAGTAGACCCACTCAACCATGGCAACACTAACTTCTTAGTAGACCCACTCTACCATGGCAACACTAACTTCTTAGTAGACCCACTCAACCATGGCAACACTAACTTCTTAGTAGACCCACTCAACCATTGCAACACTAACTTCTTAGAAGACCCACTAAACCATGGCAACAGTAACTTCTCAGTGGACCCATTCAACCATGGCAACACTAACTTCTTAGTAGACCCTCAACCATGGCAACACTAACTTCTTAGTAGACCCTCAACCATGGCAACACTAACTTCTTAGTAGACCCTCAACCATGGCAACACTAACTTCTTAGTAGACGGCATACGGTCCACTGGAACCATGGCATTACTAAGTTCATTGCAGACACACTCAAGTAGAAGTTGCTAGGATACGGTCCACTCCAGGAAATACTTAGTTCATTGAAGGCACTCTCAAGTAGAAGTTGCTAGGATACGGTCCACTCCAGGCAATACTAAGTTCATTGAAGGCACACTCAAGAAGAAGTTGCTAGGATACGGTCCACTCCAGGCAATACTAAGTTCATTGCAGGCACACTCAAGTAGAAGTTGCTAGGATACGGTCCACTCCAGGCAATACTAAGTTCATTGAAGGCACACTCAAGAAGAAGTTGTTAGCATACGGTCCACTCCAGGCAATACTAAGTTCATTGCAGACACACTCAAGTAGAAGTTGCTAGGATACAGTCCACTTCAGGCAATACTAAGTTCATTGAAGGCACACTCAAGTAGAAGTTGCTAGGATACGGTCCACTCCAGGCAATACTAAGTTCATTGCAGACACACTCAAGAAGAAGTTGCTAGGATACAGTCCACTTCAGGCAATACTAAGTTCATTGAAGGCACACTCAAGTAGAAGTTGCTAGGATACGGTCCACTCCAGGCAATACTAAGATCTTGGCTAACACCCAAGTAAGAGTGGCTAGGATACGGCCCACTCCAGGCAATACTAAGATCTTGGCTAACACCCAAGTAAGAGTGGCTAGGATACGGTCCAAAGTAACCAAGGTGACACAAAGACATACTTACAAAGGATGCATGAGGAAAGGATGTTTTTTCGGTGTCCACTGGATTCTGATTCAACCAAAACTCTGCCAACACCTGGAGCAGGAATACAGTTAGGGTTAGGGTTACAGGTCATGTTAATACACATGTGAAGACTGTTTGAATTCAGTCATGTGATGTCAGCAGTGTGAATTCAGTCATGTGATGTCAGCAGTGTGAATTCAGTCATGTGATGTCAGCAGTGTGAATTCAGTCATGTGATGTCAGCAGTGTGAATTCAGTCATGTGATGTCAGAAGTGTGAATTCTGTCATGTGATGTCAGTCCTGTGAATTCAGTCATGTGATGTCAGCAGTGTGAATTCTGTCATGTGATGTCAGTAGTGTGAATTCAGTCATGTGATGTCAATAGTGTGAATTCTGTCATGTGATGTCAGTAGTGTGAATTCAGTCATATGATGTCAGCAGTGTGAATTCAGTCATGTGATGTCAGTAGTGTGAATTCAGTCATGTGATGTCAGTAGTGTGAATTATGTCATGTGATGTCAGTCGTGTGAATTCAGTCATGTGATGTCAGCAGTGTGAATTCTGTCATGTGATGTCAGTAGTGTGAATTCAGTCATGTGATGTCAGCAGTGTGAATTCTGTCATGTAACGTCAATAGTGTGAATTCAGTCATGTGATGTCAGTAGTGTGAATTCAGTCATGTAACGTCAATAGTGTGAATTCTGTCATGTGATGTCAGTAGTGTGAATTCAGGCATGTGATGTCAGTAGTGTGAATTCATTCATGTGATGTCAGCAGTGTGAATTCTGTCATGTGATGTCAGCAGTGTGAATTCAGTCATGTGATGTCAGTAGTGTAAATTCTGTCATGTGATGTCAGTAGTGTGAATTCAGTCATGTGATGTCGATGTGTGAATTCAGTCATGTGATGTCAGTAGTGTGAATTCTGTCATGTGATGTCAGTAGTGTGAATTCAGTCATGTAACGTCAACAGTGTGAATTCAGTCATGTGATGTCAATCCTGTGAATTCAGTCATGTGATGTCAGCAGTGTGAATTCTGTCATGTGATGTCAATAGTGTGAATTCAGTCATGTGATGTCAGTAGTGTGAATTCAGTCATGTGATGTCAGTAGTGTGAATTCAGTCATGTGATGTCGGTAGTGTGAATTCAGTCATGTGATGTCGGTAGTGTGAATTCAGTAATGTGTTGTCAGTAGTGTGAATTCAGTCATGTGATGTCAGTAGTGTGAATTCAGTCATGTGATGTCAGCAGTGTGAATTCAGTCATGTAACGTCAATAGTGTGAATTCAGTCATGTGATGTCAATAGTGTGAATTCAGTCATGTGATGTCAGTAGTGTGAATTATGTCATGTGATGTCAGTAGTGTGAATTCAGTCATGTGATGTCAGTAGTGTGAATTCAGTCATGTGATGTCAGCAGTGTGAATTCAGTCATGTAACGTCAATAGTGTGAATTCAGTCATGTGATGTCAATAGTGTGAATTCAGTCATGTGATGTCAGCAGTGTGAATTCTGTCATGCGATGTCAGTAGTGTGAATTCAGTCATGTGATGTCAATAGTGTGAATTCAGTCATGTGATGTCAGCAGTGTGAATTCTGTCATGTGATGTCAGTAGTGTGAATTCAGTCATGTGATGTAAGTAGTGTGAATTCAGTCATGTGATGTCAGTAGTGTGAATTCTGTCATGTGATGTCAGTAGTGTGAATTCAGTCATGTAACGTCAATAGTGTGAATTCAGTCATGTGATGTCGGTAGTGTGAATTCAGTCATGTGATGTCAGTAGTGTGAATTCAGTCATGTGATGTCAATAGTGTGAATTCAGTCATGTGATGTCAATAGTGTGAATTCAGTCATGTGATGTCAGTAGTGTGAATTCAGTCATGTGATGTCAATAGTGTGAATTCAGTCATGTGATGTCAGCAGTGTGAATTCTGTCATGTGATGTCAGTAGTGTGAATTCAGTCATGTGATGTCAGTCGTGTGAATTCAGTCATGTGATGTCAGTAGTGTGAATTCAGTCATGTGATGTCAATAGTGCGAATTCAGTCATGTGATGTCAGCAGTGTGAATTCAGTCATGTGATGTCAGTAGTGTGAATTCTGTCATGCGATGTCAGTCCTGTGAATTCAGTCATGTGATGTCAGCAGTGTGAATTCTGTCATGTGATGTCAGCAGTGTGAAATCAGTCATGTAACGTCAATAGTGTGAATTCAGTCATGTGATGTCAATAGTGTGAATTCAGTCATGTGATGTCAGTAGTGTGAATTCAGTCATGTGATGTCAATAGTGTGAATTCAGTCATGTGATGTCAGCAGTGTGAATTCTGTCATGTGATGTCAGTAGTGTGAATTCAGTCATGTGATGTCAGTCGTGTGAATTCTGTCATGTGATGTCAGTAGTGTGAATTCAGTCATGTGATGTCAGTAGTGTGAATTCTGTCATGCGATGTCAGTCCTGTGAATTCAGTCATGTGATGTCAGCAGTGTGAATTCTGTCATGTGATGTCAGCAGTGTGAAATCAGTCATGTAACGTCAATAGTGTGAATTCAGTCATGTGATGTCAATAGTGTGAATTCAGTCATGTGATGTCAGCAGTGTGAATTCTGTCATGTGATGTCAGTAGTGTGAATTCAGTCAAGTGATGTCAGTAGTGTGAATTCAGTCATGTGATGTCAATAGTGTGAATTCAGTCATGTGATGTCAGTAGTGTGAATTCAGTCATGTGATGTCAGTCGTGTGAATTCAGTCATGTAACGTCAATAGTGTGAATTCAGTCATGTGATGTCAGCAGTGTGAATTCTGTCATGTGATGTCAGTAGTGTGAATTCTGTCATGTGATGTAAGTAGTGTGAATTCAGTCATGTGATGTCAGTAGTGTGAATTCTGTCATGTGATGTCAGTAGTGTGAATTCAGTCATGTAACGTCAATAGTGTGAATTCAGTCATGTGATGTCGGTAGTGTGAATTCAGTCATGTGATGTCCGTAGTGTGAATTCAGTCATGTGATGTCAGTCGTGTGAATTCTGTCATGTGATGTCAGTAGTGTGAATTCAGTAATGTGATGTCAGTAGTGTGAATTCTGTCATGTGATGTCAGTAGTGTGAATTCAGTCATGTGATGTCAGTAGTGTGAATTCAGTCATGTGATGTCAGTAGTGTGAATTCAGTCATGTGATGTCAGTAGTGCGAATTCAGTCATGTGATGTCAATAGTGTGAATTCAGTCATGTGATGTCAGTAGTGTGAATTATGTCATGTGAATGTGGTGTTGTGAATGTGGTGTTGAGAGTGTGGTGTTGTGAATGTGGTGTTGAGAGCGTAGTGTTGTGAATGTGGTTTTGTGAATGTGGTGTTGAGAGTGTGCTGTTGTGAGTGTGGTGTTGTGAATGTAGAGTTGAGAATGTAGTGTTGAGAGTGTGGTGTTGAGAGTGTGGTGTTGTGAGTGTGGTGTTGTGAGTGTGGTGTTGAGAGTGTGGTGTTGTAGTGTGGTGTTGAGAGTGTGGTGTTGTGAATGTGGTGTTGAGAGTGTGGTGTTGAGAGTGTGGTGTTGAGAGTGTGGTGTTGTGAGTGTGGTGATGTGAGTGTGGTGTTGTGAGTGTGGTGTTGAGAGTGTGGTGTTGTAGTGTGGTGTTGAGAGTGTGGTGTTGTGAATGTGGTGTTGAGAGTGTAGTGTTGAGAGTGTGGTGTTGAGAGTGTGGTGTTGTGAGTGTGGTGATGTGAGTGTGGTGTTGAGAGTGTGGTGTTGTAGTGTGGTGTTGAGAGTGTGGTGTTGTGAATGTAGAGTTGAGAATGTAGTGTTGAGAGTGTGGTGTTGAGAGTGTGGTGTTGTGAGTGTGGTGTTGTGAGTGTGGTGTTGTATATGTGGTGTTGTGAGTGTGGTGTTGTAGTGTGGTGTTGAGAGTGTGGTGTTGTGAATGTAGAGTTGAGAATGTAGTGTTGAGAGTGTAGTGTTGAGAGTGTGGTGTTGTGAGTGTGGTGTTGTGAGTGTGGTGTTGTGAGTGTGGTGTTGAGAGTGTGGTGTTGTAGTGTGGTGTTGAGAGTGTAGTGTTGTGAATGTGGTGTTGAGAGTGTAGTGTTGTGAATGTGGTGTTGTGAGTGTGGTGTTGAGAGTGTAGTGTTGTGAGTATGGTGTTGAGAGTGTGGTGTTGTAGTGTGGTGTTGTGAATGAGGTGTTGTGAGTGTGGTGTTGAGAGTGTGGTATTGTGAGTGTGGTGTTGAGAGTGTGGTGTTGTGAGTGTGGTGTTGTGAGTGTGGTGTTGAGAGTGTGGTGTTGTGAGTGTGGTGTTGAGAGTGTGGTGTTGTAGTGTGGTGTTGTGAATGAGGTGTTGTGAGTGTGGTGTTGAGAGTGTGGTGTTGTGAATGTGGTGTTGTGAATGTGGTGTTGAGAGTGTGTTGTTGTGAATGTGGTGTTGAGAGTGTGGTGTTGTGAGTGTGGTGTTGTGAATGTGGTGTTGTGAGTGTGGTGTTGTGAGTGTGGTGTTGTGAGTGTGGTGTTGTGAATGTGGTGTTGTGAGTGTGGTGTTGTGAATGGGGTGTTGTGAGTGTGGTGTTGTGAATGTGGTGTTGTGAGTGTGGTGTTGTGAGTGTGGTGTTGTGAATGTGGTGTTGTGAATGTGGTGTTGTGAATGTGGTGTTGTGAGTGTGGTGTTGTAGTGTGGTGTTGTGAATGAGGTGTTGTGAGTGTGGTGTTGAGAGTGTGGTGTTGTGAATGAGGTGTTGTGAATGTGGTGTTGAGAGTGTGTTGTTGTGAATGAGGTGTTGTGAATGTGGTGTTGAGAGTGTGGTGTTGTGAGTGTGGTGTTGTGAGTGTGGTGTTGTGAATGTGGTGTTGAGAGTGTGGTGTTGTGAATGTGGTGTTGTGAGTGTGGTGTTGTGAGTGTGATGTTGTGAATGTGGTGTTGTGAGTGTGGTGTTGTGAATGTGGTGTTGTGAGTGTGGTGTTGTGAGTGTGGTGTTTTGAATGTGGTGTTGTGAATGTGGTGTTGTGAATGTGGTGTTGTGAGTGTGGTGTTGTAGTGTGGTGTTGTGAATGAGGTGTTGTGAGTGTGGTGTTGTGAATGAGGTGTTGTGAATGAGGTGTTGTGAATGTGGTGTTGAGAGTGTGTTGTTGTGAATGAGGTGTTGTGAATGTGGTGTTGAGAGCGTGGTGTTGTGAGTGTGGTGTTGTGAGTGTGGTGTTGTGAATGTGGTGTTGTGAGTGTGGTGTTGTGAATGTGGTGTTGTGAGTGTGGTGTTGTGAATGGAGTGTTGTGAGTGTGGTGTTGTGAATGGAGTGTTGTGAATGGAGTGTTGTGAGTGTGGTGTTGTGAATGTGGTGTTGTGAGTGTGGTGTTGTGAATGGAGTGTTGTGAGTGTGGTATTGTGAGTGTGGTGTTGAGATTGTGGTGTTGTGAATGGAGTGTTGTGAGTGTGGTGTTGTGAGTGTGGTGTTGTGAATGGAGTGTTGTGAGTGGGCAGTACCTGCAGCAGCGTCTCCGACCGCCAGGTCTCAGCCTCACTGTGGTCCAGGACCGGTGACCCCTGCACGTGGGGTTTCTGTACAGCGATGAAGCCCGACTTGAACAGACTGGGCCGTGTGCGATGTCTTGGTGGCGTGGTGCTGGGGCTGACGGAGTGACTGTTGTAGGAGCTGGGGATATAGTGCTGACTGAGTGAGAGAGTTCAATTTAAAATTCCCGCCATAGTGTGAAAGAGCAAGACATTTAAATAACAGAAAAACACAACTGACAAAAGACAGTGATAGAAGTGGCAATAGAGAAATATTTCAACATAATTCAAGAATTGACAAGTAGATTTACAGAAATTCCCATATATAAATATCTCAACAATAACTTCACAGAACACATATTAAGTCATTAATACACAAAAAACTGTAAACAATATTACAAAACCAGCGACCATGTTCAGCACTCATTTTCTCAACCAATCAAGAAACAATAATCTGTAAGATGGCATGACTGAATGTTTTTCAGCTTATGGAAACATAACCACAAAATGAATGGTTAGCCAATCAAATGCCAGTGAATCACCTGCAATTTATTCATAAAGGTCAAACATTTCCTGAAACATATATTGAGAGCAAGGGTGCAGTTGTGCAAAGCAATCTTAGTACTAAGGTGATCGTAACTCCTACACCTTAAGGGACGTAACATGACTACTGGTTATGTTGTCTTACTTGGGCACTGTGTAATGTGTTGAGAAGTGTCTTACCTGGGCACTGTGTCATGTGTGGAGAAGTGTCTTACCTGAGCACTGTGTCATGTGTGGAGAAGTGTCTTACCTGGGCACTGTGTAATGTGTGGAGAAGTGTCTTACCTGTGTAATGTGTGGAGAAGTGTCTTACCTAAGCACTGTGTAATGTGTGGAGAAGTGTCTTACCTAAGCACTGTGTAATGTGTGGAGAAGTGTCTTACCTGTGTAATGTGTGGAGAAGTGTCTTACCTGGCCACTGTGTAATGTGTGGAGAAGTGTCTTACCTAAGCACTGTGTAATGTGTGTAGAAGTGTCTTACCCGGGCACCGTGTAATGTGTGGAGAAGTGTCTTACCTGGGCACCGTGTAATGTGTGGAGAAGTGTCTTACCTGGCCACTGTGTAATGTGTGGAGAAGTGTCTTACCTGGCCACTGTGTAATGTGTGGAGAAGTGTCTTACCTGGGCACTGTGTAATGTGTGGAGAAGTGTCTTACCTGGGCACTGTGTAATGTGTGGAGAAGTGTCTTACCTGGGCACTGTGTAATGTGTGGAGAAGTGTCTTACCTGGGCACTGAGTAATGTGTGGAGAAGTGTCTTACCTGGGCACCGTGTAATGTGTGGAGAAGTGTCGTACCTGAGCACTGTGTAATGTGTGGAGAAGTGTTTTACCTGTGTAATGTGTGGAGAAGTGTCTTACCTGTGTAATGTGTGGAGAAGTGTCTTACCTGGGCACTGTGTAATGAGACACCGGGCTTCGGACTGGGGACGGGACATTAGGCATTGGCGGAATTGTCTTGTTGTCGAGGGGCAGGTAGTAGCCGATGTAGCTGTCAATGATGTTTGGGTACAGGTAATCATAGAGGTTGGCCCAGGTGGGACTAGAGTGTGCCGGGTTCACCAGGCAGTAGGCGAGATGGAACAGGAAGTACTCAAACGCACGTAAGGAGAGTTAAGGAAGACATACAGACATGGGCTCTCACACTGATCAGTGAGTGAGTGAGTGAGTAAGTATGGTTTTACGCCGCTTTTGCAATATTTCAGCAATATCATGACGGGAGACACCAGAAATGGGGTTCACACATTGTAACCATGTGGGGAATTGAACCCGGGTCTTCGGCGTGACGAGCAAACGCTTTAACAACTAGGCTACCCTACCGCCCCTCATCACACTGTTGGACAGAGAATGCTCTGTCAAATGTATGATGCAATAATCGACAATATGTCAGCTAAGTCACACACAAATGATACCTAGTAATCAGAAATTCACAGAACACAGAAACTGCATACAGTACTGAAAGAATACAGCATCACTAAAGACATGAAGAATGACTGCAGGTGTTCTGCTCCTGGAGTCCATTAGGGGCAGATACACCTGGATGTTTGACGTATAAGCACTTATTACATTAAGCATACATTTTAGATTTTACCTATATTTCTATTCTAATAAGAAACACTAAGTCCCTATAGTTAGTACAGGCTTTTGAGCATGTACAATGTTGTGAGGTCATTTAAATGTTGGTTGTGAACTGTACCAAGTGTCACTGCCCCGGTGGTCACAACAGTCCATGGGAGACTCACGTTTATCACTGGGACCCCCACTACTTATTCCTGATAGTCCCAGGACAACCCCAGGTGCATCCCACAGCAGTGTGACTGAGCTGAGCTGTGAACACTATCCTGTCTTTGTCTTGGCAGGACCCAAGAACAAATCAAATACATGTGAGTACCGTGAGATCCTGGTTAGAATTGGGCTTAGCAACCTATGCTTTTCATAAGAGGCAACTAACAGGATCAGATAGGTCAGGCTTCACTGACTTGGTTGATGCATGTCCTTGTATCCAAAATGCATTGATCGTAAGTCAGGATGTCAATCACCGGTTCATCTGGTCCAGACTTTATCATTCACAGGCTACTGTCATACAGCAGGAATATTGCAGTGTTAAACAACAAACAAACAAACAAACCCAGAGTTAGTTCAGTGTGCAAGGATATTGAGGGAGAGGAAGGTTTGTCCGGTGAGTCCCTGTGACTGTATCTTGTTGACCAGGAACACTGGCATCAGCCCTTCCTCAATCATCTGCCGAGTCGGAGCCTGATGCAAATACGAATACAAACAATTAAAAACACCTTTCTCATCCCCATGACTGCAGACGCTCTTTGACAGTTGTTTGTGTATATGTAGGACTGCAGGTCAAAGAACATTAGACAGTTGTACGTGTATATGTAGGACTGCAGGTCAAAGAACTTTAGACAGTTGTATGTGTATATCTAGGACTGCAGGTCAAAGAACATTAGACAGTTGTGTGTGTATATGTAGGACTGCAGGTCAAAGAACATTAGACAGTTGTATGTGTATATGTAGGACTGCAGGTCAAAGAATATTAGACAGTTGTATGTGTATATGTAGGACTGCAGGTCAAAGAACATTAGACAGTTGTATGTGTATATGTAGGACTGCAGGTCAAAGAACATTAGACAGTTGTATGTGTATATGTAGGACTGCAGGTCAAAGAACATTAGACAGTTGTATGTGTATATGTAGGACTGCAGGTCAAAGAACATTAGACAGTTGTGTGTGTATATGTAGGACTGCAGGTCAAAGAACATTAGACAGTTGTATGTGTATATGTAGGACTGCAGGTCAAAGAACATTAGACAGTTGTATGTGTATATGTAGGACAGCAGGTCAAAGAACATTAGACAGTTGTATGTGTATATGTAGGACAGCAGGTCAAAGAACATTAGACAGTTGTGTGTGTATATGTAGGACTGCAGGTCAAAGAACATTAGACAGCTGTATGTGTATATGTAGGACTGCAGGTCAAAGAACATTAGACAGTTGTGTGTGTATATGTAGGACTGCAGGTCAAAGAACATTAGACAGTTGTATGTGTATATGTAAGACTGCAGGTCAAAGAACATTAGACAGTTGTATGTGTATATGTAGGACTGCAGGTCAAAGAACATTAGACAGTTGTATGTGTATATGTAGGACTGCAGGTCAAAGAACATTAGACAGTTGTATGTGTATATGTAGGACTGCAGGTCAAAGAACATTAGACAGTTGTATGTGTATATGTAGGACTGCAGGTCAAAGAACACTAGGCAGTTGTATGTGTATATGTAGGACTGCAGGTCAAAGAACATTAGACAGTTGTATGTGTATATGTAGGACTGCAGGTCAAAGAACATTAGACAGTTGTATGTGTATATGTAGGACTGCAGGTCAAAGAACATTAGACAGGTGTATGTGTATATGTAGGACTGCAGGTCAAAGAACATTAGACAGTTGTATGTGTATATGTAGGACTGCAGGTCAAAGAACACTTGGCAGTTGTGTGTGTATGTCTAGGACTGGGGTTGCACATAATCAATGAAAAATAGGACATGATTTGGGTCCATGTTTCTAACAGAATTTGTACTACACTGCACCAGTAGGTACGCTCCAGGCTTCACTGGGGTAGAAACTAACATTTTTAGTCCACTGGGCCTTACAATGACAACATACAGCAGACCCGTGAAAATGGCACATTTCTACTAGTCTTTATGATACCATAGCTGTTGGCCAGTTTGGTAAAGGACTACAGGACTAGTGCCAATTTCTGTAGATGTTATTTCCTACTTTATAATATACTTCTGGAAACTATCATACAGTATTTATGTAAATAGCTTATTAATAATATTTAGCATGTAAGTAACGATGTCTGCAAAACAATCAAACAGAAATACATCTTCCCGAGGCAAGGGAGTTGCCAAACTATATATATAAGTGAAATATCTGGGCTCGATAGATGCACCACCAGTGGCTATTATGAGTTATGTCCCTTCTTTGTCCCTCCATTTGACTAGATATGTCCATTTCTCATATCACTTTCATTTGCTTCAAACAAAATGGCGGTACCCAATCAAGACGATCTGATCAATAATTAGGATCTTTATTATAATAAAACGGGTCTTACCCCCATGCAAAGTGCATCAAATCACCTGAAATTTGCAAAATATCTGTCGACGCCCAGTTGGCTGTACACATGCTTTGCATATTCTGGAGTTGACCGAAATCTGCACGTTGAAATCTGTGTTGTTTACAAACCGGATGTCTACTTTGTTACACGATTTTGATTTGACTATGCATAGACTTGTTAGTCAAGCCAAACTGTAACTCTGGTATTCCAGCCTAGTTTGGCAAGGGTGGAAACTGGACTTTTATAGTTAGTTAACTCACTTGCCTCAAGGAGGTGGCCAAAAATTTCAACCAAACTATCAGTTTTCTTCAGGCAGGACTACTTTAAGCCTACACCACTTCCTGATACACCTGTTACACAGATCATTTTTATTGACAAGTACGGAGCATGTGTGGATATGAAGTTACTTACATAACATGTGTTCAGTGATCAAACAGAAAACCAAAACATTATTTACCAAAACATTTGTATAAGTCACTGGAGTGAAGATTAAATCAAAACAACATACTATTGAAACAAGTTCAAACTTTTCAAAATATCGAATCAATTACACTATGCTATAGTTACTTATACTGTTAACAGTTTTATCCTCCAATTGTGGATTAAGTACACTTTTATAGGTGAACTCATATTTCTACGTAACTCTGTTGTTTTATCACAACGTTGCTATCCTAAATTCCCTTTTGTGACGAAAACACCAGCACATGTTGCCACCTGACAACTATAGCACTGCTAAAACTGAAAACGACAGTCGCATGATATGTCAAGTTCATTGTGCACATGAAACGCAATATTTTCATGTCCATACACATTCGTTTGGGTGAGTTTGGGCGCACTATTTCAATGTTGCTTTTTGTCACGCAGTACTTCTGCCAAGTCACTATGTTTCAAGTGATATATTTTATAATGTTCATTAATTTAGTCTCAAAATATGATGTAAAAGAATTCTAACCCATCATGAACAAACTTGTGTCACATGCCTGGTCACAACTATGGGGGAGTGCTGATATTGTCTGTCCATCAGTAACTGCCAACTGCATCTCATCATTCATTATAGTGACGGGTGACAAATTATCACAAAGATTGATCAGTTTCTCTGGTAACACTGCATAGATTATCTCGCAAACATATGGAATAAAGGTATTTTCACTAAACTACCAACCGGCAAGTATTTGAAGGGGAACTCATAGGACAGGTAGATCTCCCCTTGCAGCCGGTAGATGAGATTCAGAAGTCGACTGTCGGGAGCCAGGAATCGCCGAAGACATTCAAACTCCTGAGGATGGTTGTGCTTGTCAATCTTGTCAATGCCCCACCCACTCTCATTGCCAAAGCCAAACATATTCTCAATGATGTATGGCAAGGCATGGCGAAGTTCCTGCAAAAAGGGAGAGATGAGATACTTAATTAAAGTCATCATTACTTGAACATGTTAAAGAATAATCTACCATGAAAGTAAAGAAATGTGGTTTCTGAATGGTCTGCTAATGATATTGATCTGTCTGTGCATGAGGCGACTAATGCGATCGGGGGTCAGGCTCGCTGACTTAGTTGATGCATGTCATCGTATCCCAATTGCATGGATCGATGCTCATGTTGTCAATCACTTGATTGTCTGGTCCAGACTCGATTATTTACAGACCGTCGTCATGTAGCTGGAATATTGCTGTGTGTGGCGTCAAACAACAGACAAGCCAGGCAGCATGCTATTTCACACAGACAGCAGGCTATTACACACAGACAGCAGGCTATTACACAAAGACAGCAGGCTATTACACACAGACAGCAGGCTATTACACAAAGACAGCATGCTATTACACACAGACAGCAGGCTATTACACACAGACAGCATGCTATTACACAAAGACAGCAGGCTATTACACACAGACAGCAGGCTATTACACAAAGACAGCAGGCTATTACACACAGACAGCAGGCTATTACACACAGACAGCAGGCTATTACACACAGACAGCAGGCTATTACACAAAGACAGCAGGCTATTACACACAGACAGCATGCTATTACACACAGACAGCAGGCTATTACACAAAGACAGCAGGCTATTACACACAGACAGCAGGCTATTACACAAAGACAGCATGCTATTACACACAGACAGCAGGCTATTACACAAAGACAGCAGGCTATTACACACAGACAGCAGGCTATTACACACAGACAGCAGGCTATTACACACAGACAGCATGCTATTACACAAAGACAGCAGGCTATTACACAAAGACAGCAGGCTATTACACAAAGACAGCAGGCTATTACACACAGACAGCAGGCTATTACACACAGACAGCAGGCTATTACACACAGACAGCAGGCTATTACACAAAGACAGCAGGCTATTACACACAGACAGCAGGCTATTACACAAAGACAGCATGCTATTACACACAGACAGCAGGCTATTACACACAGACAGCATGCTATTACACAAAGACAGCAGGCTATTACACACAGACAGCAGGCTATTACACAAAGACAGCAGGCTATTACACACAGACAGCAGGCTATTACACACAGACAGCAGGCTATTACACACAGACAGCAGGCTATTACACAAAGACAGCAGGCTATTACACACAGACAGCATGCTATTACACACAGACAGCAGGCTATTACACAAAGACAGCAGGCTATTACACACAGACAGCAGGCTATTACACAAAGACAGCATGCTATTACACACAGACAGCAGGCTATTACACAAAGACAGCAGGCTATTACACACAGACAGCAGGCTATTACACACAGACAGCAGGCTATTACACACAGACAGCATGCTATTACACAAAGACAGCAGGCTATTACACAAAGACAGCAGGCTATTACACAAAGACAGCAGGCTATTACACACAGACAGCAGGCTATTACACACAGACAGCAGGCTATTACACAAAGACAGCAGGCTATTACACACAGACAGCAGGCTATTACACACAGACAGCAGGCTATTACACACAGACAGCAGGCTATTACACACAGACAGCAGGCTATTACACAAAGACAGCAGGCTATTACACACAGACAGCAGGCTATTACACACAGACAGCAGGCTATTACACACAGACAGCAGGCTATTACACAAAGACAGCAGGCTATTACACAATGACAGCAGGCTATTACACACAGACAGCAGGCTATTACACACAGGCAGCAGGCTATTACACACAGACAGCAGGCTATTACACACAGACAGCAGGCTATTACACACAGACAGCAGGCTATTACACAAAGACAGCAGGCTATTACACAAAGACAGCAGTCTATTACACACAGACAGCAGGCTATTACACACAGACAGCAGGCTATTACACACAGGCAGCAGGCTATTACACACAGGCAGCAGGCTATTACACACAGACAGCATGCTATTACACAAAGACAGCATGCTATTACACAAAGACAGCAGTCTATTACACACAGACAGCAGGCTATTACACACAGACAGCAGGCTATTACACACAGGCAGCAGGCTATTACACACAGGCAGCAGGCTATTACACACAGACAGCAGGCTATTACACACAGACAGCAGGCTATTACACACAGACAGCAGGCTATTACACAAAGACAGCAGGCTATTACACACAGACAGCAGGCTATTACACACAGACAGCAGGCTTGCTTTTTTTTCACAACCCAACTCGGGGCCGTTTTAAATTCTGATTTCTTAGAAACATTGAGAAACACAATGTTTTGGGTCCTAGTAGAAATTCTTGCCAAATACTAATTATTAATGTGTCTGACACAGCTGATGGATTCAAAACAGGTAAGCATGACAGGAATGGCAGTTGACAAATGTACCACTGGAAAGCTAATCCTAACCCTGCTATTCACAGTATTCACTCACTCAGTGCTCCAGGGTTGTAAGGGCGTATGTAAAGCAAGAAAAATTACGGCTCCAAAATTATACAAACACAATCAAATAAGAAAGTGTACCAATACTCACGAATGAGTAAATATGACCTACTTTTTCCTTTAGGATGTATCTTTTACACTCAAAAACTGATATTTGTGTTCAAAAGATACATCACATGACACAGGCGAGGGAAAGATTTATATGTATGGGGATTCCCTCTCTACGTCATACGGGAATTGCGAATGGCGAAAATGGTCAAAGAGTTTCTAATTAATTTCTTTTGCAAAGCTGATTAGACTGACTACAGAATTGTGTTCGGTGTTGCCTCCCATATGAGATATGTTTGTGGGGTTCACAATGAGCCGCTAGATAGAACTTGCAGCAGACGTAGTCACACTGCTGGAATCAAACTTCAAAGACCAGGTGGAAAAAAACGTGGCAGATGTTAAACCAATGGTTAGAAATTGTTTGAGATGAAATGTCAGGTTCCTGTAAGTTTTTCTGCAAACGATGTAGGTCAGAAAATAAATGTAAAAAATCATGGTTACCTTTGGGTCATGCAAAAAAATATTTCAGCTGTCAAGAAACACAAAGAACGATCGGAACACAAGGTTGCTGTGAGATTTACATCAAAACAGTCTCAACCAAGTTAAACAATGTCAGAATGTTTTAACTTTATAAAGTGTTATGTAGTCCTCAAAGTATGCCAGTACCCCTCCATCAAGAGATTTAAGGAGCACTTGCTCCTGTAGACGTGAAGTTGACCAATAATCTGGAGCACTGGCAACTAGGGTTGGGATGGATAACTCACTCGGATACCTGGGTTGGGTGGGTACTGAGTAGGACCCGGGTACCCACAAGACTACCCGGACCCCTGGTTAGTCTCATGATATATTGTTTAATGACAAAAATTATCAAGAACTCTATGGTTATACTACAAATCACTAATGTTCGCATTTCTTTTTGACTATTCACCCATTCCTTCTGACTTTTCATATGGTTGAATAAAGATATAACTTAAGTCAACTACAGTATATGCATGACCACCCTAGGCTATGATAAAAAATTCCCAATCGGACATTTTTACCTAGCTCTTGAGATATACATAGGGTACCCAGGTAGGGGCAGGTACCTCGTCCCTGCCCTACTGCTGACTAACGTTTACCTTGATGCTCGTTGTTCTTATGATGTCATCTAGATCACGACATCTGTGAGGCAAACCTTTCGAAAATGTGGCTTGGACTTGTAGCTGTAAAATAAATGACATTCATCACGTCACATCTTATTCTGCGACCTGTTTACTTTCATTCTAATATGACTGCATGATGCTCGAAAAAGGATCAAACCACAGGAACTGGATGATAGCGTATATAGCAAAATATATTCGTATATTAAAACAATCACACCCCTCTATATACATATATCTATTTGATTTTTTTTTCTATACGAATATATTATGCTATATACGCTATCATCGAGTTCCTGTTGAACAAAATCACTTCACTTGACGAAGCGTCTGTCGATAAGGATAAAAAGATGTGTCCTGAGCTGGTTGTTGGACAAATATCATTCAGCCAAAACAATCAATTTACTCATAATCACATGTCCTTAAAAAGTTCTACCGAAGTAAGAACAGCACAAACATGGTTTACCACAACGCTCGACCCGCCAAGAGCAGCCATGTTCTAAACTTCGATGTTTCAGTGCTCTAAATGAAGAGAGGTATTAAAGAAAGATAACTCCTCCTATTTGCGGCGTTTTTTCCGATGGGACAAAATATAAATGTTGTTATAAAAAAACATTCAAAAAAGGAAATAAACTCACGTTTTTAATTTGTATAAGGGTGGAAAGGGCAAATGTCTGTATTTCGGCCTTTTTTTACCCTCAGGCATTTGCATAGGATTTAACATGTGAGATTGATAAACTACTAGTGGAAGTACAAACACATACTATTGAAGTACTTTTAAATGATTTAAAATAATGCCAACTTTGTTGAAATAGTTGAAATACAATAATAAGGTGTCCAAACTTACTTTCAAAATCTCTCTCAGACAACCAGTTTTACACACGGAAATGAGAGCTAAAAGGGCCAAAATCTAGAAAAGTGACTTAATTTGGCCCTTTTAGAACTTGACTTTGGCCCTTTTATAGAATTTTAAGTAGCTATATTTCAAAAACGCATCAATGAAAACATACAATATTTTTTCTACAGGAAGACAAGAACTCATAGATTAAGCAATAATGTGCAAAAAGGGCCTAAGTGCATCATCATAATAATAATTGCGAGAGAGCAAATGTATGTACAGGCCTGACAACACTGTGCGAGGGCAGCTGTATGTACAGACGTGACTACACTGTGCGAGGGCATCTGTATATGTGCAGACCTGACAACACTGTGCGAGGGCAACTGTAAGTAGAGACGTGACAACACTGCGCCGCGAGAGGAACTGTAAGTACAGACGTAACAACACTGTGCGAAGGCAACTGTAAGTACGGACGTGACAACACTGTGCGAGGGCAGCTGTAAGTAGAGAGGTGACAACACTGTGCGAAGGCAACTGTAACCACAGACGTGACAACACTGTGCGAGGGCAACTGTATGTACAGACGTGACAACACTGTGCGAGGGCAACTGCAAGTACAGACGTGATAACACTGTGCGAGGGTAACTGTAAGTACGGACGTGATAACACTGTGCGAGGGTAACTGTAAGTACGGACGTGATAACACTGTGCGAGGGTAATTGTAAGTACGGACGTGATACCACTGTGCGAGGGTAACTGTAAGTACGGACGTGATAACACTGTGCGAGGGTAACTGTAAGTACGGACGTGATAACACTGTGCGAGGGTAACTGTAAGTACGGACGTGATAACACTGTGCGAGGGTAACTGTAAGTACGGACGTGATAACACTGTGCGAGGGTAACTGTAAGTACGGACGTGATAACACTGTGCGAGGGTAACTGTAAGTACGGACGTGATAACACTGTGCGAGGGTAATTGTAAGTACGGACGTGACAACACTGTGAGAGAGGAACTATAATTATGGACAGACGTGACGGTACTTTGCGAGGGTAACTGTATGTACAGACGTGACAACACTGTGCGAGGGTAACTGTAAGTACAGACGTGACAACACTGTGCGAGGGTAACTGTATGTACAGACGTGACAACACTGTGCGAGAGTAACTGTATGTACAGACGTGACAACACTGTGCGAGGGTAACTGTATGTACAGACGTGACAACACTGTGCGAGGATAACTGTAAGTACGGACGTGATAACACTGTGCGAGGATAACTGTAAGTACGGACGTGACAACACTGTGCGAGGGTAACTGTATGTACAGACGTGACAACACTGTGCGAGGGTAACTGTATGTACAGACCTGACAACACTGTGCGAGGGTAACTGTATGTACAGACCTGAAAACACTGTGCGAGGGTAACTGTATGTACAGAGGTGAAAACACTGCGAGAGAAGAACTGTATGTACAGACCTGAAAACACTGTGCGAGGATAACTGTAAGTATAGACGTGAGAACACTGTGCGAGGATAACTGTATGTACAGACGTGACAACACTGCGCGAGAAGAACTGTATGTACAGACCTGAAAACACTGAGCGAGGGTAACTGTATGTACAGACGTGACAACACTGTGCGAGGGTAACTGTAAGTAGAGACGTGACAACACTGCGCGAGAAGAACTGTATATACAGACCTGAAAACACTGTGCGAGGGTAACTGTAAGTACAGACGTGACAACACTGTGCGAGGGTAACTGTATGTACAGACGTGACAACACTGTGCGAGGGTAACTGTAAGTACAGACGTGACTACACTGTGCGAGGGTAACTGTAAGTACAGACGTGACAACACTGTGCGAGGGCAACTGTATGTACAGACGTGACAACACTGAGCGAGGGTAACTGTAAGTACAGACGTGACTACACTGCGCGAGAAGAACTGTAAGTACAGACGTGACAACACTGTGCGAGGGTAACTGTATGTACAGACGTGACAACACTGTGCGAGGGTAACTGTAAGTACAGACGTGACTACACTGTGCGAGGGTAACTGTAAGTACGGACGTGACAACACTGTGCGAGGGCAACTGTATGTACAGACGTGACAACACTGTGCGAGGGTAACTGTAAGTACAGACCTGACAACACTGTGCAAGGGTAACTGTATGTACAGACGTGACAACACTGCGCGAGAAGAACTGTATGTACAGATGTGACAACACTGCGCGAGAAGAACTGTATGTACAGATGTGACAACACTGCGCGAGAAGAACTGTATATACAGACGTGACAATACTGTGCGAGAGGAACTATCAGTACAGACATGACTACACTGTGCGTGGGTAACTGTATGTACAGACGTGACTACACTGCGCGAGAAGAACTGTATTTACAGACGTGACTACACAGCGCGAGAAGAACTGTATGTGCAGACGTGACAACACTGTGCGAGGGTAACTGTATGTACAGACGTGACAACACTGTGCGAGAGTAACTGTAAGTATAGACGTGACAACACTGTGCGAGGATAACTGTAAGTACAGACGTGACAACACTCTGCGAGGGTAACTGTATGTACAGACGTGACAACCTAACCTAACCCTAACCCTAACCCTAACCCTAACCCTAACCCTAACCCTGAATTATGCGTTCCTTGACAGACCGCGTGTGTTCCGGTATTTACTATAATGAATACAATTATAAGAAGCACACTAATAGCAGACATGTACACTTTGCCATGTTAACCGCCATTTCTAGCATTGCAGCACAGGGGCGGTTGGATAGCCTAGTGGTTAAAGCGTTCGCTCGTCACACCAGACCCGGGTTCGATTTCCCACATGGGTACAATGTGTGAAGCCCATATCTGGTGGCCCCCGCCGTGATATTGCTGGAATATTGCTCAAAGCGGTGTAAAACCAAACTCACTCACTCACTCATTGCAGCACATGCATTGTTGGCAAATTGTGAGATGAAATCCTGACCCTTTCTCTCATCACAAATCTCTATTTGCACTTGTGACTATTTGAACGTTTCCGAAATGATGTTCAAGTGAAATGAATATTTACATCAGGTTCTATATACACCCGGACTGATGTTCGGATATTAACGCGAAGAGGGCTGCAACAAATCTCAGAAAATCTTTATTTGGGATGAACGAGCATGATCTTTGACTTTCCCTCCGTGAAATCATTTAGAGAAGCAGACTCGCGTTGCGAATGATCACTATCTTAGATATTAAAGAACGCAGCACATAGCTACACAGATCTTTTAAGAAGGCACTTGTGTATTTCTGCTTAGTCTCTATCGATGTTTAATTTTGTACATTATAACTTTGTAACTTTGTACCTTTTTTCCAGCAAAACAGTTAGCAACCGGTAAAACATGAAAAATATGTCATAGTCACAGTAATCTTGTGTTTACACACCAACATTTGTTTGAGCAATGTCTTATGAAGTACGAGGGGTGTTCATTAAAGATTTCCCCTAAACCACTTAGGGTTATCATATTTGGTTGAAATTTCACATGTGTAATGATACATGTATCTTTGGGTTATGTCTGAATTTGCAGCACCGAACTATTAATCTTACTACTTTTACAGGTGTTATGATCGACTAGTGTGTGACAATGGAGCCAGTAGAATACCGAGCAGTGATTAGGTTTTTATATTTGAAAGGTCGCACACCAAAAGAAACTTTCGATGAAATGAAAGCAACTTATGGGGAAGATGCCCCATCATATGACACTGTCATCGCCAGTTCAAGTGTGGTCGGACATCTGTGGAAACAGCTGCCATTCCTGGTCGCCCCCATTCAGCCATTGATGAGGACACTATCCATCAAGTGGAGACCTCCATTTTGGCAGACCGACGTATAACTGTTCGCCAGTCGGCAAAAGATGTCAAGATCAGTGTAGGGTCATGACCTGTGATGTAAGGTGTGTTCCTTCATGACCTGTGATGTAAGGTGTGTTCCTTCATTACCTGTGATGTAAGGTGTGTTCCTTCATGACCTGTGATGTAAGGTGTGTTCCTTCATGACCTGTGATGTAAGGTGTGTTCCTTCATGACCTGTGATATAAGGTGTGTTCCGTCATGACCTGTGATGTGAGGTGTGTTCCTTCATGACCTGTGATGTAAGGTGTGTTCCTTCATGACCTGTAATGTAAGGTGTGTTCCTTCACTACCTGTGATGTAAGGTGTGTTCCTTCATTACCTTTGATGTAAGGTGTGTTCCTTCATGACATGTGATGTAAGGTGTGTTCCTTCATGACCTGTGATGTAAGGTGTGTTCCTTCATGACCTGTGATGTAAGGTGTGTTCCGTCATGACCTGTGATGTGAGGTGTCTTTCTTCATGACCTGTGATGTAAGGTGTGATTCCGTCATGACCTGTGATGTGAGGTGTGTTCCTTCATTACCTGTGATATAAGGTGTGTTTCCTTCATTACCTGTGATGTAAGGTGTGTTCCTTCATGACCTGTGATGTAAGGTGTGTTCCTTCATGACCTGTGATATAAGGTGTGTTCCTTCATGACCTGTGATCCAAGGTGTGTTCCTTCATGACCTGTGATGTAAGGTGTGTTCCTTCATGACCTGTGATGTAAGGTGTGTTCCGTCATGACCTGTGATGTGAGGTGTCTTTCTTCATGACCTGTGATGTAAGGTGTGATTCCGTCATGACCTG